ATAAAAATTATATTAGTTTACTTCACGTTGTATTATAATTAAATTATGAATTTGTATTTCAATTATAAAATTAAAAAAAAAAAAAAAAAAAAAAAAAAAAATTATTTGACTTTTGCAATTTATGTAATAAATGTCTTATTCTGAAATATTTTCGAATCGAAAAAAATTTACATCACACAATCATACCACTTTTCTTTTTTTTTACTTAATTAAAAAATAAAAGGGAAAAAAAATACTAAAGCTGCTTCTCGATAACGTCTCATTTTTAAATATATAAAAAATGTACTTTCAGTTACTATTTATAATAAATCCCTTAATTGGATTCGCTATTAGCTGAAATCTACATCGTAGAAAAAAATTATCGTCTCCGAACGAAAAAGATTTAGGATTTCTTTTTTTTTTTAAAGTATAAGAGAATCTTTGAAAGAAATAAAATATCAATTCCTATTTTCTTTTTCGTTCAACGAGGCGCGTCGACGATTTCTTAAAAACTAATTCATTTTAAAAATTAAAAAAATAAAGAAACAGGATATTTTACAATGAGAAATGTTTTATGCACGCAGTGCAAAAAGTACGAAATAGTTTTTTTTTTTTTAAATCCAGAATTAAAAGCAAAATAGTTCGCAATTCCTATAGAAATTAAATTATTTCGCAAAAGAAAGTACGCAGTAATTCTCTACTAAAAGAAATTTTATGAAATCGCAACAAAAAAAAAAATAGTGCGCAGTAATTATCAAAAAAATATGAATTAATAAAAATTTTTTTTTTAAAAATGTTTTATAAAAGACATTTAAAAAAAAAATTTGTTAATGTTTTTTAAAAAGCTTTTTTAAAAACGATTTTTTAAAAAAGCTTTTTTTAAAAAATAGTTTTTAAAAAAAACTTTTTACAAAACATTAAAAAAAATTTTTTAAATATAGACATGTTTTCTCTATTAAAAAAAAATATAAATAATCCAAAGAATTGAAAAGAGTAAAGTAAAAGAAAAGAAATAACGCGCGTGTGTGTATGTGAGTGTGAAAGAGCGAAAAATGAAAGAATCACTCGTACAAAAATACTGGAAGTTTACGCGAGGGAAAGAGTTTTTTTTTTCTTTTTAGGCATTAGATACCAACTTCCGCTCTTGTAGGTACATTTTTTTTTCCTTTTTCTTTTATCATTACGGAAACTCGCTCGACAATTATTATTATTATTTAATAATATATTCACAAGCAAGAAAAAATTTTCTTATTTTAATGTCATTCATTTTTTTTTTTGAGATTCATTTTAATATCTATTCGTTGATAGGAAAACGTGTTCGATATGTCGAACGAGTTCCGTTCTCGATCTGCGGCGAAAATTCAATATTCTAATCTTCTTTTTTTTGAATCGTCATCATTCCTAAATTAATTAATTTATTATTAATTAATTTAATTTCTCGAATTAATTAATTAAAATTATTAATTAATTATCGTAACTCCCTACAGTGAACAATAATCATTACATATATCAATAGTAATAGCAATAATAATAATAATAATAATATTGATAATAATATTAATAATAATCAGCGTAAAATTTCCAAATTATACGGAAAAACTTTTTTGAAACGCGGAAATATTTCTTAAATTTTTCATTTTTTGATTTGTTTTGGAAATTTTTTTTCTCCTGTTTGTAAAAAAAATTTTCTCTCCTATTACTTATAATTTAACATTAATAATTATTAATTGTAATATAGTAAAATATTTAATTGTTTAAATTTTAAAATAAATAAAATAGTAATTAAAGTATTTAATGGAAAATATAATATTAAATTATTTAATAAATAAATGATTTTTAATTATTTTCTATTTTTAATTAATAATTTTTTTTTATTTAATAAATAATTTTATCAGTAAAAAATTTAATTTTCAAATTTTTCTTATTTCTAAAAAATTTGGTTTTAGAATCTATTTTATCTATAGAATTAAATATCTATAGATATAATAAAAAATATTCGTTATTTTTTTTTTAAAGTAAAACAATTTCCCATCTAGAAAAAATGTAAGAAATATTTTCGTGTCTCAGAAAAAAAAATTATTAATTTTCAAGGCAAATCGAGAGCCGCAGCCCAATCGCAAATCAAGTAACACCTTAAAATTAATAGTTGCCTAATGATTCGTGATTTGTTTTGTATTTTTTTTCATCTTTTTTAATATATATATATAATATATATCTTTATATATATTCAATGCTCAATATATTAAATAATTATATATATATCGTAATTACATCGCGTCAATGCGACGAGACGTTTTTCGTTAAAAATTGAAAAGTGAAAATCGTCTCGCGCACCGAAAAAACACTACATCGATCGTGCGATAATGCAAACAAAAGAAAAAAGACCGAAGAACGAGAAACAAAAAAATTAAGTAAAATAAGAAAAGAAAAAAGGACATTTTTAAAAATTTTTGTCTCTTTTTTTATTTTCTCGTAACGAGAACGAGAAAAAAAGTAAAAGAAAGAAAAGAAAGAGACAAAAATAAAAAAAAAAATTTTCTTTGTCTCTTTTTTTTTCTTTACATATTTTACTCTATTTTTTTTCTTGTAACGAGAACGAGTAAAATAAAGAAAAAAAAACAAAAGACAAAGAAAAAATTTTTTTTTCTTGTATTTTAATCCGAACAAAATAAAAAAAAGAACGAAAAATAATTTTCTTTTTCCCAAAAGCGCATTTCACGTACAAAAAGCAACGATTAGAGGCCTTGTGTTCTCACTTTTTTTTTTAACTACTAATAGTGCATTTACAATAATCTTTCTCAATATCATATCAATAGATAATATTCTCTTTATCTCGCGTCTCTAGTCTCGCTAATATACAAAGAAACATTTAAAAAAAAAAGATGCTGATGATTTTTTTTTTGTTTCTTTAATTATTATTATTATTATTTGTTCTTTAAAAGTTTCAGTCGTGAGGATCAGACAACGTCGCTACTCTTTTTTTTTCAAAATTCAACTTTTGAGGCTTTAAAAAATTTTCTTTTTTTTAAATTTCATAGTAATTTTTATTTAATTTTAGTTTTTCTTTTCTTTTTGACATTCTCATCAAAAATGAGGTCTTTTTTTTTTTTTTTTTTGAAAGCCTCGAAAGTGATTTTTTTGCATACATATTTAAAACGACACAAACATAACGAGGTTACCCTGTAAAGAAGCAGGCGCAATCGTTGTCTGATCGGGAGAGAAAGAGGAGAGATAGAGGAGAGAAAAAAATTTTTTTTTCTTATGAAAATTGATAGAAATTCTTTTTTTCTTTTTTTGGAAAAAAGATGCGCTCGAATTTTTATTTTTGGGATTACTCATTTTGCTTTTTTTATTATTTTGATCATCGCTCGAGTTTTCTTTTGTGTAATTTCTAACATTTTTTTTGTATTTCCTTTTTTCTTTTTGATAAGTTTGAGAATTTTCCGCGTTTATTTCGATTTTTTCTAGAGATTCTGGTTTTTCAGTTTAGATTTTTTGTTTTTGTTTCAATTTATTTAGATTATTTATTAATCTAAATATAAATTTTAATAGAATTTAGATTATTTGATTTTAGATTTGTTTCCAATATTTAATTATTTTATAATTTTTTCAATTTATTAATTATTAGTATTCGATATCAATACTTCATTTCTTTAATATTAACATTAACATTTACTTTATAATATTAAAATTTAATTTGTAAATTGTTAATATTAACATTCAATTTGTTAATATTAATATTCAATTTATATAATATTAATAATATTTAATATTATTGTTTATTATTATTATTTTTAAGTCTTGTTCAATATTTATTCTAATTATTAATTGATTAATAATTAATTAAGAATTAAATATTAAATAATTAATTAATTAATTAACACAAATCATTTCTTTTAGGTCTTTTTCAATATTTTCTTTAGATTCTTTTCTAAATTTTATATTTTCAATATAAATTATTTAATAATTTTAGAATTTTATTGTAATTTTAAATTATCTTTTTTTAACATATTTGAATTATTTTCAATATTCAAACTTTTTTCTCTAAATTTTGAAACTTTGAAAGTTTTTTTTTTCTTTTATTAATTATCTGAGTCAAAATTTTTAAATATACTGTCAATTTGATTCAATTCATTTTTTGAAACAATTTTTATATTTCCCTTTTTGTCGAAAGTACCCTAAATTTTTTTTTGAAATTCTCAAAGAATTTTGTTTTAATTTAAAAACTGTATTTTTTTCTTGAAATTTTTAATGAATTTTTCCAAGTCCTTATTTTTGTCTTTCGATTCTTTTAGAAATTTTATCTCGATTTATTTTTACGATTCTTAAACATTTTGTATTTTACGAAATTTTACAAAATTTTTAAAATCGTTTCTTCTTATTTTCGTCAAAAAAAATCTTTTAACATTTTTGAAAAATCTTAATATTTTTGAAATTTTTTAAACATTTTTTTTCATTCCAAAAATTCTTTTAACATTTCTTTTTTATTCCGAAAAATTTTTAAACATTTTTTTTTGAATTTTTCTTAAAAGATTTTTGAAATCTTTCTCATTCAATATGTATATTTAATTAAATTTTTTTCTTTAAGGAGTTATTTATGATAAAATTCTCAAAATTATTTGTTTCTTCTTTTCTCAAGAGTCAAATAATGTGTTCAATGAATTTGTCAAAAAGAAAAAAAGAATTTTCGAGCGCTTCTTTTTCTTTTCTTCTTCTTTTTTTTCTCATTTTACTTCATCACGAGATCCTTCTTTTTTCATTTAGTTTCATGGATTAATTAATAGCTAGCGCGCTAAATTGTGTGAAACATCTATTTAAAAAGAAAACAATTTGGATTTCTTAGAAGACTCGAGAGTTTTCGAAAAAAGAAAAAAAATTTAATAACGAAAAAAAGGACATTTTTTTAAATAAATAACTTTTTGAAAATAAATTTATTCTTAGATTCTTAGAATATTTTTCAATGGACAAATTTTTTGTTTAAGAAACAAATTTTTCTTTATGAATTTTAAAAATAGAAAAAAATTGAGATTCATTTGTTCCAAGTAATTGGAATTTTTAAATTGGATTTTTTCCATTTAATTCAATGAAAATATTTCTTTGATTTCTCGAGTCAACTAATGAAAAAAAAATCCAAAAAGTGATTTCTAATTGGCAGTATAGAGTGTGGACGTTGCGCCCAGCGCAAGACGCTTACATTTTTGTTGCTTCTCTTCTTTTTTTTCATTCTTAGCAGCTGCAGGCGAATTGTGCTGAATTCTCAATATAGTTTTTTTAAAAAAATGGGATAGAGAATTCGAAAATTTCTGGCAGAGATGAAGGTTAAACGTAAGTTGCTATTGTCCCAGTTGGAATTGATGGCGTTTCTTCTGGTCTGCCTTTCGGGCCGTATTGCCCAATGAAAGAACCGTCTTCGGTAAAGCGACCTAGAAAAAACGAAAAACAAATTATCAAAATGATAAAAACAAAATGAAAAAAATAGTAATAAATTAATTGATAATACAATTATTAATTAATAATACAATAAATAAGACGCTTTTCGAAGAAAAATAGTAGGGAAATTTTGAGGTTATGTTCGCAATTTTCGGAATGAAAATAAACAAAGGGGATCAACTCTCAACAAAAAACACCGACATTTAATTCTTCATTACATATTATGAAAAGTAGTACAACTTTTAAAATCTGGTGTTTTTGGGCTCAGAAGTATAAAAATTACTTTTTGTTTAATTTGTAATCATTTGTAAACATCCATCTATTCCTAAAATGTATTTTTTGTTATTGTTTACAAATTCTTGTTGCAGAAGAAAAACATCAGCTCCGTCCAATGAAGATTGGATGAACAATTTTGTTTTGGAGAACAAAAATGGTATTAATATTTAATGATGAATAATTTTACAAACTGCTGAACAAAAATGATATTAATATTTAATGATGAATAATTTTACAAACTGCTGAACAAAAATGGTATTAATATTTAATGATGAATAATTTTACAAACTGCTGAACAAAAATGGTATTAATATTTAATGATGAATAATTTTACAAACTGCTGAACAAAAGACATGGAAAGAAATGAAAGAAGGAAAAATTCTTTCTAAGCGAAACTCGCGAAGTAAAAGTCCTATGCTGTGTAATTAAGTTTTTGAAATTATAAAAAAATTGAGTCAAGTTTAATTTTTCGGTAGTTACCTTTTTACTACTTTCTTCAGTCTTAAAGCTACTTTTTGATACATTATTTTTAAAATTAAAGAAGAGGTAAAGAGTACGAAGCCTTTAATTCTCAAAAATTATTAAAAATAATTGATTTAGAAAGAAACTTTAGTTAAAAATTATTGAAAATTAAATCGATATCTTCAGGGACATTATTTGTGTATCTAATAATTTTTGGAGTGAATTATAATATTCTTTAAGATCAGGGAAAATAAAATCAAATTCTTGTAACAATTCTGGTTAACTTAGTATTTGTTGATCTATATTATTCTGAATTTGTATTCGTAGATTTTTATTATTCAAAATTAGTATTTGTGGATTTGTATTATTCCAAATTCCACCTACCTTAAACTAAAGTTGCGAATGCTTGCGAATTCGGTCCCTGCTTCCTTTGTCGACCATATTGACCAATAAATGAACCGTCTTCGTTCATACCTTCTATTTCCAATGGCAAACAGATAAAAGCAAACGAAAAAAATAACATCAAGTGCACAAAATAATAATAATTGCCTCTAAAGAGTAAATAAAAATTACGACAAAATTCATTTTTAAATTAATATAATTATTAACCCTAAAAGCGCACCCTGGGTTCTAATTTAAATAAAAACCAAATTTTTAATTAAAATTTTTTAAAAAATTAGTTTATTTTTAATAGATTTAAAGAATTTAGTCAAAAAAATTTAATTATTTTCAAAAAATCTGATAAAACTCTTCAAAAGAATTCAATTTATTTAACAATATTTTAATAAACTTTAATAATAAAATTATTATTTGTAAATTTTTAACAAAAATCGATTATTTAAAAAAAAAATTCAAAGAAATTTTTCAAAACAATTCAAATATTTTCAAAAGTTGTAAGGAAATGTTTGGGAATTCAATTACTTTTAAAAATGTTGATAAAATTCTTATTCAATTATTTGGTTCTTTAAGGCGGTGTCAAAGTCGATTGGATTTTTGCATTCAGCTTCAATGCAAAAATCGCATCGACTTTGACACCGCCTTAAGAAGTGTGCGCTTTAAGGGTTAATAATAAACGAGAATTTGCTAATAATAGTTAAAGTGCTCTACAAGTGCAATTTTTTTCTCTTTAGAAATAAAAAACAATTTTTTAAAAATGAAAAAGTTATGAAAAATTTTTAAAAAATGAAAAAGTTAAGAACAATTAAAAAAATTAATAAAACAACAGATAGATTTTAAAATAGACAAAAAGTGGATTTAAAATATAAAAAATACAAAACAGCAAAAAATAAAAATTTTTAAATAAGAAACTTTCGAAAAGAATACTCTAAATTATAAACTCACAAGAGAAAAAATAACTAATTGCAAGCGACAATTCTTAATTATGTAAGAATACAAAAATCTAATTTAGTGTCAAGTGTTTTTAATAATAAACTACAGAAAAATAGAAAAAAAATAAATCTCTAACCTGTATCGCCTTCGCCGTATTCGGCCATTGAATCCGTGTCGGATTCGGGATGTTTGCCATCTTGTGGAGCCGATGAGGCGAGGGAAGCTCGTCCCCGTTCGGATTTATTGTCCAGCGGTTGGGAATATTCATGGAAGCCACCCTCCTCGGGATAATCGCCGCGGCCAGCGGCCAATTCTCTCTCGTGAACGGCATATTTGCCGCCGCGATTTCTCTTAATCACGCAAACAATTATCAAAACGAATAGTAAAAATGCAATCGCCAGCATCATACCTTTAAGAAACAGAGGAAAAATAAAATAATTATATAATATTTTATGAATAAATAAATAAATATTTATTAATTTAGAAAAATCGCAGTTAAAATTTTTGAAAATTACGATTTTAATTCGAAAAAGAAGTTTTAATTTTTTAAATGTAATGTTCCTATTTAAAAAAAACTAGTTTCTGTAAATTTACTTTCTATGTGAATATTAATAATTAATTCCTTTTTTTGTGTTAAAATAGGTTCGAGGATTGAAAAAATCAACGAGGGAAGAAGGTGAAAACCCCATGTGAGTAACTATTAAATTATTCTATATAAAATTTTTTTAAAATTATTCTTAGAAAGATTTAGAAAGTAGGAAGGAAAAAGAAAATTATTTACCAATAAACCATCCGGCAGTAGCGACATTTTCCTTCGCCTGTATCATTGGTCCCTCATTGGTCGTCTCAATATCTTGTGAATCACTTTCTGTTATATAATTTCCATCTACAGCTACAATTGACATTGTGTATGTTTCTCCGCTCATTAGACCGACAACCTATTTTATTCATTAAACAAAAAAAACAATTATTCTCCCATTTCTTTCATTTTGAGATGAGTTTTAATTAAAAATTTTTAATTTAAAGAAAAGAAACAGTAAAATTTACTAGTAAAGGAATAAATCATAAAAAGCATAAAATTAAATTATTTATATTTTAATTTTTCTCACGTGTATTTCGTGGGAGAAATATTCAGGATCAGTTTGCATTGAAATTGTTTCATCCCGTATTTTATATTTGGCAAAGAAATGACTTCCAGGATGTCCATTATAATTTGGTTGCCAAATTAATTTAACCGTCGAATATCCATTATCCTGTGGAATCGTTTGCCAAGTGAAGTAAGGTACATCTGGTTTTTGTGATCTTTGTGTCGTCTGCTCAATGAAATAACTAAAACACCCAAAAATATTTTCATGAATTAAATATTTTAATGCCGCAAAATTCAAAATTTAAATAGGAAACTAATTTAAAATAAATAAAAAAAAATTAAGAGAAATAAAACTCACTTGTTCCCTTCTCCTGCATTGGTTGTTGCACGAATATGAATTCTGTATTTAGTTTCCGGTTTCAAACTAGCAAGTTTTGCACTCACTGCCAATGGATCCGTGACTTTTGGTCTTCTCTCCAATTCGGGTTCAAGTTTAGTTCCATTCACAACTTGATAGTAAATTCGATAACCGGTTAAAATGCCATTTGGTTCAGCTGGTTTTGTCCATTTCAAAAAGAATGCACTCGAACCCATTGGGAATGCCTCGAGACTTAAAACAGTTCCCGGAACGCCCTCGGGTGTATTAAAGGTCAATGTCTCCGAAGGTGGACCATTGAATCTTGTTTTGAAAATAGAAAAGCGTTTAAAGAACAGAAGATAAAGAAAACCCGCAGGAAGTACCTTAGTACAAAGGATTTTGAACTGAAAGTTCTTTCTACTTACATTCCATTGTAGACCAAAATTCGAACGAAATTTTTACTGTAGGGCACGAATTTCGTGACTAGTGTACGTGTCGTATTTGCACCGCGAACATTAATTTCCCTCATGCGATCCTCTCCGTCCTTATCAGTCCACGTTTGAATTTTGTACCCAATTAATTCACCGCGCACCGTTTCCGGTGGCACTGGACTCCATGAAAGTATCGCCTGTGTACTCGAATTCACTTGTTCCAATGTGAAATTTCCTGGCGCTTGCGTTGGAACTAGAAAAAAAATTAGAAAAATTAGCATCAATCTTATTTCATTTCTAGAAAAGCGAATAAGAAATACGAACCATCCTCTCCGGAGAAGCCAATAATTTCCTTCGGTTGCGTTCGACATTCGCCTTTCTCATTGATAGCGCCAACTTTGATTCGATAACGTTGATAGGTCTGTTGATGATCGACCTGTAGTCGATTAATTTTCCAATCATTAATATTTTCGATATTCCATTTCTCGCCGGGAATGTCACGTCGATAGTGCACTTGATACATAAATCGCGGTGCATTGTGCTCTATTTGTGGCATCACTGTCCAAGTGATAACGAGATTCGTCGATGTTGTTCCTTTACCAACAACATTGTCTGGATTTTTGTCCGGTATGTCGGGTTGTGTTGTGCAAATTTCAGTGCTATGCTGCGAAGGATCCGATTTACCTAAGGAAACAAAGGTGCTATTCTAAGAAAAGTGGATTTTTGTCTATGATAAATTGGGGAACAGGAAAAATTTAAGAGTCTTTAATACTATGTCTGCAAATGCTATCAAATTTTTCTAACAAATCTAATAAATCATTTATTTTTTTAATCCCCCTTATTATTGCAGTTTGAATATCATCATTGAAATGTCTTGCAATTTTCAAAACAATTTCGCTTTCTAAAGCTGATGGAATTAAGTCTTTGGCTTTGTTTATTACTTTAATCGCATATGCCGACCTAGACAACTGTCTGTTTGGTTTGTAAGAAACAGATTCTTTTTTACTAATTTTAAAGCGGATATCTTCATTCCAAAATCGATTAATAAATTTTTCTTTAAAGCGACCAAAGTGATCATCTTCTTCTTTAACTAAATTCCACCATTCTTTAGCTACTCCATCTAAACATGCTTGAATAACGCATTTAATTTCTGAATTTAAAATATCTTAAATGTCATATAATCTTGTAATTCTCTCAAAAATACCATTGGACGTTCTTGGATACTTCAGGAATACTTTGGTAATGGATACTCTCTAGTCAACGAATTTTTATTTGTGCATCACATCAGAGCACGATTTATGATCCCTTAGAACTGAGGGATGATGTTTATGAATAAATAAATAAGAAAAGATATCTTACCAACTTTATTCCAGGCAATAACGCGGAATGTGTAATTAGCCCAGGGACTCATTGGAACACTAATGGTGCGATCAGCCGCCGATAGGAAATCCACCGAACTCTTCCAAACATCAGGCGTAAATGTTGTATTATGCTGAACAATATATCCCAAAATTGGTGCACGATTATCACCCAATGGTTTCCATGATATTTCCGCACTGCGAGGCTGACAACGTACATACTCTAATTTCGGTGGATTTGGCGCATCTTGAACAATCAATGTTGCCTTTGCATGAACCTCATCGTATTCAGTTCGCGCAACACATGTGTACTCCCCTGTATCCAATTCCGATGTCTTCAAAATCGACAACGAGAGATCGGAACTTTGTACAAAACGTGGTTCACTCTCAAAATCTAATGGCTGTCCATTTCTCAACCAATCAATCTGCAGCGTTAAACTTGAATCAGTAACGGCATTACAGCGGAAAGTTGCCGTTGCACCGGCATTCACTTCATAGTCAATTGGCACGTCAGTGATACGCGTATGTTCCTTAACAGTCAATATTCCCGATGCTTGAACTTTATCGAATTTATTTTGCGCGTGACATGTATATTCACCAGCGTCGTTAAATGCTACATTATCAATTACTAAATCGCCGGTTGATTCGATCTTGTATTTTCCACCCGTGAGCTCCTGACCATTGCGAATCCATTTAATTTCCGGTTTCGGTGCGCCAAATACTTGACATGTCATTTTTGCCGTTTTACCATCGACAACAACCTCGTCGGTTGGTGGCATTCGAATTTCTGGCGCCAATGCGAGAACATTTACGTAAACATCTTTATAGACGTAACCAAGAGAATTTGTCGCGTTACAACCATAATTTCCCGTGTCTTTCTTTGTTAACCGTTCGATGACAATTTTGTTTGGATAAAGATGTCGACGCGGATTTGAATCAGCTTCAACGATTGGTTTTCCATTGTAGATCCAATTTATCTGCGGTTCTGGCACACCACTCGCTTCGCATCTGTAAAATTATGAATTATTTAGTTCCTTTTGGAAATAGAGGGAAAAATAAAATTGGGGTGAAATATTACCTGAACTCAACAGTCTCCTCTTCGGCAGCACTTTGGATTTCTGGCTCAACGGTGAAATACGGCACAGATTGCACTTCGAGTTTCATTGAGTGCGAAAGAACACTACCAACACCATTGGAAGCCTCACAAGTATAAGTACCCTCATCATCAAAAATCACAGTCTTTATCACTAACGTCTTTCCGTAATTTTTATGAGTCACACGTTCACTTAATCCAATTCGACGACCGTTTTTACTCCAAACAATTTCCGGCAATGGCGTACCACCGAAAATACAATAGAGCTCAAGTTTACCACCGCGAAATGCGACCTCATTCTTTCTACTCAAATATTGACTAACTGGCGCGTGTTTATTTTGCGTAGCCGACGCTGACGTACTTTTCACATGTAGAAGAACTTTATTACCGAGTTTATATTCGTTACGTACCTCGGAATAAATCGCGCACGTATAATAAGAATTTTCACTGGCATCGAATTTTGTGACATTACTGAACCAAAGATTTCCCTCGGGATCGATGGTCATTCGGGTATTATTAATTGTATTGACAGTGGCACCGGTCGCGTGTTGGATTAGCCAGAAGACACTTGGCTTCGGCCAACCATCTGGTGGCTGACAAGTCAACTGGAATGGCTTTCCTTCCTCGGCTTCTTTTGTTTGTCTACCCTGATCTTTGAATGCATTCAACTCGGTTTTACGAACGAACACCGAATTGGACGTTGCACGACCCCATTCATTCTCGGCGAAACACTGATACTGTCCCATATCTTCTTCGCGTGGCCTCGATATCACGAGGGTACCACGTCCCGTTTGCTGGGAAATTCGATCGTCGTAGGCCGGCCACTCGAACATCTTTCCGTTTTTGATCCATTTGTATCTGCGAACAGAATTTTAAGGGGAATGTTAGTGTGAATTGGCTTCTTTTCTTTTGGGGAATTTGAATAATTTCTGAAATTATTCACGAAGGGTTAGCATGGGAATCCTTATGAGTATCAGAAACTGAATATGGGGTTTCTGTAGAACTCAACTACTTAAACAGGTGGTCATACAGGAATGGTTTTTAATAAATACATGGCTCGACATCCAGTTAAAAAAATGCATGGTTTAACCCTAATGTTAGGGTTAGGTTAGGTTCGGTTCTTCTTCACGAATCTACTGTTTGAAGATATGGCGAATTTACATTACTTCACAAGAAGTGCAAATGAAAATAGTACAACTTTTGAAAATGATCTAGAAATCGATAGTGACTCAGATATTTTTTTGATATTGAATACGATAACAATAACTCAGAGCTAAGTGCTTCCGATACGCAAAGTGATAGTGAATACGAAAAAACTGTAACTTCTTCTCTTGACTCAATGTTTATTTCAAAAAACCAAAATTAATTTCACAGAATTGTTAGTTAAAATTTTAATTTTTAAAGATTTTAATTTGAAACCTTTTCAGAATTCAATTATTTCTAAAAATTTTATGCTAGTAATCAGGGTGTATAACAAGGATTGAGAAAATAATTCCCTAACTTTTTACTAATTTTATTTTTGCTTTCTTGGGACAAAAATATGATAACTGACATATTTAACAATAAATTAATATCTAATGATATAGAAGCAAACGATAATAAAAATCTTCTAAGTTCTGTTAGATTAAAAAAATTTTTTAATCACAAAAATTTTAATTTTTGTATAAATTTTTAGAAATTTCCCTGACTTTCAATGAAATTTTCTGACATTCCCTGACTTCCCCGACCGTTAAACAACCCTGTTAATAGTCTCCACCCTTTGGTAAAAAATCTAAAATTATCAAAAATTCGAAAAACCGAATTTCTTAAAATTTAACATTTTTTCTTCTCTTTTATGGCATTTAGCTTCATTATTTTTGTGCTCATCAAAAACAATTTACTTATTTAATTTCCTCCACCCTTTGGTAAAAAATCTAAAATTTTCAAAAATTATCAAAAATTCGAAAATGCGAAATTCACAAAATTCAACATTTTTTCTTCTCTTTTATGGCATCTAGCGTCATTATTTTTGTGCTTTTTGAAAACACTTTACTTATTTAATTTCCTCCACCCTTTGGTAAAAAATCTAAAATTTTCAAAAATTTTCAAAAATTCGAAAATACGAAATTTACAAAATTCAACATTTTTTCTTCTCTTTTATGGCATCTAGCGTCATTATTTTTGTGCTTTTTGAAAACACTTTACTTATTTAATTTCCTCCACCCTTTGGTGAAAAATCTAAAATTTTCAAAAATTATCAAAAATTCGAAAAAGCTTAATTATTTTTGGGCTCTTTAAAAACACTTTACTTATTTAATAGTCTTCACCCTTTGGTAAAAATTTAAAATTATAAAAAATTTCGAAAATCCGAATTTTTTAAAATTCAACATTTTTTCTTCTCTTTTATGGCATTTAGCTTTACTATTTTTGGGCTCTTAAAAAACACTTTACTTATTTAATAGTCTTCACCCTTTGGTGAAAAATTTGAAATTATTAAAAATTATCAAAAATTCGAAAAACCGAATTTCTTAAAATGTTTTAAGAATGTTTTGTATTAGAATTCGCGGTAGTTTCATATAGTTTATGAGGCAAACAAAAAAGACACAAAAAACTTCAGAATATTCTTATGAATTGTAAAAATCCTGTTGCATTAGTCGTAATGCTCATTAGGGTTTGTTAGTAACGTATCAGGCGAAATATCTCAGAAATAAAAATTATTTTCATTAAACACAAACAGAGCCTACAATTTTCTCACCGCATTAGGGTCTTTTTTCTTTAGAACGCGTCACAATTCTATTGGTATTTTAACAAATTTGTTGCTTGAGACAATTTTGACAATCAATGTCAAAATTGTTTCAAGCAATCATATATCAGGCAATTGAATAATCGTGAAAGTTTTGGATAATAAGGAACATAACGATTATGAAGAACGTAATAATGATTTTTTAAATTTGAAACTAAAATAATTTTAAAAGGAGAAGCTCATTTAAATTAATTGAAAAAAAATTGCCGAGTGAAATAACTTCATTAACATTCAAATGAATCGAGAATTTGAAATGAAAGCTTAAACTTCATTAAAGTGAGATGACTTCGGCTGAGGACTTAAAATTGAAAAATAACTTCCTGGGCTAAAGATAGATGTTACAATTGAAACATATTAAGTGAAGTATCTTAAGAATTAAGTCGATTCAATTGAAAGCAAATATTTTTTGTTTTTCCATAAACATTTATTATTTTAAGAAAATCATAAGAATCGATTAGATTATTTTAAGAAAATCATAAGAATTGATTAGTTTTTACTATTTTTAGGGAACTGATACATTATTTTATTATTATTAATACTAATTTAGAAAGGGAGTATAAATCTTTTTAAAAAAATTAATTTATCAAAAGAGGGTAAATAATGGGAGATTTGTGGTCAATAATCGACAAATTAGATAAAAAAAAAAAAAATGAAATAATTGAATGAATGAAAGAAAAATGAAATGGATATTAATTTTAATTAGAGTGAATGCATCTCGTGAGTGCAGAGTCTAAAAGGCGGAATTGGAAGGAAGAGGGGAAATGATAATGAATTCTTTTCGTTATCTTTTATTCAGTCTTTTTTAACTTTCGTGTTTCCCTTTTTTCCTTCTTTTTCATTTGTATAGTGCGGGTTGTAAAGACGTGATAATCACAAGAGAGACCACTCCCCATTCAATACGTTGACTGCTCACACTTTCTACACGTATATATATATTTATATTGTGCGTGTAAAATGTGTGTATTATACATATATTGTGTGTAAGTGGTAACTCAATACTGTCTAAGGTTTCTATGAGGTCATCCAAGTAATTAAGATCAGTTACTCTGACTTCCCCTTCCATCATACTAGAGCTTGACCCAAACTACACTCTCGACAAGTGAGTAAGACGACACTTTATGAATGGAACTTAAATTTTAACTGCTCGCGCTCATGGAATTTCCACTATTTGACAAATAATCATTTTTTCCCCGCAGTTATAAAACTTTTCTCAATACAAGAAGTAGTCACAAAAAAAAAGAACAAGAGGAGTGAAAAATTAATCAAAAATGATATATTTTCCCTTTTTTCTCTTAAAAGTCATATTTAAATATTTCCAAGTTGAAAATGAAGAATTTAATAAAAACCGAAAAAAGGAAATGAAATTCGAGTAAATGCGCTAAATTCTTTAAGAATTCGAATTTAAATGCTTTCGAAGTTAATTAAATTCATTCCTAGGCAAATTGGGGATTATGAAATTGAAGAGGAAAGGTGAATAAAATTATAATTAATAATAGAATAACCAGGTACTATTTTATTCGTAATTATAAAAGTAATTAAAAAGCATAGGGAATAAAGAGATAAATTCAATTTTGGAGATTGGAGAATAATTTATATAAATAAATGTAATAAAATGTAATAAAATGTAAATTTAATATAATTTAATACAATTGGAATTAAATGCGACATTAAAATAAATTGAAAGTAAGATAAATTGAAGCAGAATAAATTGGAATTAAGTGATATTAAAACAAAATAAATTAGAATTATAGGTAAATGCGTGAAGGAAAAAGGTGTTTATAAAAACATGAAAAAGACAAATTATTGGATTGATTGGAATAAGGAAGGGATTTGAATAAAAAATTCAAGTCTCTTTAAAATAATTATATCCAATTAGGTGTAAAAGTGACTGAATTAAATTCTTATCAGTTCTAAAAGATTTTTAAGGAATATCCAATATAAATATAAAATATTTTTAAATTTTCTTAAAATATCTCCTCCATCTTTAATGGATCTTAAGTTGTTGCAAAAAAATTATCAAAAATATCTTAAAATATTTCAAAATTTTCTAATAATATCTCCTTCATCTTTAATTATTTCAAAACTACCATAAAATTATTACTTACACGGAAAAAAAAGTACAACTGAAATGGAGAAATTTTTCGCCATAACAGCTAAACATTTCGTCAAAAACGAGCGAGCGATATTGGCATTATCGCTAGAATCGCGATATTGAATTTTACTTGAAAGACAACCTAACTCTAAAATGATATTTAATTTTTTTCAATTGTATGTTTCAAATTATAACCATATGAAAGTAAATTATTGAAATTAATACTGTTTTAAAACTAAAAAAACACAAAACTGATATTTATGCTGTCAAAAAAATTTCTTGGTAGGAGCCGTAGGAGCGGCAGGTTTCCATATACTTCCAATATGGCTGACGAATTGCACTCAACCAAAGCTCACTATCACTGAATTGGCTAAACTTTCGGCTAATGTAGTTAAGCTTAATTCCAAACGTGGGTTATGTTGTTCTTCATTTTAATTATATTCCCAATATTGCTCGTTCGCGTCATGAAATTTTTTTCCGTGTATAAATTATTTAATGAATAATTTTACTTAAAAATTTTTACTTAAAAATTTCAATAGAGTTTCGGTTAAAATTTTCATAAATAGATGAACTTCAAAGGTTTCAATTTGAAATTTTAGAAAATTTCAATTTTTAATGAATTTAAATAAAAAATTTTAAAAACAACTGATTACAGAAATTCAATTATTTTCAAAAGTGATAAATTTCTTCGCATAAATTCAATTATGTTACAAAAATTTTCAAAAATTCTCTCCTAAATTTTAATTATTTTATAAATAACTAAAAATTCTTCTCTAAAATTCAATTATTTTCAAAAATTTTAATAAAATTATTGGCAAAATAACAAATTTTTTTTTAAATTGTCGTCAAAATTTAAATTATCTTTAGACATAATAAAATTCTGCTCCAAAATTCAATTATTTTTTTAAATTACAAACTTCTTCTCCGAAATTCAATTATTTTTATAAATAATAAAATTCTTCTTCAAAATTCAATTATTTTCAAAAATTTTAATAAAATTCTTGGCAAAATATCAAAAAATTTTTTTAAATTCTCGTCAAAATTTCAATATCTTTACAAATAATAAAATTTTGCTCTGAAATTCAATTATTTTCAAAAATTTTAATTAAATTCTTGGCAAAATATCAAATTTTTTTCAAATTCTCGGCAAAATTTCAATTATCTTTACAAATAATTAAATTCTGCTCCGATATTCAATTATTTTTATAATTTACAAACTTCTTCTCCGAAATTTAATTATTTTTATAAATAATAAAATTCTTATCAAAATTCAATTATTTTCAAAAATTTTAATAAAATTCTTTGCAAAATTTTAAAAACTTTTTTTAAATTCTCGTCAAAATTTAAATTATTTTTATAAATAATAAAATTCTTCTCCGCGAAATTCAGTTACTTTGAAAAATTTTAATAAAATTCTAGGCAAAATATCAAAAATTTTATTAAATTCTCGTCAAAATTTAAATTATTGCTTTACAAATAATAAAATTCTGCTCCGAAATTCAATTATTTTTATAAATAATAAACTTCTTCTCCGAAATTCAATTATTTTTTCAAATAATACATTTTTTTATGGGAATTCAATTATATTTAAAAAACTTTGAATAAAATTCTTCAGAAGAAATTAATTATTTTTATAAATAATACATTGTTTCTCGAGAATTCAATTATTTTCACAAATAAAATTCTTCACAGGAATTCAATTCTTTAAAAAAATTTTTAATAAAGTTCGTGTTGCAAGAATTCAATTATTTTCGCAAAAAAAACAAAACTTATCGCAAAATTTCAATTTTTTTCAAAAATTTTGATAAAATTCTACATAAAAATTCGATTTTAAGAAATATTTAATTATTTAATTAATTATTTATTTTTTGTATTTAAAGAATTGAATTATCGAAAATTTTTCTAATAAAAATTGATTAAAAAATTAATTTTACTTAAAATTTTTAATTTTTAATATATTTAACTAAATTTTTTCTCCATCTTTCATTACTGTAAAAATTATTGATTAGTAAATTTGTCAAATTACCTTGGTGCAGGTTCACCCTCGGCCTCACACTCGATTAAAAATGGCTTTTCATTTTCGTTTTTGTTAACTTGAGCGACTTGGAAGAGTAATTCGCCCGTGGGTGGTTGTTTCGTTATAAGTGGAGGTGATTGTACTGAAAAATAAAGTGCATCACTGACAAGATTTTCAAGACTAGTTTCTAAAAAAAGAAAAGAAAATTCTAAGAAACATTGTGTTATATTTTTTTTTGTTTCGTCTTGTTCTGTTGTTCTGTATATACAATAAATTTCTAATATGCAACATTCGCTAAAGAAAAAAAAAAGAGAAAAAATTCGCAAACAATTTCTCGATAATTATTTATTTATAAAGCGGGCGGAGGGGGGGGATTAAACAAAAAGCAAAATTAGTGAGGAAAATAAGAAATAAGCGAAAATAAATAAAATAATTTATATTTAGTTATAAATATAATTATATATTAGATAATATCGAGGATAATATATAATATATTAATAATATAATTAGATAATATATAATAATTATATATTAGATCATAAATAAATTATTTATGAAAACAACAAGTACTGGATCACTGAAAATAAAAAAAAATTTGGCTTAAAAAATTCCATCGATTTTAAAGATAATTAAAAAGAACAATTATAAAAATAATTTTATAAATTTGTTTACAATAAGTTTTTTTTTTATTATTACAAAAAAAGAAGACGATTACTTAAACTTAAATTACAAGAATCGAAGAATTGTTTACGTATACAGCAGATTTTTGCGCTAAAAAAAGAAAAAGAGGTATTTTAGTGTAAACAAAAAGTTTCATTTGATAGATTGAGTTTACCACGATTTGAAAGGAGTTTGTTTTTAGAGTGTCTGGCTTAGTGTGTGAGGAGAATAAAATATGAGACACTGAAGATACTAAAAATTATGTATCTCTAATTCTCTATTAAAATAAAAAAAAAAAACACACACACACACATTCAATGTTAGTGTATTTACAAAAATATGTAAGGAAAAATATCTCGCTATACATTTATATATGTAACGATTTTTATGAAAACTATACACATATAGATATGGTCATTATGATTTAAAATCCAAGTTTGAATATAGTAGTAACTTAGTAAGAAGAAGTAATAATAAATGTCGACAATGAAAAATGGGGCGGGGACGAGAAAAATCTGAAGAGAACGAAATGGAGTGAACAGCATGATTCAATCCAAAGCAGGGAGCATTAAAAAAAAAGAAGAATGTGACGATCTGAAAAGTTTATTTCTTCTGCAGAATATTTTCGAAATTTTAATTTTTTTTCAACTTTCGAATTTTCTTTTTTTTACATTTTTATCGTTTTAATTCTTTTATATTTACTTTTTCAGTTTTTGATTTTTTTATATTTACTTTTTCAGTTTTTGATTTTTTTATATTTACTTTTATCGTTTTGATTCTTTTACATTTACTATTATCGTTTTGATTCTTTTATCATTTTCTTTTTACTTTTTAATTTCTTTTATATTTTTTATCGTTTTGAAAATTCCTTTATATTCACTGGTATATTGAGATGAATCGAATATTGAATCTTTCTTTATTGCTCGTCACAATAAAAGAATCGTACAGAAATGGAATTCATATGAATTGAAAATTTTCCAATACTTTTTCTTTTTTAAATTCGATCCCTAAAATTAGCAATTTGAATAGAAATCGGACCTAATTGACATTTACATCAACTCTCTTCTCATCTAAAATAACTCACCTAGATTCACTCCCACCTTCTATTATTATATTTTCCTCCTTTTATTTGAATACTCCTATGAGTTTTTCATTTTTCATTTATATTATTTATATTATTTATAAAAAATGAAAAACTCATAGGTTGGTTGGTGTTGTAACCAACACCAACCAACCTATGAGTTTTTCATTTTTTATTTTTCATAATCTTTCAATATCATTGTCAGTAAAATTTTTTTTTTTTTTTGTCAGAAATTTACTTTTTTCATAAGACTTCATTTCTTAACATTCTCATTTTAATTAATATTAATATTATTTTTTTAATGACGCATATCGATAAAAGGGTCCTAAAAAGAAAAATCTTATAGGTTATGTTTGTTAACTTTTTACCTTGAATAAAGGATTCTTTTTCAATTTTTAAAAACAGAAAATAATTTTTAACAAATATTTTTAATATAATAAAGGGTTGAACATAATTAGTTTGAATTAAAATTTAACCCACTTTATGCATTTTTACTTAAAACATTTAAACATAACCTATAAGATTTTGCTTCTTAGGTACCTTTCTTCGCGACGCGTCATATTATCATTAGGTATTATTATTAATAATTAATTTTATTATTATCATTATTGTAATTATCATTATTATTAAAATTAAGTTTTCATTAGAAAAAATTTGAAAAATATTCTGCAAGAAATCGATGAACGTAATGAAAGAGACACTAATTTTTGATGATTTGTGAATTGTAAACACGAAAATGCTCTTTGCATATGAAATTAACAATTTTTAGGGAATTCTTTTTTCACGTACGATACTTAGAGTAACTTTCACCTTCCACGCTATCCACGATTTCAACTATAAATTTAAAATTCTTCAATTATTAACAACAACAGTAACAAAAGTAACAATAAAAGAAGATCTAGGTCAATAATAACTCGAGAACGTTATATAATGCAATATAGTAAAATATAATATACTATATATAAAAATATATTAATATACTATATATTTAAAATACTTATTTCGTACTTAGGCCTTTTTTATAATAAATTAATTAAAAAATGGTTTCAATAAAAGGCAAATATTCATATAATATAACATAATATAATATATAAATTTGACCTAAACATTATATAATATTTCCAAATTATTAAAATAGTTTTCTATATTCTGTAAGTTGAAGTTAAAAAGAATGAAATAATAATTTTACTGCAATTAAATCAGCATTAAAATTATGATTAGTAATTAATTAATTAATACTTACTCAGAGCTCTGGCATGTAATGTGACCGCTAAGAGGACACACGCCGTTAACCACATGTTCTCTATTTTTTTTCAACTATCTGCAAACAAAAAGTTGATTAATTAATTTTTAAATCTCATTTACTAATATGAAATTAGACCTTTTGACTTTTTACATTCTCGCATATTATAAATAATGATTCTAAGATATTTTAATTATTAATAAATTTAATTGTAAAGTCTATAACAATTGAGTTAAAATATTTAAAGTTTCGCATCTATTTTGCATATATTAATTACGTTTACTCTTCTTTACGATCTATCACTCTTTTCATAAATAAATAAATTCCTCTACTATTTATATTTTATAAATAGTATATTTTAAATTTTAGTAAAATTTTAAAATAAATAAATATAAAATAATATTTAAAAATTTTAGTAGAAATTTTAGTATATTTATATTCTTCGCATCTGTTTTGCATATAATTACGTTTACTCTTCTTTACGATCTATCACTATTTTCATAAACAAATAAATTCTTCTACTACCGTCGTTTACATCAGATTTACCAAGTAAATTTATCCACTCAATTCTAATTGCATCGATATCATCATTTTCTGTTATATAGATTTTTCTTTCCATATTTATGAAAATAAGGTTCAACCTTCATATGAAACTCATTCTCAGAAATTACTAGTCCACACTTTTCACATCTTTTAAGCATTGTGAAATTTTATAGTTTTACCATCAATAGACATTTTGTGCTGCTATTTATAGTTAAAACGACAAATCATCAAACTTTTCTTATTTATCTTCAGAAATCTTAAGACTATAGTCAAAAAAAAAAAATTTTAATTAATTTTAAATATTTAAACATTTAATAAAAATATTAATTTTAAATATTTAAACATTTAATGAAAATAGTAATTTTAAATATTTAAACATTAAATATAAATATTAAATACAAATATTATATAAATAAATATTTAATGTTATAAAAAATAATAAAAATATAAACTAGAGTAAAAAATTTTCAGTACATTTCGATGAATTGCTTTGTAAATATTACCTGCAGTTAAAATTTTGATATTTCGGTAAAAGTTCTTAAAAATAAAAAGTAAAATCTTTTAAATAAAAACAATTTTCCAATTGTTGGTATTCCATAATAATTAGTAAATTCGTAAAAAATTATCGTTTATTAAGAAATGAAAAAAAAGTGAAACAGGTAAATTTTCATATTGTCGCAGTAATTTAAAAATATTCACTTCAAAGCAATCACTTTCGTAAATAAACAATTTAAAACAATGTAAAAATTCAAATGTCACTATTGTTAAATATTTAAATATTCAACAAACTAAAAATAATAATAAAACACTCTTGGGAACCATTTGGATGAATCACTCGGCAAATTCATTCATACAGAAAATCGATAGCGAACTCCTTTCACGTATATATATGTACACATAAAACAACCCCTCAAGTTTTCACATAAGGATTTCCTTGTTTTTCTCCCATTGATTTTTGGGCCCGAACTTTCCAAAATTCTGTCATGCGCCGTTCTTTATTCTATATTTTTTTTTTTTAAAAACGCGAAACCATTTCTTTCTAAAAAAGTGGAAGAAAAAAAAACTCCCACTATTTATAAGAATAAAATCCCGAAGGTGAGAAAAAACCCCGAATTACACAATCGAAATTTTTTACCACAAAGTCCTAACCTAAAAATAGAAAACCACTTTTTTATCCCTCTCGCGAAATGGATGATCTCATTTTTTTCAAAAATGACAACATAGCGTAAAAATAGTTTCTACCTGTATTATATTTCAATTCTTTTAATTCTTTAGTGTTTCTTTCTCCATCCCCTTTTTTTCAAAAAAGATAATTTAAACTCTAACCTCAAAAAATTGTAACATTTCGCCAATTTGGGAAAAAAAAATGAAATTACCGTTTTTTTGAGTGAAAAAAAAATTTTTTAATCATTAAGAAAGGAATGTTTTTTTTCTTAATTACGGAACAGACAGAAACGTGTCGCATTGGGTTAGGTAGCGGTCACACCCGAAGCAACATTCATCACTGACGCTATGTGTGTTTTTAAAATAAAGAAAGAAAATTTCCACTGAAAATTTTTAAGATTTCTATTTGATTGAAAAAATTCACCTCCACTATCACTCACTATTTAACGAAAACTCACCTATATATTGCGATTATTTTGGCTGGTCCTTGTCACAACACTTGACACTTTTCATCACCAAGGTGTCATTCGTATATATGTATATATATATACGTGTATATAAAACACTATACACGCCAACCACTGACTGACTGACTGCGACAGTGCGACTCCGAAACACAGCAACGACTGCTACCAACCAAACAATCAATGTTGCCATCCGACAAACTGACAATTTGTAAAAATCACTAAAACAGGTAATTTTTGTTTTGACAAATTTTGTTTTTTGTAAATATCTAAATAAGGAGACAATTTATAGGAGGGGGGAAGATTTTTCAATTGGCGATTTTTTGTATTTGTTATTTAAATTTGTAAAAATTGGAGAAATGTAAAAAAAAATGTTAGCTACTATAGATTTTAGGCGATGAGATTGTTTCATGTTGGTAGCATTGCTTAAAGTACGGTACTGTTTATATGAGTGAGTGAGAGGCAAAATAACTTTGGTGAATAATTTCGTAGTTACTTAACAAAGCAGTTATTGTAGGTTTACGACACTATTTCTTTGTAATTTTACAACGTTGAAAAGTAGTAAAAGTAGGAACTATTGAAGGCAATGATGCGACATCTAACGTATCCAGTGGGCATTCAGTGTCGAAGAGACATTAAAATCATAAAAATCTTAAAATTATTAAAATCAAGAAAATAGTATCTTAGGAAGGTTAACGGTAATTTAGCACCTACTAGCCCTACTGGCGTCTATGCTTGTCCAAAAATCAACGTACAGGGGCAGTACTTGTTTACAACCGATTTTCGTAACAATTTATCGAATGCCTTTAGTAATTTTTTGTGTTGAATTAAATTTTTTTTGGCTGAACGATGGAAAACAGTTTTTTTTTTTGCTAATTGGAAAGCCAAAAGCCAATTTTCAAGCAAATTTTCCTAAATTTTATCATTTTTTGTCCGCCATATTGGATCCGCCATTTTGGATTTTGAAAAACAGACATCGAATTCATAATCAGCGTCCCCAAACCCCCCTTGAGTAACAATTTCAAGAAAATTTGATTAAATTCTAATTTTTAAAAAATTTAACCGCCATTTTGTTTCCTGTGAATTATGGAAACAAATTTAAAGGGCAATAAGCATCTTTTATTTTAATTCCAAGTGACACACAGGAAAATGTTCCTTTTGGTAAAAACCAAAAAAATGTTAAAATAAAAAAAACAAGAAAGGGAAGAATAAAAATTTCAAATTTACTTTTATTTTTTTGTATTTATTTCGTGTATATATATATCATCTATATATATAATACAATTTCATGAATTTTTTCGAAACAATATTTTCTTAAATTCATGAATAAAAAAAAAATTTATAAGGAAAAATTCATTTTCCCTAAAAATGTTAGGACGTAATTGCCACGCACTCGATGACATCAATTTTTTTTTTCTACGATTAAAATTTTTAAAATAAAAATAAAAAATTGCCTATCTATATTTATACAGGATTTCGTTTTTCAATCTTGATCTACATTTGGAAAATTTGAAACGACATTCAATAAACTAAAATTTATTCGCGTTTCTATTAAAAAAAAAATCTATTTTACATTATATTCGATTCGAAAATTTACGAATCTGGAAGAGCAAGACTCTTAAAATTTTTCTCAGTTCATTTCTGTTTTTACATTAAATACTGTTTTTTGTCTCCAATTTATAACCGTTAAGTTTCCAGCAAGCCTTGCGAATGGATTTCGCTATCTGCAGGGTTGCAAGCACAGTTAATTGGAACATTGAAAGAAATTAATCGGCTTCGTTTACGTAACGAAGAAAAAATGTCACCTTCACTTGTTCGACGTGACGACAAAGTTTCATTGCTGCACTCGTTCGTAGATTCATGTGTTGTGTTAAGGATGGTAGATTCAAAAGCAGAAAAGCCAGTCCGTCAATTTCCTGGGGGGTGGAAAAAATTAGGTTAGAGCCTCAAAGTTTTATAGACGATAGGTTTACAAAAACCTAAAACAGTTAGTGGAAATCACTATCAATTGTTTTAGGAAACATATCAATTCAGAGTGAACTCCTTTTTGAAAATCAAGTTTAAATTTTGTAGAAATAAAAAAAACGTAACCCACCTCTTGCTTTACCCTGTAGGCAATATCCTTGCAATCGTTCGTTTTCCTCAAATATCGAAAGACATCGTCTACACTCCAAAACAATGGATTCGAATCCAATGTTCCATTCTTTGGCTTCTTGGTTGTCTTCTTCTGTCCCCTTGTGTAAGTAACGTCGATTTCAGATACATCATCAGACTCGACACTTGTGTCATCTCTCTCACGTTTAATACCACGTGTTCTCGTTGCTCCATTATGATTCGATAATTTTGTTTGTGATTTACCACCCGAACTACCTGGACTATCAAAATTACTGTCCTTACTCTTGCGATCGTTGAACGAACTCCGTGAATCCTCTGACCCATTACTCGATTGTGCCTCCAATTTAAAGTCATCAAACTTCTCCAATTGATTGCATTTCGAAAAGTCGTTTTCAATTGAAGATGGTACACGACCATCGCAAGATTCATCGAAACTATTGGAAATGTGCTTTGTTAGGTCCATCGATAAATAAGGCATGTCCTCGTCACGTTCGTCGTCGTCATTCTCCTTGTCCCGATTCGCCCAGCGACCACGTCTTCGTTTTCGACGACCTCCCCATGGTTTTGGCTTTTGGACCATTATACTCGTGTAGCCCTTTGGCTTTCCTCGTTTTCCATTGCCCACTGGAGCGGCTAAGGGAGAAAATTTCAAGATTAAAAGTCTGATTACTTTTTAAATTTCGAAACTCATTAGAGACATAAGACGTAATACTTAAGTCTCTAATGAGACATAAAACATAATATTTATGTTTCTAATGAGTTTGGAAGTTTAAAAAGTAGGATAGAGGAAACTTACTGAATTTCGTCTTCTGAGTTTTGTGACATCGATCCGGACATTCCTCCTGCAAAACCCGTACCGGACCAAAAAGATTAGGGCAGACCATCAATTTTTTGCAGATCATGCGACAAAAATCAGAGACCATATCGCCGGAAGTAACCACCGCGACACTCGCCCGATATGTATTATTTTTGTGCTTCGCCTTCAGGACCTCGAGATGATAACCATTTTTCGGTTTAGCATCGCATTGTAAAACTTTTAGTATTCTTGCACTTCGATAGCCAACCGATACAATCATTGAGAGGACTTCGCGCATCACCAATATTACCGGTCCGGGTCCCACGGCTTTTGGTAATGTCGCCAATTTCCCCTTCGATATCATAGGCCCCGTGAAGCATCGATAATTGAAATAAATCTTCGGACACCATAGCGAAGATCTTGGTTCATTTGGCGTTTCCACCTGAGCCTTCTTCAAATCCGTTGGTTGAATCTTACCACAAATTTCCACATAGTCCTTAGGAGGTTTTAATGGATAATGATTCGATTCACACCAACCGACCGGAAAGATATGCAATGAATTCATATGCACCACATGCTCTGGTCGACAATCCTCATAATTATCCAATTTTAACCATAATAAATTATCAATGATTTTCGTCACGTGCGCCGCACAAATGACATTCTCATTCTCTGGATCAACCGCCTCGAGACGCATTCCAATTTCAAAACCAATTTCCTGCGCGTTCTCTTTATGAGAAAAAAACGAATCCTCCGCAGCTATTGATTCGGTTGCCTTTAAATACTCCGACCAATTGAAGTCCAACGATTTTGAGATCCAACCTTGTGGATGTGTTAATTGTATTTCGTGTTTTTCGGCCCAACCCACGGGAAATATGTATGGATGATCGGCAGTACAGAGCCAAGTGTCCTTCTCGGCACTATCGTAAACAAATGAATCGTTTAGATCCTTTATTGGATCTTCCTCATCGTAAATATCAACTTTAACGAGAAAATAAATATCATCGAATACTTTAACAACAGATGCGGGACATATTTTTGTTCGATCGGCCGGCGATATTGTTTCTAATTTCATGTTACGTTGAAATTTATGTTTCTCGTGTTCTTTAATATTATCGAAATGACTTTCATTGTGATCGTAGTCCTTGGAACCGTTTTCCGTTAATTCCTTCCATTCCTCATAGGCGTGGGTATCAATTATCGATGTTGGGGGTTCTAGAAACCATTTTGATTTTGTACTCGAACTCGCTGAGAAACCATGACGATGTAAATGCTCCGATGTGCAGAATATCCAAAAATCTTTCATTGGCGATGATCCTGGGGTATCGTAACGAAGCAAAAGACGACCGCCAACGTTCTCGATTATCTGGAAATTGAAAATTTTTTCGTTCTTAAAGATTGGAGAACAATTGCAGAACCTTGCATGACTTTCTTTATTGTTTGCTTTCTCGAAGTGTAAGATAACCTCTAAAATCAACTTCTACTTACTCAAAATGTTTGTTAAAGAATAATTGAACCTCTTGATTTTTAAAATTTTAAATAAAAATAAACGAAACTTACAGTTGCAAGCCATAATTTGTACGGATGTCGAATATCGCTCACTTCAACTTTCATTCCCTGCTTTATTCTATCAACCATACTGAGTCCTTCCTGCGAAAAAATCAACAGTTTAAAATTAATTTTACCCTAAATTTATAATTTTTGTTTAACATTTTTTCAAAATTACTAAAATAAGATCCTAATAAAGTATTAATGAAAGAAAAAATTAAAATTTTAAATTCGAATTTAAAAATAGGAGAACTAACCCCCGAGAGCATTTCCTGGGGAACAGTTTTAGTATTCGATAAAAATTCATCAAGTTTCTCGCAACAATCGGGCGAACGTTTTTCAATTTCTTCCGGTGGTTGTAATTGTTTGCCATTTTTTTCACACCAACCAAGTTCATGGGCCGCTTCTTTCGTTAAATTAAACCAAAATTCGAGTGATCTATCGTCCCCGCCGAAATAACGTAATCTTAGCAGTGGTCCACACGCCATTACAATTGAACCAATCCAATAGGAAATATCCTCATTATTTGTCGATTTTCCATTTGGCACTTCAAGCGACATTCCAATTTCAATTCCACTTTGTAATGTTAATTCCACGTGGGGAAATAAAATTTGTGGCACTTCTGTACTTTCTGTCGCGTCCAAATAGTCCTGCCAAACAAATACGAGTTCTGCAACAAGATAAAGAAAAAAAAATTTAGACTAAAAATTTAAAATTAATTAAATTAATTAAATTAATTAAATTAATTAATTTAGACCATATTTAATCAAATTAGACAATTTGTATAACAAAAATATATTTTTTAGCTTGCAGAGGAACTTTCAGCTTTTACTATATAGTCTTCCAATAAATTTTTAGGCGCGAAATTCAAATTTCCCGCACGATTTTCTGCTTTACTGACAGTACACAAATTGGAAAATTAAAGGGTGTTGAAACTATTTGTAGAAGTTCCGAAAGTAATTTTAGATTGTAATTAAAAGTTCTGATCGTTCGGATAAGAAGAGAAAAAAATCTGATGCTATTTAAAAATCGAAATTTTTCTAGGTTAGGCTGAAAATTTTATGAAACCATCAAAAATGATTCGAGTAAATTTATCTTTAAAATGATTTTTTTTTTAAATTCGATTTTGTTTTCTAAGGGAAAATTTTAATGATAAATTCGGCTAAAATATAAGTTAAATACCATTTTTATTTAATGAATATACATTTCGATGAAAATTCGGCTCAAAATCCAAAATTTTTTCTTAATTCTTTACTAAATGATGAAAAAAAAAACGGTTTAATAGAGTAAAGTTGAAAGAAAATTAAACTATCATTAAATTCTTGGATATAAAAACAGCTTAAAAATTTAAATAAATAAGTAAAAATTTAAAAAAAAGGAGACGAAAATTTCTCAAAAACAAATTTTTTTTGTTAAAAATAAAAAGATACCTATTTAAATTTTATATACTACAATAACTGTAATTAAAATTCAATTCACATGTATATAAATAAAAAAGCATTAAAAATTTTTAACAGCACATAAAAATAAAAATTTTTTAATTTAAAAATTTTTCAATATTTTTGAATACAAAATTTTTAAATTAAAATTTTTTTTAAATTACAAAGAACAAAATACAAAAGTTAGAATATAAAAAAAAAACCATTTTTGAAAATTTTGAAAAAATGCAAATATATAAAATTACCTTCATCTGGATTTTTTTCCACTGCTTCACTTCCGCTTGATTCCATTTTTCTTTTTTTTTTTGTTCTCTATACACAATCTGAATAATATAAAAACATCAATATAATATACATATATATTCGTTTTTTTTTAAATAAAACTTTTACATTTATAGTCAACATATATATGTATATAAAAACTAATATTCAGGGTAATTTTCTTCAAAATTTAAAAATTTGAATTGAAAATTTCTTTAATTTCATGTTTTTTTCAATTACTTGTGATAAATTTTTAATTTTTATTAATCAATGAAATTATGAAAATTGAGAATAATATAAAAGGAAAAGTATAATAAGCAAAATACTCGCTATAACCACACAACTAACTCTACAACCCGTCACGAGAGCGTATATAGGGCTTTCAGGGCTGTATCTATTAAAATTAATTTATTTCAATATTTCTCACCTTTATCGAATGAAAAAAAAAATTTTATGAGAATTATGTAATATATTGGAAGTTATAATTATTTTTATTATAATAATAATTCGTAGAGAGTAACATTAAAGCAATTATTAATAATTATAATTTTTTTTTTAATATTTTTAAATCTTGAAAAAATATAAATACAAAAAATAATAATTATAGTAATTATTATTATTATTATATTAATAGTATTTATAATGTTTACAATATTTATAATAATTTATGATAATATTAATAATAACAATAATATATTGTACATTTGGTATACATATTAATAAAATTATGATTATTATAAAAAAACAAATTTTAATAGTTCTTTTGATAATTAACTATTATGTATATTTTTATATTATTTATTGATTATTATTATTATTATTATTATTATTATTATTATTATTATTATTGATATTGATATTATTATTGTTATTATTATTATTATTATTATTGTTAGAATTTTAATAATTATAATTAATATAAATAATAGGTTATTATTATAGTTCTTATTGTTTGCTTTTCTATTTGCTTTTTGTTAAAAAATTTTTCTTATTATTTTGTAACAAAAATTAATATTATTATTATTGTTTTTATTACATTTGTTGTGAAAGTTTTTATTTATTAGCACAAAAAACAGGTTTAAAAGTATTAAAAAATGCTTCCTTTGAAATTTTATCTGCCCGAATTATTTAAATATTAATCAATAATATTAACGCTATCTAGAAAATAAAATATTTTTTAGATAGAAATTATTTTTACTATAATTATTATTATTTATTTTATTATTATTTATTATTATAATATATAAAATCTATATTATAATAAGTAAAAATTTTATATAATTTGACGTCAAGAAAAAAATTTTTATATTTTCTACACTTTTAACCCCGGGTTCCAAAAAAAATACCTCGTCCCTGAACTCATTCGTTCTCTTTCTATCACACTGTGATCTCTATATAAAATTTGAAAATTAAATAAATAAAATAAAATTATTGCCTATAAAAAAATTGTTAATTTTTAATATTTGTTAAGAATATTTTTTCAAACAGTATATATTTTCAATTTCAATCGTTAAAATTATTGGCAAAGAGAAATTTTTCAATTTTTCTCCTTTAAGAATTGAAACAGGTAGAAAAGAAAAAAAATTATAAATCACTAACATTGTTGTCTTTCTCTATTTTCTATAGAGAAGCTTATTGAACACTTGACACAAACTAATTAAGAAATCATTAATGCAACTTTTACGGAAAATGCAACAAAGAAATGAATTTCCTGCAACATTTCGTAATCTTATACCTATAAACGTTTTAAAATGAAAAATAACCTAAAAATAATAAATATCAATTAAAAAAAAACTTTGCAATTTTAAAATAATTAAAATAATCTAAAAAGAAGTAAAGGAAACATTTTTTTCAATACTTCGAGAAAAATATTTGTTGATAAAAATTACAATATTGTGAAAATAATTTTAAAAAAACAATTTTTTTTATTTCCTGGTATAAAAAATTGGAAATATTTTTATCTTTGAAAATAAAATTTTTACGAAGAGAAAAAAATGAAATTTTTTTTACTGTTATGGAAAATTAAAAAAATACTTGTATTTTGATAAAAAAAATTAAAATTAATTTCGATAAGATTAAAATTCAAAAATAAAAAAAAGTTTAAAATAATTAATTATAAAAAAAATGCAATAATTGTTGTGAAAAGGGAAGGTCTTGTAACTTTTGAATATATATATGTTTATGTATAGATATATGTTATTCTGCGGTGTGTGATTTTATAAAAGTGTTTCTCTCTCGACAAAAAAGTGAAATGAATATACTTTACCTTTAAAAAAATAATAGAGAATTGAATGCAAAAGTTTTCTATTCTTTTAAACACTTATTAAAGAAATAATAATTTTTCACTTCGTCCATTAAATAATATTAATTTATTTATAAAATTAATTGTTTTTTTGCTTCACAGTAACACTTTACATTTGCTTTTTCTCTCGCGTCGAACAAAACGATCGCTTTGCACCCAAGAAAAGTTCACAGTGCTGCCAATTTTATAGAATTTGGTTCCTTTCAAATTTTACAACCATTCCATCAATTTCTTGATAGATAACAAAATATTTATTGCATTTTTGGAATTTATTTCCTTAAAAATTGCCCCGTTAATTAAAAAAACAATTTTATGTATTATGTATTTTGTTTCAACAATGAGACAACAATCTTAATTTTTTTTCACTGCACCAAAACAATTTTAAAATGTTGGCGACACTGTTTTTATTTAGCAGACGACACAATGGACGATGTTTGTATATATTTTTTTTTTTTTGAATAAAAAAACACGTGAGTTATTTTGTTGGAAAAAATTTTGAAAATAAAATTTTTTACAAAGCATGACAGTTGTTAATAATAATGAAGTTGATTTATGATGTTTGTCGTAAATATTGTGGGTTTAATTCAATTTCGAGACGATATTGTCATTTATCGAGAAATTTGGGTTTAAATGGCAATTCTAACCTTAAAAGTTGTGAAAAACAATATTTACGTTGTTTCGCCACGATTGTCGATGATAATTTATCGGAAAAGTTGGTGAAAAATTTTTTAAATCATGCGACAAATGTTTATGAGGGCAGAGAAAAGGATAAATCGGAAATTGGTGATATTCTCAAAAATCAGGATGTGAAACAACTTATGGATGAGAGAATTAATATTCTTGAGAATATTAATTCTTTGGAAGAATTAGGTAAGTGTTTTTTTACATTATTGTTTATTTATTTTTGTTAATAAAAATTCTAATAAAAAAATGACGAAAAGTTGGGTTTTCTTTCTGCTAGAAAAGTGTTTAGTACCCCCTCTATTTTGCCAATGTTTTCCTGGTCCGGCAACCAGTAATCGGCCATCTTGTTTATTAGAGACATGGGAATCGAAATTAAAAAATCGATTAATCGATCGATTATATTGAAATAACAAAATTCAATTATTTTTAGAAATTTAAAAAAAAATTTTTATAAATTCAATTATTTTTATAAATAACAATATTCATCGAAAAAATTCAATTATTTTCAAAAGTAATTAAATTCTTCGAAGAAATTCAATTATTTTTATAAATAGCAAAATTTTTCACTAAAAATTCAATTATTTTCAAAAAATTTAAATAAAATTATGTGCAAAATTTCAATTATTTTCAAAAGTTATTCGCAATTCAATGTATTTCAATATTAACTATTTTCATAAAATTTATCAAATAATTTAATTATTGAAAAAAATTTTTGATACTATTCTGCGAAATCATTCAACTATTTTCATAAATAATAAAATTTTATTTAGGAATTCAATTATTTTCATCGCAGAATTTCAAATATTTTTTATACAATTATAAATAAATTTCTCGAAAAATGCAATTATGCTTAAAAATTTTATTAAAACTTGACGCGAAAGAATTCAATTTTAAGAAACATTCAATTATTCAAAGAAATAATAAAATTCGTCGCAATAATTCAATTATTTTCATATAAATAACTTTTAATTCGTCGCAGGAAATTAATTATTTTCAAAATTTTTGAAGTAATTCTGCAAAAGAATTTAATTATTTTGATAAACAACGAAATTCTCTCGATGAAATCAATTATTTTAAAGGAATTTTAATGAAATTCTTTTCCAAAATTCAATTATTTTGATAAATATTAAAATTCTTCTCAAGAATTCAATTATTGTCAAAAATTTTAATAAAAAATTCTTGACAAAATTTCAATATTGTTTAAACAAAATTTAATAAAATACTTCGCATGAATTCAATTATATTCAAGAAAATTTCACGAAAGAATTCAATTATTTTCTAAAATTATAATAAATCCTTTAAAACAATTCAATTATTTTTACAGATTTTTATAAATAGTAAAATTTTTTGCAAAAATTCAATTGTTATCAATAAAAATTTGATAAAATTTCTCGAAAGAATTCAATTATTCTCAAAAAATTTCAAAAACTTTTAAATTCTTGTCAAAATTTAAATTATTTTTATAAATAATAAAATTCTTCTTCGAAATTCAATTATTTGCAAAAATTTTTTTTAAAATTCTTGGCAAAATATCAAAAATTTTTTAAAATTCTCGTCAAAATTTCAATTATTTTTACAAATAATAAAATTTTGCTGTGAAATTCAATTATTTTTATAAATTACAAACTTTTTCTCCGAAATTCAATTATTTTTATAAATAATAATATTCTTATCCGAAATTCAATTATTTTTAAAAATTTTGATAAAATTCCAGGCAGAATTTCAAAAACTTTTTTAAATTCTCGTCAAAATTTAAATTATTTTTATAAATAATAAAATTCTTCTCAAAAATTCAATTATTTTCAAAAATTTTAATAAAATTCTTGGCAAAATATCAACAATATTTTTAAATTCTCGTCGAAATTATAATTATTTTTACAAATAATAAAATTCTGCTCTGAAATTCAATTATTTTTATAAATTACAAACTTCTTCTCCGAAATTCAATTATTTTTATAATTAATAAAATTCTTCTCCGAAATTCAATTATTTTCACAAATTTTAAATAAAATTCTTGTCAAAATTTCAATTATATTTTTAATACAATTTTCATCAAATTTCTCGAAAAATGCAATTATTCTTGAAAATTTGATGAAAATTTGTCAAGAGAATTGAATTATTTAAAAATTTGTTGATAAAATTCTTTATGAAAATTCAATTTTAAGAAACAATCAATTGTTTAATAAAATATTTATTTTTATAGTTAAATAATTGAATTCTCCTAGAATTTTCTAGTAAATATTGATTTAAAAATGAATTTCAAATTAAAATTCTTTGAATATTGGAACTTTTTATACTTTTAATTAAGGATTCTATAGAATTCATTATTTTTTAATAACTTTAATAGAATTTTTTTTTAAATTTTATTTAAAGGTTTTAATTTCTAATATATTTAATTGAAGAATGTTACAATAATCGAATAAATTTCGTAAAATTAAATTTATTTCATTGTAAACAAAAAAATTTGAAAATTCACAAAGAATTTTTTCAAAAATTATTTTAAAAAATAGATTTAAAGAAGAATTTTAGTTGAAAATTCTAGAATGAAATAATCGTAATGATGAAAATAATTTTTTAAGAAGTTACAGTAACAAAGTAGCAAGTTTTAATTATTAAAAAACATGAAGAAAAGATCACTCCGAGTCTTCGACTCGGAGTGATCTTTTCTTCATGTTTTTTAACAATATTCTTATAAGTTGTTGAATTTGAATGGTTTGAAAAAATTTTAAATTCTATGGAAAATATTAATTAAATATTTATTTAAAAATGATGTTATTGATGTTTTGGAATAATTTTTGAAGAGTAAATCGACTATTTTATTTTATTAATTATTAATAATAATTTATTATTATTAATTAATTATTAATTTATTCATTAATTTATCGACCGAGTAATAACATCATTACTATATATAATTTTTAAAAAAAAATTCTTAAATGTATTAGAACATTCTTTAGGGTCAGGAAAAAAGTAAAAATTCTGTCTGGAAATTAGGGAAAAAGAAAGTTAAATTTTTGTGTCAACCAGTGGCAACCCTGATTGTTTTTTTTTTTGTTTTTTTGGCACTGCGGTAATTGGAGGAATTTAAAAATTCCTTTTTCTGTTACAGCAAAAGAAGACAAGGAAATGAAACAATTAGCCAATGAGGAATTCACGACATACAAAAAATCATTGACAATCATAAATGATCGCATCATTGAGTCACTATCAACTGTTCTTGCTCGTGATTTTTGTGATAGTGTAATTTTAGAAATAACCGCCGGCGTTGGTGGTCAGGAATCAATGCTCTTCGCCTACGATCTCCTCCAAATGTACCATCTTCACATAAACTATTTAAATTATACTTTTGACTATATCGAGCATGAAGTGACTCCAATTGGTGGTATTCGTCGTGCGAGCCTCACAATTAATGGTCCTGGTGTGTATGAGAAATTTCGTCACGAAGCTGGTATTCATCGGGTTCAACGAATTCCATTGACGGAAACATCGGGACGTATTCACACGAGTGTTGTGTCGGTGGTCATTTATCCACAACCAAATGAAATTGAGGTGAAAATTGAGAATAAAGATTTGCGAATTGATACATTTCGTTCGACGGGCGCCGGTGGGCAGAGTGTTAATAAAACCGATTCGGCGGTGAGAATTGTTCACATACCAACTGGCACAACAGTCGAATGTCAAAGTGAGAGGTCACAAATAAGAAATAAAAATATTGCGATGATTAAATTGAGGACAAAAATTTATGAGGCACGACTCGAGGAACAAATGGCCACTAGTCGTAATATTCGACGAAAACAAATGGGTTTTAAAAATCGTAATGAGAGAATTCGTACTTATAATTATTTACAGGATCGTGTGACTGATCATCGAATTTCGAATGGAACTTTGCATGGATTGAGTGATTTTATGAAAGGGGGTGTGGGGCTTGATGAATTGCAGGAAAAATTGCAGAGGGACTATGAGAGGAAGTTGTTAATGGACACAATTAATGACTGCGGAAAAAAATAATAAAAAAATAATAAAAAAATAATAAAAAAATAATAAATAATAATAAATAATAAAAAAAAAAAAAAAATTACTTTTTGAATATGAATTAGTAAAAATATTTACTAATTTAAATTAGTGACTGTTTTTTTGCTTTTGAATTAGTAAATTTTACTAATAAATTAGTAGAAATTATCATTTATTAGTAAAGTTTACTAATAAGTTAGTAGAAATTACCATTTATTAGTAAACTTTACTAATTCAAAAGCAAAAATTCAGTCACTTTGTCAAATTAGTAAACTTTTTTACTAATTCGAATTTAGCGAGCACTTCTTCATATATATTTCAGACTTGTGGAATTTTTTTAATTTCTAATTTCCAATTTTTATTTTTAAAGAAGAAAAGAAAAATATATTTAATAAACAATTTTTCCTATTACGAAAAAATTTTAGTTATGTTTCAAATTAGTCTAATTTATTGTACATATTATACCAAAGGAAACAAATAGTAAAAATAAAAAGGTTAAAAAATATTCTCCAGCCTCTATCATTTAAAAAATCGATATTCTTTTCTTTTTTTTGACAGTTTAAATTTTTCACATCCTTTCAAACTCAATTTTCTTCAACAGAAACTTTTTCGCCTTTCTATTAATTATTTTTTTTTTCGAAATTACTTTCAGTGAACAATGGAAACTCAACACGAGGTAATGTTACATTTGTTGCATTAACAGGCTTCGCACTTAATAATTAATTTTAAAAAAGTATTTTTTGAGACTGAAAAAAATAGTAAAAAAAAAGTGGTTAACGAAAAATTAAAATTTGATGACTAAAAAACTGGTTTTAGTCAATTCAGGAAAAATTACAAAAATTGAATAATGATTTTTGAAAGTAAAAAAATTAATTTTTTTCAAATTAATAAAAATGGTAAAATTTATAAAATTTATAAAATTTATTTCAATTAAACTTTGACAAAATTTCCAATTAATTTAAAAATGGAAATAAACATTTTTAATTTTTATGAGAATTTCCCTATATTCAACAAAATTTTATTAAAATTTTTCAAAAGATGAATTTTTTTTTATAACTTTTGAATTAAATTGTTTCTTACTGAAAAAGATTTTAAATAATTCTAATTTAAAAGCTTTTTGAAATTTATCTATTTCTAATTTCTAAAAATTAAAATTTATAACGCATTTTTAATATTTAATTTTAATCTCGATTTTAATCTAAAATTGTAACTGGAAATTCATTTTCAAATCAATTTTTATTAGAAAGTTCCACAAGAATTCATTAATTTAAAATACAAAAATAAATAATTAATAGAATAATTAATTATTTCTTCAAATTGAATAATAATTTTTTTTCACATTTTTAAAAAAAAAATTAAATTCCCAAACATTTCTTTAAAACTTTTGAAAATATTTGAATTGCTTTAAAGAATTGACATAAATTTTTTTTAAATAATCGATTTTGTTCAAAAAATTGTAATTTATAATTTTATTATTAAAGTTTATTAAAAATATTGTTAAAAAAATTGAATTATTTTCAAGAGTTTTATTAAATTTTTCGAAAATAATTAAATTTGTTTGACCAAATTCTTAAAGTCTATTAAAAATAACCTAATTTTTTTTTAAATGTTAATTGGAAATTTAATTTTTATTTAAATTTTGAAATTAATTAAATTTTTTTTTAAATTTCTCTGAAGTTTCTAAAAGAATGGTTTTTGTTAATAATTGAAAATAAAAAATTATATTTAAATTTTTAAGAAATAATTGAATTCCTTATAAGAGTTTTTTTTATTAATAAAGATAATAAAATATTCTTGTGAAGAATTTTATTAAAATTATTTTAAAATAATTAAATTTTTTTGACTAATTTCTTTAAACCTTTTGAAAATAATGTCTTTTTTTATAAAAAATAATAGATTAATTAATAGAATAATTGATTATTTCTTAAAATTGAATAAGAATTTTATCAACATTTAAAAAAAAATTAAATTCCCAAACATTTCCTTAAAACTTTTGAAAATATTTGAATTGTTTTGAAGAATTAAAAAAATTTTTTTTTTAAATAATCGATTTTGTTAAAAATTTGTATAGTTAATAATTTTATTATTAAAGTTTTGAAGGATTTTATCAGATTTTACGAAAATAATTAAATTTGACTAAATTCTTTAAATCTATTAAATTTTGTTGGAAATAATTGAATTCTTTTGAAGAATTTTATTAAAATTTAAAAAAAAAAGAATAAAGTAGCTTTTAGTGTCACAAATTTAAAAAAAAAGTATTCAAATATGTAGGTTTTAGTAGATGAGTGCGAAGCCTGAAATTAGATTCATTTTTGGAATTTGGTAAATTAATAAATTTCATTGCAAACAAATTTTTTTCTCAAGACAATTGATAATAACCTAAAGGAACAAATTCAAGAAGTTAAATGTTTACTGCAAGAAGTGGAGGTTAAGAATTTAAATTTTTCAAATCAAGAATCGTCCGGCGATTGGAACAATGCAACAAAGTGGAATGAAAAATCTTATTTTAACGAAAATGATGAATTGAGGGCAACATTGAGAAGTCGAAATCTTTACAGTGTTCCTAATGGGAAATTTAGAGCTTATTGGCAAGATAGAGTTACGGATTCAATAAGTATGAGGGAATTTTTTATCTTCTTTATTTTACAATCACTTTCGATATATTTTGCATTTAATTAGATATTTTTATTTGTCAAATAATACAATTTTTATGGTTGCTTTTTTAATATCCTTTTTTTTATAAGAATCGACACTCCAAGTATTTTTCTATATTCAAAATTTACAACCACACATACAAAGATTTACTTTATTTTTGAATAAAACTTTGGGTATACATTCTCGGATATATTATGCAGAAATAAAACAAATCGATTTTTTTAAAAGTTCGGAGTAACATTTCTCTATTTACGAATTGAAAAACAAAGGCTCTGAAAAAGAGCTTGAGAAATAACACAACACCATCGGTTTAATTTACAAATCGAAATTTTGGTTTGTGGAAAAATTTTCTCTTTATCTTTGCTGTAATTACTTCGAGTATAAAAGCCATAATAGCGAGGGAGTATCCAATTGTTCCTACATAAAACAGGGCAATAAAAATTTGTTCCTTCGAAATCATTTGCAATTCCGGCTTATTTGCTTGGCGTAAATTGAAATTAGTTCTGTAAAACTCTTTCGATAATCCAAATTCTAAAACGTATAAGATTCTTTTTATGAAATCATCAATATAGAGTGTAAAGCTATCTGGAATAAGTAGCCTGACACTATCAAAAATAGTTTCTTCCAATATTTTAACATCTGTTCTCCCATTTTTAGCTATATAATTATTAACATGATACGGAGCATTTCTTAAAATACAGGTAACATTCCGATAATCAATATAGTCCATTAAACAACGGTCTTCAATATTGTACTCCAAAATCCAATTTGTTTTTTCTGCTAATTTATATGCAATAGCAAACTTCTTATCTGCTCGAACATTTTCAATTGGTTGATGTAATGTAATAAATCGCAAGGAGTAATCCATTATTGGTGTTAGATTCGAATTAACAAGCTCTGCGAGAGTTGAAATTTCAGGAGACGGTCGAAAACCGATGTCGAGAATTATCGAGTAGAAATAACCAGTAAAGACAATGCATGTAATAATCAATGATCCAAAAACTGTTCTCTCTGCTAAATTCCGAGGTTCTTGATTCGTAGGCATTCCCATTATAATCTGACTGATGTTTAAAGTTTGCCACGTACTGTTGTTGAATTTCATCAAAAATACTACTAATCGTATAATAGAAATCATACAAACTGCGTTACAATGATCATGTACCAAAATTCCGTTGAAACATTAACGTCTTTTAAAAGTTTTGACGTTTTTGGAATCACTGCATTAACACTCATCAATTTGAGAATTACTAAATTAATCATACCCCTACTCGTATCATGATAATGTAATATCATATGGTAATCATCAGAACGATGCACTATTCCAGTTTCGAAAACGAAATCTCTTGCGAAAGACAAATTTGGTTTTCCGTATTCGAAGAGTATTTTACTCTGTAGCAATACGAATGGCAGCGTTTCAGTATCAAAGTACTTCTCATACATCAAAGTTTCTAAAAAATATACAGCTCTCATGTATTTCATCTCATATGAATCATTAATATATGAAATCTTCTCTGAAAACCACTGACAATCGGCGGTTGGTTCTTTTAAATACAAGTCGGGGAAATATAAAATATCTCTAGAAAAAAGTTGTAATTTCATGAAATTTTCTTCAAGTATTACAGTCTGGTCATTAATAGCTGTCAGAATACTAATGTCCAAATAATTATTTTCCCATACAGAAATGAATATTTTATCCATCTTTTCATCAAGTAAAGAAAGGGACGTTACTACTAAACATTTTGGATTTGATGGTCCTTTTAACAAATCAGAGTCATTAGTAAAAAATTCATTAAATTCTTTTATTGTTGTGTTTTCTGTCCACTGCAAAACGAACAATCCAGTAATTTTAGGTCGCAATAGTATCTGTAAACGTTTTTTTGTTAGATTTGAATTTATATCACTGTAGTTGACGGTCAACGATGGAAAATGTGAATTCACTGCTGACATAAGAGAATCCATTATTGGGTCCGGACGGTCCAATTTATCGTCAAGTAGGTACACTATCTGACGCAATCTGGAATGAGTTTTCAGATACTTTATCAATCCATCATAGTGATTACTCGCAGAAGACACTACCAGAATTTCTTTCCATAAAATTAAGCCGACAAAAAATATGTCTTTAAATTTCATTGTTGCACAACCACCGCTTTTGGTCGATGGAAATCGAATGACATTGACGAAAAGTTAAACTAAAATTATTAATTCTTTTATTTATTTAAGGAAAGAATTTGCCTTTGACCTACTACTGAAAGTAGGAAGTACTTCATTCTTTTGATGGAATATAAGAGTTCTTGATAAGTACTCCAGTAAACCATTTTAAGTGGAAAAGCTTAAAAAACTGTTTACGATTATCAATGTTTATGAAATTGTTACTATGGTTACAAAAACTAATATTTATTAAAAACTACTCCAAAAATTTTATAAATGCTCTTATTTGGTGTGGTACTTCTGAATACTTATAATTATAGGAGGAAATTGGAAAAGAAAAAGTTTAATGTTTATGAAATTGTAACCATGGTTATTAAAACTAATATTTATTAAAAACAAGGTACTCAAAGAAAATCCATAAACGTTCTTCTCTAATGTGGTACTTACGAATACCTTATTATTAAACTGAAAGAGGAAATTTGGAATAAGAAAGTTTATTATAATTAAAATAAAAAGTTATACTCTGCATTGTCACCCTTAGCCTACCAATTTTCAAAATTATAAAAGCCTCATAGGGGGATTCTGCTAAGAAGGGATCTTCAACCTTTTAACAAAATCTATGATCGAATAGCTTAGATTTACAAAGAATTGCTGTTAGATAACAAACACTTAAACTTTTATTGAGAGCCCTTCATTTTACCCTCGCAACTACGAATAATATAAATAATAAAGCCTGGGATGTAAAATTTTAAAAAGACAACACATTATTTAAGGACTAAATATGAAAATAAAACTGTAAAATGGCTTTTTTTTTACCAAATAAGCACAAAACTTTGGATGATCTCTATAATCAGCTTTCCCAAAAATTCTAAATCACAAAAAACTAAAATAATTTAAATTATGGAACTATAATTGTCACTCTGACTTAATTTTTTGAAAATTAAATTTTAACATTAAATATTCTTGCGTGAAACTAAAACTTGCACTTAATTAATTCTTCATAATTTAATGTCCATTTTTAACTGTAAAATTCAGTTTCCAAATTTAAGTAGATTAAGTAGGGTGCCAGTTTTAGCTTCATTTTTAAAATTAATGTTTTCAGATTCAAATTTTGATATCACACTAACGAAAACTGGGGAATCAAATTTTCTGTCAAGTTTTCGAGATTTTCTTGCAACTTATCAAGAATCGAATGGTACACCACCAACTGAATATTCATTTATATCATTAATTAAAGTTTTGGGTGAAGCGACTGGAAAATCTCTACTTGCTCTGGTTTACATTATTGTCAATACGGCCCCAGTTGTCGAGGTAATTAAAAAAAAAGAAATATTTGTCCTTTAATTTATAATTGGTATGTTTTTAGTTTTTTTTTATCAAATTTTACATAAAAGCCAAAAAGAGTTATTAAAATCATAAAAGATTTCTGATTAGTAATAAACATAAAACCACACTAATGATGACTTAAATATTAATTCAAAATTAAAAATTATTTTTCTCTTCTATTTAGAAAATTTTTTTCAATTTCTAGATTTTTCTCTACATTCTGAGATTCATATTGGATAAATTAATCAGCATTCGAGCGGCTGAAGATTATCGTCAAATAATAATTAAATCAATCATTCTTCTTGTACAATTTCTCAGTATTTACGTTTGTTTAGCATTTATTTTTGGTTTTATTTTAATTCCAATAGTACAAATTGTCTTTAATATAATGACAAAAGTTATGCTATTTGATCGATAATTTGAAAAAAAAAATTACAGAAATAAAATATAAAATTTTCGTTATTATATGTCAATCGTGAAAGGAATAAACTTGTAAATATTGAACGATATTAAATTCAAAATATATTTCTAATTTCTACAATTTTCTTTTATTTTCTATTTCTATCGATTTGCTCCAATTTCTTCGAACTCATTTGAATGTTATCCATAAATATTTTTCCTTTTAGAAAAGTTTTATGTAAATTAAATATTTAAAAAAGAAAATCACCAAAAAATGAAAAACAGTTTTTTATTTTTAAACTAATTATATACATAAATAGATATTTGTATCTTTGTTTCAACCTTGTACTTTTCATACTTTCTCTATTGAAGGAACATAGCAGAACAGAATCTTTTTCTTGCCTAACTGATTTTATATAATGATTATCTAAAAATTATTGTACTCCACTTTATCAGGAACAAAAAAGAATTTGTACACAGTTATAGAAGTATTTAACTGAAACTGTAATACCTGATTAGCTTTAAAACTGAACTCGAAATCTCTAAGAGAATTTATCATGACAAGTCGAAGTCATACTACATTTAATTTCATACAACACCATTGCATCGGGTTAATTTACAAATCGAAATTTTGGTTTGTGAAAAAATTTGTTCTTTATCTTTGCAGAAATTACTTCAAGTATAAAAGCCATGATGGCCAAGGAGTATCCAATTGTTCCTACATAAAACAGGGCAATAAAAATTTGTTCCTTCGAAATCATTTGCAATTCCGACTTATTTGTTTGGCGTAAATTGACATTAGTTCTGTAAAACTCCCTCGATAATCCAAATTCTAAAACGTTTAAGATTCTTTTTATAAAATCGTCAAGATTTGGTGTAAAAGATTCTATGACAAGTTCATCGATATTATACACAATCGTCTCATCCAGTATTTTGACATCAGTTCTACCGTTTTGAGCCATATAATTTCTAACATGATGTGGAGCATTATTTAAAATACAGGTAGCATTACGATAATCAATATAGTCAATCAAACAACGTTCTTCAATATTTTCCTGTACATTCCAATATCCCTTTTCTGCTAGTTGTCGTACAAGAATTAACGTCTTATATGTTTGATTCATATCAATTTCAGCATCTAATATATCATTTCTTATTTTGTAATCCATTATTGGTGTTAGATTCGAATTAACAAGCTCTGCGAGAGTTGAAATTTCAGGAGACGGTCGAAAACCGATGTCGAGAATTATCGAGTAGAAATAACCAGTAAAGACAATGCATGTAATAATCAATGATCCAAAAACTGTTCTCTCTGCTAAATTCCGAGGTTCTTGATTCGTAGGCATTCCCATTATAATTTGACTGATGTTTAAAGTTTGCCACGTACTCTTGTTGAATTTTAACAAGAATGCTACTAATCGTATAAGAGAAATCGTACAAATTGTTACAATGCTCATGTACCAAAATTCTGACGAAACTTTAACTTCATTTGAACTCACTGACATTTTTGGAATAACAGCCTTAATATGGCTATATTTTAGAACTAGTATGTTAATATGTCCCATATACTTAGAATTATAATAAGGCATGACAATTATCGGCATTTCAAGATCTATTTGACTACATCTGAGACCAAAATCAATTATGTGAGACAATATTTCTACTGCATTTACATTTAATACCATTTTACTATTGAGTAAAAAAAGCGGCAGTGTTTCAGATTCGAAGTACATCTCTTGTTTCAATATTTTTAGAAACCTAATAGCTTTCGTGTATTCTGCAACATATGAATCATCAGCAAGTGAAATATATTTTGGAAACCACTGACTTTCGGTTGCAACTTCTTGAAAGTTGAATTCTGGGATATATAAGTATTTTTCAAATGAAAGAAATAATTTGTTGAGCTTTTCTTCAGTGACTTCAGACCATTTATAAGTATTTGTCAAAATACTAAAATCCTGATAGCCATTCTTCACTACATTGTCTTTCACTAGAAATTCTAAGATTTTGTCGACGTTTTCATCAGGTACAGAAAAGTTTGTCACAAATAAGCATTTTGGTTTTGACGGTCCCTTTAAAAAATCATTGTCATCAGTGAAAAATTCCTCAAATTTATCGAATATTATATTATTTGTCAACTGGAAAACAAACAATGCAGTAATTTTGGGTCGTAATAGTAACTTTAAACGTTGTTTAGTTAGATTTGAATTTATATCACTGTAGTTGACGGTCAACGATGGAAAATGCGAATTCACTGCTAACATAAGAGAATCCATCAATGGGTCCGGATAGTCCAATTTATCGTCAAGAAGGTACACTATCTGACGCAATCTGGAATCTTCTTTGAGATACTTTATCAATCCATCATAGTAATTACTCGCAGAAGACACTACCAAAATTTCTTTCCATAAAATTAAGCCGACAAAAAATATGTCTTTAAATTTCATTCTTGCACAACTACCACTTTTGGTCGATGGAAATCGAATGACAATGACGAAAAATTAAACTAAAATTATTAATTCTTTTATTTATTTAAGGAAAGAGTTTGTCTTTGACCTACTACTGAAATGACTTCCTTCGTTTGATGGACGTTTATAAAGTACAAGGGTTCTTGATAAGTACTTCAATAAACCATTTTAAGTGGAAAAGCTTAAAAAACTGTTTACGATTTTCAATGTTTATGAAATTGTTGCTATGGTTACAAAAACTAATATTTATTAAAAACTACTCCAAAAATTCTATAAACGTTCATTATTTGATGTGGTACTTCTGAATACTTCACAGAGAAAAGCGAGTGTTGTTTTTGATGCGGGTAAATTTTGGTAGGGTAATTTTAGTGAGGATAAATTTTCTATAATAGAAAATTTACCTTATTTTCGGTGTTAAAATAACACTTCCGAGCTAAAGTTTGATGCAGACACTTTTAACACCGAATTCAGTGTTAAAATGACACTCACTTTTTTCTGTGTTATAATTATAGGAGGAAATTGGAAAAATAAAAGTTTAATGTTGATGAAATTGTTACCATGGTTATTAAATCGAATATTTATTAAAAACTACTTATAACCACTTAACTACTTCAAAATTATAAAAATCTCGTCGGGGTATTAATTAGTATGAATTGAATTGTATAAATAATAAATAATGAAATAGAAATTAATAATAATAAAAAAAGTAGTAAAAATCAAAAAATTAAAGGAGAATAGAATAAATAAATTTAATAATATAGATACATAAAAATTAAGTATTTCAAAAACACGAAAATTTAAAGCAATTAACTTTATCAGAGAAAATTATGGATTTTTGTTCTGCCTTTATATTATAAAATTATTATTCAGCTTTTGTATTTACGATTTCGAATACATTTATCTACGTCAGATATAGGTAGAGAATATTTTAAAATTTTTCACATGCATCACACAAAAATCAAGAAAAATTATTATGTACTAAAAAAAAGTTGCACACGTGTTTATTGATAAACATTTGAAGCGACTTCAATATTAACAAAAATTTAATTTCCCTTACATGAAAAAGTAATATTTTGTTTAAATTTTCAGATACCAAAATCGCAGTAGCAAGTTACGGTTCTTTCGAATCAGGCAGAAGGGAGCATTTTCAGCATCCAGGTAAGAAGTTATTTTTTTAATTTTATTAAATTATTGTAATATATGTGATGTAGTACATCTACGAAATCATAGTATTTTTATCATTGGTTTTTATCAAGTCATTTTAAGGAAGTTCGTATCTTAATTTTAAATTAAAAAGAGAAAAAGGTTTTTTATGAAAACCTTTATAAATATAATAAACTATTGAGGTGACGCCTTTTAGAAAAACATAAAGTTAGGTGACTATAGCATTCTGCAAGTATAGTTTATCTGAAAAGCAAAAATGTAATTGATTTATATTTATTATAAGATAGCATATGGCTCGCAATCGTAGTATTCAAACGAATATACCTGGCGCTTCTCGATATTGAGCTTAACTCTGTTATGTTTCACCGAATTAAGTTAAAAATTTACAGATGCACTTCTAAAAGAATAGATCATGCTTTAGCTAGTAAATCCTCAATACCAAAAACCCTAAATTAACTATATGACTAGAGTCAAATATCTCTCGATTATGACACTCGTCAAAACCGCGTCACGACTTCTTGGAAACCCGCAAAAACAAGTGTCGAACCATCTGATTGTCTCCAGTAGGCTACCTTATTATTCTTCTCATTTTGGCACTATATCTCTGTACCAAATACGATTTTCTTCAATCCTTGTGGATAACGCGAATTGTGATCTATGCTAATGACCTTTAATTTGTTCAATTTGATTTTTTCTGTTGTATAAATTAAAGAAGGTCTAAATAAGAATATAGATAGTAAATATAAAAAATAACTTTTCAGTCAAATTACATTCAATTCAACTGAAATCTGTGGAAGCAAAAAGGGAAGTTTTCAAAAATGGATGCCCTACATTTAAGTAATTCACTATCAACCGTACAGGTTATACCAATTTTCCAGTACTTGAGCATAATTAGCGATTTTCTATTCCTCGAGAATTATCTGCCAGAAGTAGATCAGTACAAACCTATTCCAGTGGTTAACGAACTTTATCGTTATTTCGAGGAGAATCGTGCTAATCAAAACAAGACGTTACTATTAATTCGAAATTTACTAAAAGGCAGTGATCTATACGGCGAGCAAGAAAATGAAACACCTGACGAAATATTCATTACTACATTGTTTGACTACATCATCAGTTCTCTAGTGTTTGCCAAATATGGGAATATTTACGGTTTTCTAGCTGAAAGTGTTCGTCAGGTAGATAATTTAAAGTTTGACTCAATTCTAGAGAGAATAGAAGAAAATCTTCAGAATGCAATATTCGAAAACGAATATGGCGATGGTTCGATGCTCACTCAATTATCGGGGTCCAGAATATTTAGGGAAATAATTTTACCACTATTTCCTCAACCTCTATTTAGTATGAATATACTGTCATTTGATTATTTTTACGCACTAGCTGGATCAACATATCTTCGACTTGGTAATTTAAATGAAACCTACTATTCAAATCTTAATTCAGAGAAAACAATTAATCGAATTTCGTTTGACGAATACGTGTCAATAGGATACGTAATAGAAGAACTTTACAACCAAGAAATTGATCTCGTAGCTTTAAAAGCATTTGCTCTTCCAGCATTGTTCTACTATGTTTCCATTAAAAGGGAAAATTATGACGACAAAATAACAAACGTGATATTCAATCCTCAACACTGGGAGAAGGCGTACAGTGTTTTTTTCGAATACCTCAAAAGTACTTCCAAGGAAATTGAAACTCAATTAGAGAATGATTACACCTACAAAATTCATCGAGCCTTTTCAAATTTTGTAAGTCGGGCAAAATATGCGAAATTAGTATTGGATTATCAGTGCAGACATTTAAATGATTTTCAACGAGAGTCAAAAATCGATATTTATATCGAGAATGCCGAATATTATAAATGCAGAGGTGGTGATTTTCTGCCAAACATAAACGATTGGTTCATGGAGCAAATTGATGCCTTTGGTGAACTATACAAAAAATACGATTACGGCATGATGCAGGAAATATTTAACGAATCATCAATAGATCTTAGGGACATTGCAGTAAATTTGATAGTAACTAATGACAAAGTGGAAAATGAGGATTTTAGCACATCGCAACATTTATCGTACGATTTACTTGAATTTCAGAACATGATTGCCAATACCATGGAGTATTATGCTATTGTGCGGGAAAATTACACCGTAAAGCTAGTTAAAGAATCCGATGATCAAGAATATTTCCAACAATTAATCGGTCCTTCCAAAAATAGTTTTATACACTCATCGGAACGTATTCTCCTGAAAGATACCTACCAAAGTCCGGAAACATTATGCCAAGTAATAACTGATTACAAAAAAAAACGTTTTCTATCCTACTTGACTTATTCTGACAATAGTCCTGAAAAAAGTAAATGGTGGAGAGAATTCGGTTTCTCCTTCGTGCCCCTCTATCCATGTGTATCGGACATCAACCATTATGGCGAATTATCAATAAAATTGTGCGAGCAGGAAAATATTGATTTTCTGAATAAACATCCCGAAATAATGTCAACAGATCTCATAAGCAATTCTACACAAATTATGCTATCTTCATTTGGTACAAGTATTGAATCTGTATTCTTGAAAAGTTACCTACACTCCAGTGTTGAGTCCCTAAAAAAATCAAGACCTAAAACAATAAAATTTCAAAAACCAACCGACGAATTTTATAAAAAACTATCATTGCAATTAGGAGAACCGAAATACGAGATTATGTGGTTTACCGACAATCAAATAAGATTTATAATGGAAATTTTGGATGACTCGAGTGGGAAAATTAAGAAAACATTTAAGTACGCCAAGAATGCTCTCTATAAATTATTCCTTTTAAAAGGCACATTCATTATCGATATTAACAGTCATGCATCTAATGATGAATTACATAAGTCCGTGTTTATCAGAAGTTTAAATGGTGTCACTGGTCATGGATACAAATTTACACTTGCTGACAATATCGACGATCAGACTCCATCAGCGTCGTTAATAACTGGTTACAAATTTAATGAGCTTGAAAATTATGATTTATCTCTTTTAGATACTTTATCAAAAACAATCCCCATTATTTTCAAAAATAAGCAGATTAAGTGTAACGCTGATAAAGTGATATGCAAAACCACCAACGCATCAACAAATGCTATTGAAATTTCATTTCAAGGTATTTGGAGTGACTACCGCAACGACGATGGCTGTGTGATTGTTAAGTATCTACAAGGAAAGATTAATTCTAGCATTTGCTTGAGACAAAAGAATTACCTTCAAAAGTTGATGAATGATGCTACAATATTTAAAGCTATATTAAAAAATACGGCAAATAAAGGCCCTGAACTTGAAGAGCAAGTACGTTCAATATTGAAATGGTATGTATTTCCAAACCAAAACGCATCGATATATTTTATCACAAATTGGATAAAAGATAAACAGTTTGAAAATTCAGATTGGAGTCAAGACAATGTTATTGACACAACGGGTGTGTTAAATCTTCTACTTTATAATAAAACTTTAGATAACAGATTTATGACGAAATCGGAAGCTGAATCTAAAATCAATGCCACTTACACTTATAGAGAACGATCCAAAATTGAGGAGGAAAAATCCATAGAAAATATACTGGAAAATTATCAACTTCAAAGAGAAGACTTCTTTGTAACATTTGATGATTATTACGCGATAAGAAATTTCATCACAACCGGATACGAGAGAATAATGAGCGATACCCAGGAGGCAAAATTAATGAAACTTGCTTTATACAGATTAGCACTAAGACAATCGATTGATTTTGATGACAAGAATGAAATGAAATTGTACATATTTGAATCAGTGCGTGAAGATATTTTTCGGAAGAAATTCATGAAGGATAATTCAGAGATTGCGGATTTGGGTAAAGATATTACGTTGCAAAAGTTTTTACTTACAATAGAAAGTGAAAAGAATGCACTGAGATTTACTAAAAGCCCATCAGTTGGATTTAGAAACATTTTGTATGAAATAAATTTTTCCAGTTTTTATTTGAGAGGAATAGTCGATGTTGAAGTTAGAAAGAACACCAGAGAGAAGAGAATTATTATTTTACCTGGTAATAAATTCCATCTTGAGAATATGTTTCCAGTGCAGACTGCAAGACTAGGTACATATTTTAAAGTTGTGTTAACTTCTAAATCCAAGGATATTAGTAAGTATGAGCAGTTTAAAAATGTAATGAAACAAATGGAAGAAATCGACCTATTAAAAATTTAGACTTTTTAATCCTCTTTATTTTTGAAATTTTAAGACTTAGGGTAAATAAAAAGATGTATCTATTATTTTATATATTTAACCCTCTTACATAAAATTAACAATTTCCTTAAATGAATGAAATAATGGAGATTACTTTGGGAGGTTTAAGAATATCGCTTTTTAAGAAAGGAAAAAAGTAATTTATACCATCAGGCTTTTTGTGATATTTGTGTATTTATGTAAAGTCTTCGTAAGAGATTTTTTCACAAAAAATAGTAAAATGAATTCGAGTTAAAAGAAATGATTGACAGATGGTAAGATGTATGTCTTTAATTAATCAAGAAGGTTTTATTTTTTATCTCTCGATACAGGGTCGAACTTTAATTTTTCTATTTTCCATAAAAGGTGGAGGTTTATGTTTTATCACCTAACATAATTGTGGATTTGAATAATTAAAGTTATTAAATAAGGGGTCGTTGGCTTATCGACTGTGATTTCCAGTCAGATGAGTTATAAGTTCTTTTATTGTTCAATTTACTTTTAAAAACTAAATAATTTAAAATAATACTTAAATAAAATTTGATATATTTAAATTGAGTGTATAAGATGTGTCTTTCTTCTTACCCTCCACTCTCCGTTGACTTTTGGAAATTCTCCTAATAGTATTCTATATTAACTATTCAATTATTTCAAATTCCATTGAATAAATCTTTTGAGTATATATTATGGGTAATATATTCTGTCTCGAAATAAAAATAATTCGTATTCTAAAATAAAAAACATCAATTTACAGAGTAGATAATGTTTTAGTTTAACCTTAAGTAAAACTATAGCTAATAACCTTACATAAATAATTAAAAAATACAAAAATGGAAAACAATATATCTTATAAGAGATAATTATGAGTTTTTTTTATTTGTTCTGTCTTTAAAAAAATTATTATTCAGCTTTTGCGTTTAGAATTTCGCTGCTTCAGATTGAAATGAAAGATATGTAATAATTTTTTACTTAATATCACGAAAAAAGCATGAAAAATTATTATTTAATAAAAAAAGTTGTACACGTGTGCATTGATAACCAATTGCAGCGAATGCAATAGTTAAAAAAATTTAATTATCGTCACACGAAAAAGTAATATTTCAATTTAATTTTCAAAAACTAAAATCGTAGTAGCAAGTTACGGTTTTCTTAAAACAAAGGCAAGCAGTAGCGGCATACAGGTAAGAAGCTATTTTTTAATTTAAATATCAATTATTCGAATATATGTGACGTACTATGCATACAAAATCATATACTTTGTTCAATTAGATTTTTTATGTTGCATCAATTAAAGAAAGACTAAATAAAAATATGGATAGTAATTATAAAAGAAAATTTTTTCAGACAAATTATATCCAATTCAACTGACAGCTGTGAAAGCAAAAAGGGAAGTTCCCAAAAATGGATGCCCTACATTTAAGTAATTCACTATCATCCGTACAGGTTATACCAATTTTCAATTACTTGAGCATAATTAGCGATTTTCTATTCCTCGAGAATTATCTACCAGAAGTAGATCAGTACAAACCAATTCCAGTCGTTAACGAACTCTATCGTTATTTCGAGGAGAATCGTGCTAATCAAAACAAGACATTACTATTAATTCGAAATATGCTAAATGGTACTGATTTATATGGTGAGCAAGAAAATGAAACACCTGACGAAACATTCATTACAATAATGTTTGACTACATCATCAGTTCACTTGTGTTTGCCAAATACGGGAATATTTACGGTTTTCTAGCTTACAGTGTTCGTCAGGTAGATAATTTAAAAATTGATTCTGTCCTAGAGAGAATAGAAGAAAATCTTAAGATTGAAATATACGAAAATGAATATGGCGACAGTTCGATGCTCACTCCGTTATCGGTTTCTCGAATATTTAGGGAAATAATTTTACCTCTATTGCCTCAACCGCTATTTAATATGAATGTACTGTCGTTTGATTATTTTTACGCACTAGCTGGATCAACATATCTTCGACTTGGTAAATTAAATGAAACCTACTATTCAAATTTTAATCAGTTTAATTCACAGAAAACAATTTATCGAATCTCTTTTAGCGACTACGTGTTAATAGGATTCATAATAGAAAGTTTTTACTCAGAAAATGTTGATCATGTTGCTTTAAAAGCATTTGCTCTTCCAGCATTGTTCTACTATGTTTCCATTGCAAGCGAACTTTATGACGAAGCAATAACAAACGTGATATTTAATCCTCAACATTGGAAGAAGGCGTACAGTGTTTTTTTCGATTATCTCAAAAGTACTTCCAACGAAATTAAAACTCAATTACAAAATGATTACACCTACAAGATTCATCGAGCCTTTTCGAATTTTTTAAGTCGGGCAAAATATGCGAAATTAGTTTTGGATTATCAATGCAGACATTCAAACGATTATCAACGAGAGTCAAAAATCGATATTTATATCGATAATGCCGATCATTATAAATGTAGAGGTGGTGATTTTCTGCCAAACATAAACGATTGGTTCATGGATCAAATTGATGCCTTTGGTGAACTATACAAAAAATACGATTACGGAATGATGCAGGAAATATTTAACGAATCATCAATAGATCTTAGGGACATTGCAGTAAATTTGATAGTAACTAATGACAAAGTGGAAAATGAGGATTTTAGCACATCGCAACATTTATCGTACGATTTACTTGAATTTCATAACATGATTGCCAATACTATCGAGTATTATGCTATTGTGCGGGAAAATTACACCGTAAAGCTAGTTAAAGAATCCGATGATCAGGAATATTTCCAACAATTAATCGGTCCTTCCAAAAATAGTTTTATACACTCATCGGAACGTATTCTCCTAAAAGATACCTACGAAAGTCCGGAAACATTATGCCAAGTAATAACAAATTACAAAAAACAACGTTTTCTATCCTACTTGAATTATTCTGACAATAGTCCTGAAAAAAGTAAATGGTGGAGAGAATTCGGTTTCTCCTTTGTGCCCCTCTATCCATGTGTTTCGGACATCAATCACTATGGCGAATTGTCAACAAAATTATGCGAAAAGGAAAATATCAAATTTCTGAATAAATATCCCGAAGTAATGTCAACAGATCTCATAAGCAATTCTACACAAATTATGCTATCTTCATTTGGTACAAGTATTAAATCTGTATTTTTAAAGGAATACCTACACAACAGTGTTATATCACAAAAAGCATTAAAATATAAACCAGGTTTAAAATTTCAAGAACCAACCGATGAATTTTATGAAAACTTATCATTGCAACTAGAAGAACCAAAGTACGAGATTTTGTGGTTTACCGAAGATAAAATAAGATTTATGATAGAAATTTTGAATTACTCGAGTGTGGAAATTAAGAAAACTTTTAAGTACGCCAAGAATGCTCTCTATAAATTATTACTAATAAAAGGCACGTTTATTATCAATTTAAATAATCGTGATTCTAATTATAAATTAAATGAATCCGTGTTTATCAAAAGCTGGAATGGTGTCACCGGTTATGGATACAAATTTACACTTGCAGATGATTTCGACAATCAGACTTCATTAGCGTCGTTAATAACTGGTTACGAATTCAATAAGACAACCATTTATGATTTAATTCTTCATAAATCGTTATTTATTAAAATTAACCTTAAATTCAAAAATAGGAGGATTAAATGTAGCGCTACTGAAATAATATGTAAAAACACTGAGCAATCATCAAATTCGATTCAAATTTCATTTAAAGATATCTTGAGTTACTACCACAATGACGATAAATGTATCACTGTTGAGTATTTGCAAAAATCGATAAATTCTAGTGTTTGCTTAAGACACAAAAATTACATTCAAAAGTTGCACGATGAAGATACAATATTAAAAGATGTATTAAAAAATACAAATAAAGATCCTTTACTTGAAGATGAAGTACGTTCAAGATTGCAATGGTACACATTTCCAAATAAAACGGCATCAGTATATTTTCTCACCAATTGGATAAAAGATAGACAGTTTGCAAATTCAGTATGGAGTCAAGACAATATTATTGATACATCGGGTGTTTTGTATGTTCTACTTTATAATATAACTTTGGATAACAGATTTATGACGAAATCGGTAGCGAAATCCAAAATCCATTCCCGTTACACTTATAGAGAACGATCCAAAATTGAAGAAGAAAAGTCAGTAGAAAGTTTACTTAGAGAATATGAAGTTCGAAGAGGTTACTACTCTGCTTCATTTGAAGATTACTATGCTATTAGAAATTTCATCACAACCGGATACGAGAGAATAATGAGCGATACCCATGAGGCAAAATTAATGAAACTTGCTTTATACAGATTAGCACTAAGACAATCAATTGATTTTGATGAAAAGTACGATTTGAAATTGTACATTTTTCAATCAGTAAGTGAAGATATTTTTCGGAAGAAATTCATGAAGGGCAATTCTGAGATCGCGGATTTGCGTAAAAATTTTACATTGCAAAAGTTTTTACTTACAGTAGAAAGTGAAGAAATTGCACTGAGATTTACTAAAAGCCCATCAGTTGGATTTAGAAACGTTTTGTATGAGATAAATTTTTCCAGTTTCTATTTGAGAGGAGTAGTCAATGTTGATGTTAAAATGAACTTCAGAGAGAAGAGAATTATTATTTTACCTGGTAATAAATTTCATCTTGAGAATATTTTGCCAGTACCGACTGTAAAAATAGGTACATATTTTAAAGTTGTGTTAACTTCTACATCCGAAGGTATTAGTAAGTATAAACAGTTTAAAAATGTTTTGAGAGAAATGTCAGAAATCGTCCCTTTGACATTGTGAATAATCGTTAAATTAAAATTAAAACTCTGAAGCGGGATTTTGTCACGCACAACATTTTATTATTTTATTCTGTAAATTGTAAATTTTCGGGAATTATTCAATAAAGCTGGAATCCTGTTTAGATTTCTAAAATTGTCAAATATTGAAATCTTGAGTTAATTATTAAATAATAATAAACGTAAATAAATTGTAATTTATGTAAAGTAAATTATTTAATTGTCTTCTTAAAACTAAATTAATCTAAATAAAATTTAAATTTGTTGATTGTGTATAAAGTGTGTTTTTTTCTCATTCCCCATTCTCCGCAGACTATTAGTAATTTCCCTAACAGTAATCTTTATTACTGCAGAATATAAGATAGCTGTAAGCATTTGTCCCAGAAGTTCATATACACTGAAGGATTGCCAAAGGAATCTAATAAGAATCAAATAATTATAAAATAATAGAATAAATAAATTATATAATTTTTACAAATAAGAAATAAGCAATTTAAAAAACAAAAAATAATAAATTGCTGCTGTTCCCGTCCAAGGAACTTAAATTACACAAATAGTATTATTATTGAAGAATTAAATTAGTGTATTAAGTAAATAGCTTTTCCCACTTCCTCCTGGCCCATCAATAAGAAACCATTTATCTTTATTTCCATTATTATGTACTGTATTAATGGCATTGTTAAATATATATTTTTGTGATGCGGTTAAGGTTTGAATTTTGTTTATAAATATGTCAATTTCTATTTTACTTTTATTAAACTTTTTTAATAAAAAGTTAAATAAATTGGCTAACAAATTTGAAATTGAGAATACATTTAAGTAATACAGGTTATACCAATTTTCAATTAAATATTAAAGGAGAATAGAATAAATAAATTATATAATATTCATACATAAAAATGATGTATATCAAAAACACGAAAATGTATAGCAACTAACCTTATCAGAGAAAATTATGAGTTATTTTATGTTTGTTCTGCCTTTATTATAAAATTATTATTCAGTTTTTGCATTTACAATATCGAAAATATTTATCTACTCTAGATACAGGTAAAGGATATGTAAAACTTTTTCACATACACCACACAAAAATCAAGAAAAATTATTATGTTCTGTAAAAGCTGCACACGTGTGTATTGATAAAGCAACTGCAATATTAAAAAAATTGAATTACCCTTACATGAAATAATAAAATTTTGTTTAAATTTTCAGATACCAAAATCGCAGTAGCAAGTTACGGTTCTTTCGAATCAAAAGCGAGAATTTTCAGCATCCAGGTAAGAAGTTATTTTTTAATTTAAATATCAATTATTTGCATATATGTGACGTACTACACCTACAAAATCAGAATAATGCTATCTTACGGAAACATTGTTTTATCGTAAACTTTCAATTTTGATTTTTTCGCATATTTTTTTTTTTCATCTGAAATGCAAAAATGTAATTGTTTGATTGCAGACACATTTGATACCGTATTGCAAAATTTCGGCGGGTTAATATTAAAAACAAAGAAATTAACAAATGAAATATTATATAAGCAATTTAGACAGTTTTCTTGAAAGTAGCAAATTGATATCAAAGTGTATCTAATTGATACTTATAAGTTATGTCGGGCTACGAATATTCTCGATCCACTTTAACCCATAACCCTTCTTTAGAGCCCTTTTATCCACCCTGGTATGTGCAATAAGAATTTTCAAGAATAGCACTCAATCTCTGTCGCGAATAGGTCTTTTCTTAATCACTGCGGATAACGCAAATCCTAATCTATGCTAGTGACCTTTAATTTGTTCAATTTGATTTTTGCTGTTGCATCAATTAAAGAAAGTCTAAATAGAAACATGGATAGTAAATATAAAAAATAATTTTTTCAGTCAATTTACATTCAATTCAACTGATATCTGTGAAAGCAAACAGGGAAGTTCCCAAAAATGGATGCCCTACATTTCAGTAATTCATTGTCAACCGTACAGGTTTTACCGATTTTCCATTACTTGGGCGTAATTAGCGATTTCTTATTCCTCGAGAATTATGTACCAGAACTAGATCTGTATACACCTATTCCAGTTATTAACGGACTATATCGTTATTTCGAAGAGAATCGTGCTAATCAAAACAAGACGTTACTATTAATTCGAAATTTACTAAAAGGCAGTGATCTTTATGGTGAGCAAGAAAATGAAACCCCTGACGAAATATTCATTACAACATTGTTTGACTACATCATCAGTTCTCTAGTGTTTGCCAAATACGGGAATATTTACGGTTTTCTAGCTGACAGTGTTCGTCAGGTAGATGGTTTAAAATTTGATTCAATTCTAGAGAGAATAGAAGAAAATCTTAAGAATGCAATATTCGAAAATGAATGTGGCGATAGTTGGATGCTCACCCCGTTATCGGTGTCCCGAATATTTAGGGATATAATTTTACCACTATTTCCTCAACCTCTATTTAATATGAATATACTGTCGTTTGATTATTTTTACGCACTAGCAGGATCAACATATCTTCGACTTGGTAATTTAAATGAAACCTATTATTCAAATTTTAAACAGTTTAGTTCAGAAAAAACAACTAACCGAATTTCGTTTGACGAGTACGTTTTAATAGGATACATAATAGAAGATTTTTATTTAGAAAATATTGATCATGTAGCATTAAAAGCTTTTGCTCTTCCAGCATTGTTCTACTATGTTTCCATTAGAAGCGAAATTTATGACGAAAAAATAACAAACGTGATATTTAATCCTCAACACTGAAAGAAGGCGTACAGTGTCTTTTTCGAATACCTTAAAAGTTCTTCCAAGGAAATTAAAACTCAATTAGAAAATGATAACACCTACAAGATTCATCGAGCCTTTTCGAATTTTGTAAGTCGGGCAAAATATGCGAAATTAGTATTGGATTATCAGTGTAGACATTTAAATGATTATCAACGAGAGTCAAAAATCGATATTTATATCGATAATGCCGATCATTATAAATGTAGAGGTGGTGATTTTCTGCCAAACATAAACGATTGGTTCCTGGAGCAAATTGATGCCTTTGGTGATCTGTACGAAAAATACGATTACGGAATGATGCAGGAAATATTTAACGAATCATCAATAGATCTTAGGGGCATTGCAATAAATTTGATAGTAACTAATGACAAAGTGGAAAATGAGGATTTTAGCACATCGCAACATTTATCGTACGATTTACTTGAATTTCATAACATGATTGCCAATAACATTGAGTATTACGCTATAGTGCGGCAAAATTACACCGTAAAGCTAGTTAAAGAATCCGATGATCAGGAATATTTCCAAAATTTAACCGGTCCCTCCAAAGATAATTTTATTCACTCATCAAAGCGTATTCTTCTGAAAGATACCAACGAAAGTGCAGAAACATTTTGCCAAGAATTAACATATTACAAAAAAGAACGTTTTCTATCCTACTTGAATTATTCTGACAATAGTCCTGAAAAAAGCAAATGGTGGAGAGAATTCGGTTTCTCCTTCGTGCCCCTCTATCCATGTGTATCGGACATCAACCATTATGGACAATTATTAACAAAATTATGCGAGCAGGAAAATATTAAATTTCTGGCTAAATATCCCGAAGTAGTCTCAACAGATCTCATAAGCAAATCTACACAAATTATGCTATCTTCATTGGGGACAAACATTGAATCTATATTCTTAAAAAATTATCTACACTCCAGTGTTTTGTCCCAAAAAGAATTAAAACCCAAAACAACAATAGAATTTCAAGAACCAACTGATGAATTTTATGAAAACTTATCATTGCAACTAGAAGAACCGAAATACGAGATTATGTGGTTTACCGAAAATCAAATAAGATTTATAATGGAAATTTTGGATGACTCGAGTGTGAAAATTAAGAAAACATTTAAGTACGCCAAGAATGCTCTGTATAGATTATTCCTTCTGAAAGGTACATTCATTATCAATATTAATGGTCATGGATCTAATGATAAATTACATGAGTCTGTATTCATCAAAAGTTGGAATGGTGTCACGGGTTATGGATACAAATTTATACTTGCTGACGATTTGGACCAACAGTCTCCATCAAGGTCGTTGATAAGTGCTTACGAATTTAAAAAACTTGGCAATTATGTTTTATCTCTTCCAAATATGCTATCAAAAAAAATTCCCATTACTTTCAAAAATAAGCAGATTAAGTGTAACGCTGATGAACTAATATGCAAAACCACAGACGCAACTACAATTGCTATTCAATTTTCATTTCAAGGTGTTTGGAGTAATCACAATGACGATAACTGTATAATTGTTGAGTATTTACAAAGAAAGATGAATTCTCGCGTGTGCTTAAGACACAAGAATTATATTCGAAAGTTGAAGGATGATGCTGCAATATTAAAAGATGTATTAAAACATACAAATAAAGATCCTATACTTGAAGATGAAGTGCGTTTAATATTGAAATGGTACGCATTTCCAAATAAAAAAGCAACGATATATTTTCTCACCAATTGGGCAAAAGATAAACAATTTGCAAATTCAGTTTGGAGTAGTGACAATATTCTTGACACAACGGGTGTGTTGAATATTCTATTTTATAATGTAACTTTGGATAACAGATTTATGACGAAATCGGAAGCGGAGTCCAAAATTAATTCCACTTACACTTATAGAGAACGATCCACAATTGAAGATGAAAAATCCATAGAAAATATGCTTGAAGATTATCAATTTCGAAAAGAAGACTACTTTGTAACATTTGAAGATTACTATGCTATTAGAAATTTCATCACAACCGGATACGAGAGAATAATGAGCGATACCCATGAGGCAAAATTAATGAAACTTGCTTTATACAGATTAGCACTAAGACAATCAATTGATTTTGATGAAAAGTACGATTTGAAATTGTACATTTTTCAATCAGTAAGTGAAGATATTTTTCGGAAGAAATTCATGAAGGGCAATTCTGAGATCGCGGATTTGCGTAAAAATTTTACATTGCAAAAGTTTTTACTTACAGTAGAAAGTGAAGAAGTTGCACTGAGATTTACTAAAAGCCCATCAGTTGGATTTAGAAACGTTTTGTATGAGATAAATTTTTCCAGTTTCTATTTGAGAGGAATAGTCGATGTTGAAGTTGAAAGGAACTTCAGAGAGAAGAGAATTATTATTTTACCTGGTAATAAATTTCATCTCGAGAATATTTTGCCACTACCGACTGTAAAAATAGGTACATATTTTAAAGTTGTATTAACTTCTATATCCAAGGGTAATAGTAAGTATGAACAGTTTAAAAATGTAATGAAACACATGTCAGAAATCGACCTATTAAAAATTTAGACTCTGTAAAAATCCTCAAAAAAAAATCCTCTATATTTTTGAAATTTTGAAACTTGGGGAATTAAAAATAAGTATTCTTTATTTCATACATTTATTATTTTAATAAAATATCCTTTAGTATTCTATATGCCATCTTATATTTAATGTATAATAATCGAAGTGCTTAATCTAAAGTAACTGAAAGCAGATTTTGAAAGTCCCTAAACACAAGAAGGATTGCTAAAGAAATTTTATAAAAATTAATTAAAGTGTAATAAGAATGAATAAATTATATAATATATATTAAGTGAGTCATAAATAATTAAAAAATACGACGCAAAAATTGAAAAAAATAAATCTTATCAAAGAAAATTATGAGTTTCCTTCAAAGTTATTCTGTCTTTAATAAAAAATTATTATTCAGCATCACGAAAAAGAAATGAAAAATTATTATTTAATAAAAATGTTAGACACGTGTGCATTGATAACCATTTGCAGCGAATGCAACATGTAACAAAAGTTTAATTTTCATCATATGAAAAAGTAATATTTCGATTTAATTTTTAAAAACTAAAATCGCAGTAACAAGTTACGGTTTTTTTAAAGTCAAAGGCGAGCATCTACAGCAACCAGGTAAGAAGTTTTTTTTTAATTTAAAAAGGAAATTATTTGAATATATGCGACATACTACACCTACAAAATCATAGTAATGCTTCCTTATGAAAATATTATTTTACTGGAAATTTGCAATTTCGAATTTATGGCATATATTTGTTTATTGAACTCAGAAATTTATTAAAACTTAATTTTTGCACTCACTATTAGTATTGTTTCATTCCTTTAACTTCTATTTTTTCCACTGCCACTAATTCATTACTCCTGCCATATCCTGATTCGAAATTTAAACCCTACTTTCATGGGGTTTATAAATAACTTTAAAAAATTTGGATTAAACTATCATTTTGAAAGAATCAACAAAGTCTCGGTAGATGATTGCTTTCCAGACCGTCTACTCAGTTGGGCAGCACCAAAAGACCGTAACCCTTATCTAGGAGCCCTTCTGATGGCTCCTAGATAAGGTTATTCCTGCAAATAACGTTAATCCTAATCTCTGCTATTGACTCTTACTTTGTTTAACTTGATTATTTTCTGTTGTATCGATTCAAGAAAGACTAAATACAAATATAGATAGTAAATATAAAAAATAATTTTTACAGTGCAAATATTTCCAATTCAACTGACATCTGTGGAAGCAAAAAGGGAAGTTCCCAAAAATGGATGCCCTACATTTGAGTAATTCTCTATCAACCGTTCAGGTTATACCAATTTTTCATTACTTGAGCATAGTTAGCGATTTTCTATTCCTCGAGAATTATCTACCAGAAGTAGATCAGTACAAACCTATTCCAGTGGTTAACGAACTTTATCGTTATTTCGAGGAGAATCGTGCTAATCAAAACAAGACGTTACTATTAATTCGAAATTTACTAAAAGGCAGTGATCTATATGGCGAGAAAGAAAATGAAACACCTGACGAAATATTCATTACAACATTGTTTGACTACATCATCAGTTCTCTAGTGTTTGACAAATACGGAAATATTTACGGTTTTCTAGCTGACAGTGTAAGTCAGGTAGATAATTTAAAAATTAATTCAGTTCTAGAGAGAATAGAAAACAATCTTAAGATTGCAATATTCGAAAGTGAATTTGGCGATATTTCGATGCTCACCCCATTATCAGTGTCCCGAATATTTAGGGAAATAATTTTACCACTATTTCCTCAACCTCGAATTAATATGAATGTACTGTCGTTTGATTATTTTTACGCACTAGCTGGATCAACATATCTTCGACTTGGTAATTTAAATGAAACCTATTATTTAAATTTTAAACAGTTTGATTCGCAGACAACAACTAATCGAATTTCGTTTGACGAATACGCGTCAATAGGATACATAATAGAAGAACTTTATAACCAAAAAGTTGATCTCGTAGCTTTAAAAACATTTGCTCTTCCAGCATTGTTCTACTATGTTTCCATAGAAAATAAAATTTATAACGAAAAAATAACAAACGTGATATTTAGTCCTCAACATTGGGAGAAGGCGTACAGTGTTTTTTTCCAATACCTCAAAAGTTCTTCCGAGGAAATTGAAAGTCAAGTAGAAAATGATTACACCTATAAAATACATCGATCATTTTCGAATTTTATTAGTCGGGCCAAATATGCGCAATTAATTTTGGATTATCGATGCAGACATTTAAATGATTATCAACGAGAGTCAAAAATCGATATTTATATCCACAATGCGGAATATTATAAATGTAGAGGTGATGATTTTCTGCCAAACATAAACGATTGGTTCATGGAGCAAATTGATGCCTTTGGTGATCTGTACGAAAAATACGATTACGGAATGATGCAGGAAATATTTAACGAATCATCAATAGATCTTAGGGGCATTGCAATAAATTTGATAGTAACTAATGACAAAGTGGAAAATGAGGATTTTAGCACATCGCAACATTTATCGTACGATTTACTTGAATTTCATAACATTACTGCGAATACCATCGAGTATTATGCTATTGTGCGGGAAAATTACACAGTGACGCTAGTTAAAGAATCCAATGATCCGGAATATTTCCAAAAATTAATAGGTCCCTCCAAAGATAGGTTTACACACTCATCGGAACGTATTATCCTAAAAAATACCAAAGACAGTGCAGAAAAATTTTGTCAAGAAATAACAAAATACAAAAAAGAGCGTTTTATATCCTACTTGAATTATTCTGACAATAGTCCTAAAAAAAGTAAATGGTGGAGAGAATTCGGTTTCTCCTTCGTGCCCCTCTATCCATGTGTATCGGACATCAACGATTATGGCGAATTGTCAACAAAATTATGCGAACAGGAAAATATTAAATTTCTGACTAAATATCCCGAAGTCATGTCAACAGATCTCATAAGCAATTCTACAAAAATTATGCTTTCTTCGTTTGGTACAAGTATTGAATCCATATTCTTAAAGAATTACCTAGCCTCCACTGTTAGATCGCAAAAAGAATTAAAACCCATAACAACAATAAAATTTGAAAAACCAACTGATGAATTTTATGAAAACTTATCATTGCAACTAGAAGAACCAAAGTACGAGATTATGTGGTTTTCCGAAGATAAAATAAGATTTATGATAGAAATTATCGATTACTTGACGTTGAGAATTCAAAAATCTTTTAAGTACGCCAAGAATGCTCTTTATAAATTATTACTGCTAAAAGGCACATTTGTTATCAATATTAATGATAATGCAACTACTGGTAAATTAAGTGAGCCTATATTTATCAGAAGTTGGAATGGTGTCACTGGTTATGGATACAAATTTGCCCTTGTTGACGATTACCACCAGCAGACATCATCAGCGTCATTAATAAGTGCTTACGGATTTAATGAAGTTCCCAATTCTATCATACTTCTTCCAAATTCATTATCAAGGAAAATTGAGATTAAATTTATAAATAAGCAGATTAAATGTAACGCTGATAAGCTAATATGTTCTAACCCGTCAACAAATGCGATTCAAATTACATTTCAAGGGATTTGGAGTTCACACAATGACGATAACTGTACTACTGATATAGATTTACAAGAAAAATTGAATTCTAGCATTTGCTTAAGACAGAAGAATTACATTCAAAAGTTGAACGATGATGAGACAGTATTAAAAGATGTATTAAATAATACAAATGAAGATCCGATGCTTGAAGCTGAAATACGGTCAATATTGAAATGGTACGCATTTCCAAATAAAACAGCATCAATATTTTTATTTAATTGGATAAAAGATAAACAGTTTGCAAAATCAGTTTGGAGTCAGATCTATATTCTTGACAAAACGGGTGTATTGAATCTCTTACTTTATAATAAAACCTTAGATAACAGATTTATGACGAAATTGGAAGCGGAATCCAAAATCAATGCCACTTACACTTTTAGAGAACGATCCAAAATTGAAGAGGGAGAAAGCTTAGAAAATATACTGAAAAATTATCAACTTCGAAAAGAAGACTACTTTGTAACATTTGATGATTATTATGCGATAAGAAATTTCATCACAATCGGATACGAGAGAATAATGAGCGATACCCATGAGGCAAAATTAATGAAACTTGCTTTATACAGATTAGCACTAAGGCAGTCGAATGATTTTGATGAGAAGAATGAAATGAAATTGTACATTTTTGAATCAGTACGTGAAGATGTTTTTCGAAAGAAATTCAGGAATTGGGGTAAAAATTTTACATCGCAAAAGTTTTTAATTACAATGGATAGTGAAGAGGTTGCACTGAGATTTGCTAAAATTCCATCAATTGGATTTATCAACGTTTTGTATGAAATAAATTTTCCCAGTTTTTATTTGAGAGGAATAGTTGATGTTGAAGTTAAAAGGAACTTTAGAGAGAAGAGAATTATTATTTTACCTGGTAATAAATTTCGTCTGAATATAATTTTTTCAGTGTCCACTGTAAAAATAGGTACATATTTTAAAGCTGTTTTAACTTCTAGATCCAAGGGTGTTAGTAAGTACGGACTATTTAAAAATGTAATGAGTCGAATGGAAGAAATCGGCCCAGTTGAAATTTAGACTTTTTAAATCTCTTTATTTTTCAAATTCTAAGACTTAGGGGATATAAATAGAAGTCTTCATTATTATAGCGTAACTAATTAATTATTTGATTATAATCTTGTTTTTTTCTGTTTCTTTAATATAAGTGCTTTGTGCGAAAGGGCGATTTTCTTTTTGTAAGCCCCCGTTGATTCTTAAATAAAATAAATAAAATTTAAATTTAGTGATTGTGTTTAAAATGCATTTTTTTCCTCACCCCCCCCCCCCATTCTCCGCGGACTATATTAGTAATTTCCTTAAAAGTAATCTCTATTACCACATGAAAAATTACCCGAAAAATTCCCAGAATTCTGTTATGATTCTGTTTCTCCATAACAAGACATATTAAATGAATAAAACATGTCAAACAAGACAAAAGTCCCTAACTTGAAGGATCACCAAAGAAATATATATTGAAAATCAAATAATTAAAAATTAATAGATGTTATACATTAGTAATTATATATTATATACAAATAAGAAATAAATAATTCAAAGAACAAAAATAGTTTAAAAATTAAGTTGTTTCTTTTATCATTAAGTTCATCATCTTTTATAATTAAGTTTCTTTATCAGAGACAATTGTCAGTTATCTTTATATTTGTTCTGTTTTTATTTAAAAAAATGTATTATTCAGCTTTTTCATTTACAATTTCAAATACATTTTATCTGCTTCATATAAATGTATTGAATATTTTAAAACTGTTTTCATACATCGCGAAAAAAGCAAATAAAATTATTGTGAAATTAAAAAATTGCACACGTGTACATTGATAACCAAGTAAAGCGACTGCAATATTAAAAAAATTTTATTTTTATCACATAAAACAATACTATTTGGTTTAGGTTTCAAGAACTAAAATTATACTAGCAAGTTGATTTTCTAAATCAAAAGCGAACATTAGCAGCATTTACGTAAGAAGTTTTTTTTTAACTTTCAAAAATTTTACTCTGTTCAAATTATTTTTTTCTCTTGTCTTATTTAAAGATCTATCTTTAAAGATCGCATAGAAATATAGAAGATAAATGTAAAAAATAATTTTTACAGTGGATATATTTCCAATTCAACTGATATCTCTGAAAATAAAAAGAAAATTTCCCAAAGATGGATGCCCTACATTTGAGTAATTCTCTATCAACCGTTCAGGTTATACCAATTTTCCAGTACTTGAGCATAATTAGCGATTTTCTATTCCTCGAGAATTATCTACCAGAAGTAGATCAGTACAAACCTATTCCTGTCGTTAATGAACTTTATCGTTATTTCGTGGAGAATCGTGCTTATCAAAACAAGACGTTACTATTAATTCGAAATTTACTAAAAGGCAGTGATCTATACGGCGAGCAAGAAAATGAAACACCTGACGAAATATTCATCACTACATTGTTTGACTACATCATCAGTTCTCTAGTGTTTGCCAAATACGGAAATATTTACGGTTTTTTGGCCGAAAGTATTAGTCGGGTAGATGATTTAAAGTTTGATTCAGTTATAAAAAAGTTAGACGACAGTCTTGAGAAAGCAAAATTCCAAAATGAATGTGGCGATAGTTCGACACTCACTCCATTATCGGTGTTCCGAATATTTAAGGATATAATATTACCACTATTTCCTCAACCTCTATTTAACATCAATTTACTGTCTCTTGATTATATTTACGCAATGGCTGCTTCAGCGTACCTTCGATTTGGTAGATTAAATGAAACCTACTATTCAAATTACAAACAATTAAATTCAAGGAAAAGAACTCATCGAATCATGTTTGACGAATACGTGTCAATAGGTTACATAATAGAAGAACTTTATTATCAAAATATTGATCCTGTAGCTTTAAAAACATTTGCTTTTCCAGCATTGTTACACTATATTACCACAAAAGAAAAAATTAATGCAAAAAATATAACAACGGTAATATTTAACCCTAAACATTTGAAGAAGGTGTACAGTGTTTTTTTCGAACATCTCAAAAGTGTTTCCAAAGAAATTGAAAGTCAGTTGGAAAATGATTACACCTATAAAATTCATCGAGCCTTTTCAAATTTTGTAAGTCGGGCAAAATATGCAAAATTAGTATTGGATTATCAGTGCAGACATTTAAATGATTATCAACGAAAAGCAAAAATTGATATTTATATCGACAATGCTGAACGGTATAAATGCAGAGCTGGTGATTATCTACCAAACATAAACGATTGGTTCATGGATCAAATTGATGCCTTTGGTGAACTGTACGAAAAATACGATTACGGAATAATGCAGAAAATATTTAACGAATCATCAATAGATCTTGATAACATTGCAATAAAATTGATAGTAACTAATGACGAAGTAGAAAATAAGAATTTTAACACATCGCAACATTTATCATACGATTTACTTGAATTTCATAACACTATTGCCAGTACCGTCGAGTATTATGCTTTAGTGCGGCAAAATTACACTGTAACACTCGTTAAAGAATCCAAAGATCCGGAATATTTCAAAAAACTAATCGGACCCTCAAAATATACTAATGAACGTATTGTCCTTAAAAATACCAAAGACAGTGCAGAACAATTTTGTCAAAAAATAACAAAATACAAAAAAGAACGTTTTGTATCCTACTTGACTTATTCTGACAATAGTCCTGAAAAAAGTAAATGGTGGAGAGAATTTGGTTTCTCCTTTGTACCCCTCTATCCATGTGTATCGGACATCAATCACTATGGCGAATTATCAATAAAATTGTGCGAACAGGAAAATATTAAATTTCTGACTAAATATCCCGAAGTAATGTCAACAAATCTTGTGAACCAAAATACAAAAGATATTCTATTCACACTTGGAACAAATATCGAATATGTATTCTTAAAGGAATCTCTACGCTCCACTGTTATATCCCTAAAAGCATCAAGATCCAAATCAACATCTGAATTCCAAAAACTAGCCAATGAATTTTATGAAAAATTATCATTGCACCTAGAAGAACCAAAATACGAAATTATGTGGTTTTCCGAAGATGGAGTACGATTTATGATAGAAATTATAAACTACTCGGATGTGAATGTGAAGAAAATGTTTAAGCACTCGAAGAATGTTTTGTATAAATTGTTACTTTTGAAAGGCTCATTTATTATCGATATTACTGATCATGAAGTTGATAAATTAAGTGAGTCCATATTCATCAAAAGTTGGAATGGTGTCACTGGTTATGGATACAAATTTTCATATGCTGGCGAAGATGCTCCATCAGCTTCCTTATTAATTGGTTACGAATTCAAAGACGTTGGCAATTCAATTTTACTTCTTCCAAATTCGCTATCAAATAAAATTCACATTGAATTTAAAAGCAAGATTAAATGTAACGCAGATGAACTAATTTGTAAAAATAATGCTACACCGACGATTGACACTTCGTTCATTGGCATCTGGACTCACGAAAACAATGAGGATAAATGTTCCTATATTAAAGGAAAGAGAGAATCTGACTTTTGCCTAAGACACAAGAGTTACATTCAAAAATTTAATGATGATGCTGCAATATTAAGTGATATATCAAAAAATGCTGCCCTTGATCCTTTAGTTAAAAATGAAATACGTGAAATATTAAAATGGTTCACATTTCCAAGTAAGAAAATAGCGATAGAATTTTTAACTAATTGGATGAAAGATATACTGTTCGTAAATTCAGTTTGGAGTCGTGACAATATTCTCGACACAACGGGTGTGTTGAATGTTCTATTTTATAATACATCTTTGGATAATATATTCATGTCGAAATCAGAAGCGGAATCGAAAATCAATTCCAGTTACACATATAGAGAACGATCCAAAATTGAAAAGAAAATGTCGGTAGAACATTTACTTAAAGAATATGAGGTTCGAAGAGGTGACTATTCTGCAACATTTGAAGATTACTATGCGTTAAGAAATTTCATCACAACCGGATATCAGAGAATAATGAGCGATACCCATGAGGCAAACCTAATGAAACTTGCTTTATACAGATTAGCACTAAGACAATCAGTTGATTTTGACGAGGAGAATGAAATGAAATTGTACATTTTTGAATCGGTAAGTGAAGATATTTTTCGGAAGAAATTCATGAAGGGTAATTCAGAAATCGCGAATTTAGGTAAAAATATTACATTGCAAAAGTTTTTACCAACAATATTAAGTGAAGAGGCTGCATTGAAATTTGCCGAAAGTCCAGCAAGTGGTTTTCGAAACGTTTTGTATGAAATAAAATTTTTCAGTTCTTATTTAAGAGTAATAGTCGATGTTGAAGTTAAAATGAACTTGAGAGAGAAGAGAATTATTATTTTACCTGGTAATAAATTTTATCTAGAGAAAATTCTTCCAGTGCCGACTGTAAAAATAGGTACGTATTTTAAAGTTCATTTAACTTCTGCATCGCAAAATGATAATAAGTTTGAATTGTGTAAAAATGTACTGAGGCAAATGGCAAAACTCGACCAAGCATAAATTTTCAATCTAACCTTAAAATTTTAAGACAAAATTATTTTACGCATGCGCAGTAGTGTTCTGACGCAATTACACATGCGCAGTAGTGTTGCGAATTAAATATTTTACCTTTAAGTAAATTTCCATGTAAAATTGAATGTTAAAGAATAATTGTCTGCAAATAAAAAGCAATTTTACAATTAAAACGTTTATTACATATTTTACAAATAGATATTTAATTTTTATCTAACTTTGAACTATTTTTTTTATCTTTGTTTTTTTTATTATTTTATAATAGTAATTGGAAAAAAGATGCGTTTTTAAAAATTTTTTGTTTCGATTTCTTAATTCTAACATATTTTAATTATAATTATAAGTACTCAGTAAAATTTTTTTTTAACAAAATGATATATTTTCTTTTGAATTATGTATATATATAAATACTCTGAGAAAAGACAGACTTTTTAAATAATTAGTTTTGCAATTATTATTATTTTCAATATTTTTTTTTTAATTATAGATGTAAATATTTCAATTCTTTGGAAATATGACGAGAAACAAAAAATTTGCATCTCGTCTATTTACATAAAAACATTAGATATAGATATACGTATAAAATCTACAACGTTATCGACAATCTAAGTTTAATTTTCTTCCGCATAACGTAAAAAAAATTAAATTTTTTCATAAATTAATAACTTGAAAAAAATAAAAAATGAATTTTTATAACTAAAGAAATTGTATTAAATAAATAAATTTTTCTATTCTGACCCTTTTTCTAAAGTTATTAAAATTTACGAGAACTAGAATATTATAAGTTCTTTTAAATTTATTTCATTATGTATTAGAATATTTTTTTTTACATTTAGCGTAAAAAAGGGGAAATGTAATTTACTGCTCTCTTTTAAAATTATTTATAAGTCACAATAAATTAAAATATTAAATTTTTTCTGAACTTATGTAAATCACTTTTTTTTAAATTAGTTTGCGATGTTAAAAAGAAATGATGAAGATGATGTTTTGAATTTGTACAAAAAAGCTTTTGTTTGCAAAGAAAAAGAATATTTTCTTATATTAATAACAACAAATAGAGTACATTTTATAAAGAAATTGATGATTTCGTTTTGGAAAAGTGAAATTAATATTTTTTTTTATTTAAATTTCACGATGCGTATTTAAAGAAGACAAATCTACATTACCGACCGAACATAGATTAGAAAAACAAGTGGAAAAAAATTTTTCACTTTCGATATTATTTTATAATTCCAATTAAAGTTTTTAAATATTAATTCTGCTAAATAGTGAATATATAAATTAACTGAAAGTTAAGTAAGTTAACTAAGTTTTTTAATTACTTTTCATTAAATTAAAATAAAATAAAAAATTTTTAATCACTTTTAAATTAAATTAGATAATTGAACAAAAATTAAAAGTTGTTTGAAAATTTTTTTCAAATAAACTATTAATTTCCTCCTCTTCGAAATAATTACATCTAGTGAATGATTATAAAAATATTAACCTGTAAATTAAAAAAAAAAGAATTTAATTTAGTAAGCAAAAATTAGAGGAATGATGGAAAGTAAAAGAAGTGAGAAATTTGGTAAATGAAATATTGGAGCTGAACTCCATCCACATTCGAGATCTTTTTTCAGAGCATCGGAAACTGTCATATTATTTTTGTTCATGCAAAATGTTTCACGTAAATCGTCGTCCCAACCATTGTCCCAACAATTAAATTCACTGTCCTCCTCACGTTCGTAATTTGTTAATTCATAATGTGAATTGCATCGATCTTCCTGATACTGTCTGTGCTTACGTTGCCACATTTCAATCCATCTGAAAAAAAATTTTTTTTTTTAAATTTCGACTTAAATTTAAATTTAGAAATTTAGAATTTAGAATTTTTTAACAAAATTCTTAATTTAAAATTTTTTTTTATTGTTGTCGATTTTACCCAATATCGCAGTCGCAATTCAAATGACTTCCAGCCATTCTGAGTCTCATTAGAAATCTTTTTCCTGGGACACTTGGTTTATGAGCTGACGAAGGATTCATTAATGTTCTCACATCATTATTATAAAGATCAATTGTTATATTTCTCACGGATATTGCATTTGTGAATAGATCCCGATGAATTGTACTGATACTTGTATTATGAAGACCAAAATGTAAATGTGGACTTTTCATTCCCTGCGGTTTAAAAAATGAATCATAAAAATTGATAAACAAATTGTCAGGGTTTACAGGAGAAAATTAAAATTAAAATTTAAAAAAAAAATTTTAATTACCATTAAAATGTCGTTGTGCAAATGTTTGAAATTTCGACCACTGAAGGTAAAATTGTAGAGTTTCACTGGAAACTTTCCCTTCATCTCTTTCTCGAGACTTGTCTCGTTATGCACCTGAAGAAAAGATAAAAAATAATAAAATGAATTTATATATTAATAAATAAATAAATTTAAAAAAATAAAATACATTAATAAATTAAAATAATTTTTCTATTCTTACATGAATAAACAAATTCTTGAGTCCATGATTGTATTCTAAAAGATTTGGAAAATTGAAATGTTTTATTTCCGTGTATGCAGTTAGCAGCAGACTTCGAAGTTTCGATGCCTTACAAAGAGCTCCTGCCTAGAAATTGAAAACAATTTTTTACAAATTAACTAAAATTGCTTTAAAATCAAGTATTCTGAAACAAAATTTAAAATAAAATCAATAAAATATTTTTAAAAATATTAAAAAGTTGTCTTTTAAATGATCCCTAGTAGAAATTTGTCGTAGTATTTGTAATGGCACTGGACAGTTTCGCTGGAAAATTTCGAGGCACTTTACAGTTAAACTGGCTAAAAACTATAAAGTGATGTCACGCTAATTTCTTCAAGTTATTGTCCAGTCAAATTTTACAGTTTTTGATCATCAGTCCTGTAGAAAAACTATACAAAATATTTCTTTTAAAAATTAAAATTTTTTTTTTATATTGACTTTAAGTATAAAACACATAAAAATTTTGAAATAAAACGATATATTTCGAAATCAAGAAAGTAAATAAATTAAAATTATACAACAAATTTTTTTTAATGTTGCTGTGTTTATTTTTTGGTATAATAAATGATATATAATAAATAAAATGTAATATTATTTTCAAATAACTATGTACGTAATTTATAAAAAATTATTGTAAATATTATTGATTCCTATCATATAATTTTTTTTAATAATATTTATTAAATTTAAATGAATTTATTAAAAAAAAAAATTTACTCATATATAAGAAGAATTTATTTTACCAAATATGTGTTTTAATATTTTATTACACACCTTTCACCTTTTCTTTGAATGAAGAACATCACACTGAAATATAAATTAATTAATCACACTATAAATTAATAGAAAACCTAAAGAATTAAATTAATTAAAACGAAAAATATCGAGGGGGGGCGGGGAGCGAACACGGGTCCGCTTGGACGATATAACGCACGCTTACGCATCACGGCCGTTCTAGTCGGTTGATGAAAAGGCATGTTCTTCACGGGTATAATCGTACAGTGGCTGACACTCTGACAGTGAACGACACTGGCTTCTAAAAACGATAATAAATATAGCAAAACGTTATTAAAATGTGTTAATTAATATTCTAATATATAATATTTGTGGAAGCTATTAAAGTATTAACAATGTTTTAGTTGTTTACATTTTCGATGGCTTTTTGGAAAAATAACCTCTAAAATGTGACAGTTTAGCAAAGAAATTTTAAACAAGCAATTTTTAATTAATAAATAGTTTTAAGCAGATACAATTTATAATTTTACACGTGTAATTTAAAATTGAAAAATATAATTTTTAAGTTCATTTATATTTATTTCAAATACAAATTTTTATTAAATACATTGTAATGAGAATTATTTCATCTGAAATAGTAAACATATAATAGATATCAAATAAAATTTATATAAATATATGGAATCTAAAATATAAAATAAATAAATTTCAATATCTTAACATTTTTATATTTAGCAGAGAGAAAAGAGAACAAAGTTCTTACAAAATTGTGTTTTCCTAACCTAAAAAATGATTAGTATGAAATTTAGTTATTTTTATCTATTTTGTGAAATTCGTTCAAATCAAATTATAAATGTATTTTGAATTTTCAGGAAATAAAAAATTTTATTCACCAAACTAAACATAAGTTTTTAGTATCAAAATGTATACATTTTTCACGAGTTCTATTCAAAATACATATATTTGGTAATGAAACAAAATGTTGAAAGAAATATTTTTTCTAATTATGATTTCAAGAAAGTTACACACTTGAGAATTTCTAAATAAAATACAATAATAATTTGAGTGCAAACAGTAAAAAAAAGGTTAAAGTAAAGATTGAAAATATAAAAATACATATTACACATTTAGAAATAATATTGCAATTGTATCCGAAATTTTCTAACCTTAATTAATATTAAAAATTATCATTTAACAACGAAAAAAGTATATTATTCTGCAATTTCCTGTTCTGCCTGATCAGGTTCCGCTACAGTTTTTTTTCGTTGTTGACGGAATCCATCCCAGTCTTTTGAATTCGATAAAACTAATCCTAGTTTTTGATAGAATACTTTTTCTGAAAACTCCACTGATTTAGTTTTGCAATGACTAGTCAGAACGTCTGAAACATATAATTTATTTAAATTTTATTAAACGTTTTCCACAATAAATATACATTCGATTAGAACAGTGATAAATTAAATTACCAAGTAAACATTTGCAAATAGGCGTCCCTCTAAAAATCTTTTTTCCTTCAGTTAGTTTACTTGCAGTAAAAGACATTGCAATATCTCTGCTCAGAATTTTTTTTAAAACATTCGTTATTGAACGAGAGAGAACGTTTTCTTTATCTAAATGAAAGTACAGGGATTGCTCCTGTAAAATAAATATTAATATAGATTTATCTTAAAATATGAAAGAATTATTAGAAATTAAGTAATTTTTAAATTTATAAATCCAAATGAGAAAAATTATAATTTTATGAATTTATACTCACGAAATGATTTTTAAACGTGTCATTGGTTATTAATAATTTCTCGACCTTTTGCAAGCTTTCTTCATCTTTTACAGGTAATTCAATTTTGAACTCATCACTTAGGCTTCTAGTCTCTAATTTTTGAGACCTCAAAAATGCTTCAAATAAATTTCTCATATTTGCAATCTCCAGTTTTAGTTCTTTTATTTCATGGGTTTGAGCTTGGAGTAAATTCAAAATTTTCTGATCAGAATTTTCTAATCGGTTATTGGTTTGTGCAAATGAGTTTAAAAGAATCAACTCGCTTGAATTATTAGTGTGTACCAAATTTCCTAAATCTGTAAATTAAAAATAATTTTTTATTGAAAACAATAGATTTTCTACAAAAATAAGTAGAATTTTATACTTTTTAATAAATTTGATAATCACCTAGTATTTCGGCATTTTGGAAAGGTTGAGGTGTCTCCATATTATAAGTTCTCGAAGTATCAGGCTGCTCAATAGGTTTTGAAAGATGGCTTTGCTCTGAAATATCAAAAATGGTAAATAAAATTTTTAACTTAAAATTAATTTTTCAATCACAAATTTTGTATAATATAAAAATATATTTTTTAACCTGAAACTTCGAACATTTGTTTAAATATTTAAATATATCATACGAAATAAAAATATAGATACGAAAGTTATCTTTTTTAATAATTTAAACTTGAATAATTAAAATTATTAAAGCATAATTAAAATTATAATTGAAAATGAATACATAAATTTTATTTAAATTGAATAAATAATAAATTGATTAATTAAATTTTAATTTATGAGTAAAAATAAATAATTTTAAATTGTTTTGCACCTGGAATATTTGCTGCTATTGAAGTTTTTGATAGAGAAATGTTTGAAGGACCTGCCAAATCCAATGAATTGTCTGTAGAAATATGAAAGCTATAATTCGAAAATTTATTTAAACTTGAATAAATTGAAATAATTTTTACCTTTAATCTCAGCTGTCATCTCAGTTGGCACTAAGTGTTTAGTTTTAGAGGACTCTAAAGAGGTTGGCAAATTTAATTGATCCACTGTAAAATATGAAAGATATAAATTGAATTCACAATTTAAAAATATTTTAGAAAACTGCATAAAAAATGGTTTTACCTTTGGTTGTAGATTTTGACTTTGCATGTGCAGAACTCTTGAACTTTCTTTTATCCGAATGTTTATAAATATTGGTCCTCTTCTTAATTTTCTTCGAATCCTTTTTTTTTTGTTCTGAAATACTTTCTGATGATGAGACAATTTCATCTGGAGATGATTCCAATTCTTCTGAATAAGAATCCGAATTATCATTTTTTTCAAATTCTTTATTGAAATCCGTCACTTTCAAAATCTCATTTATTTCTTTTTTAGTTAAATTTTTTTCTTTTGCCAATCGATACGAATCAGTTAATTGTTTTGCCTTTTCAATGTGATTTTCGGTAGTATCTGTTGTGAATCCATATTCTTTTTCTCTTAAATTAACTAAACGCTTTTCAGCAACTTCGTATGTGTCTAAAATAGAAATTAGTGTAAGAAATAAAATGTATGTACATGCTTTTAAAAATTTTTTAGACATATATTATACCTGCTTCTCCTTTTAAGGAAATTTCAAAAACGGGCCAATCTGCAAGTGGGTCTTTACAATTTTTCACTAATGAGTGAATTACTTTAGATTTTTTTGCTGTATATGGTCCATTCGGAAAATGTGTCACAAGACTACCAGATACTGGATCATATTCAATCCATTTGGCAGGAACTATATCACAATCCGCAATGCCTTCTTCTTCGCAGAGAAATTTTATTATTTTGAATTTTCGACTATTGGCCATAACCTAAAAAAATTAGATGAAATATGCACATAAGACGAAAGGGTTATGATATATAAGACATATATGCTTATATTTCAAATATTATGTCACTAGATAATTACTAAAAACTAATACTTACTAAAATGCGTTTCACTTTTGTCTATAATAATATATAATGTAAAATACGTTTAATTGTCAAAACAAGTTCAATCTCATCACATTATTTTTCACTGTTGCCAGATGATTTTTAAGAGAAAAAGTAAAACAGATACCACTTTCCTTTAAACTAACGGAAAATGCAAAACACGAAATGGAACTCCAATCAGAATACTCCGTAGAGAAGAATTCATGAAGATTTCGACACTCAGCTAAATTTCGATTGGTTTTCTATATTCCAAAAGCGATGAAAGCGCCATGAATTATGAGTGTTGGTAAAACTGAATATACATTTTTTTGCGCTAAATTTAAAATTTCTTTGCAATATACATTTTTGTACAATAGTATGAAAGTCACAATATTTTGTATAAATGATCTGGTTTTATAGTTTACAGTTACTAAATAAACATTCTTTTAAATAAAAATTTATGTTTAAAAAAATTCTTTTCAAAATTTTCAAAATAATTAATTAAATTATTAATTACATTAAAATGTCATATTTAAAAAAATTGTTATTTAAAGCGCAAAATTTCAAAGAAATTTTTTAATTTTCTTTAATTAATTAATTAATTAAAATAAAATGGCAATTTTTTCGGATTTAGATAAAATAAAATTCAACTGAAATTAATTACAATTAAAATTAATTATTTCTTCCAGTTGAAATTTATAAAAATTATTAATTTTAAAAATTTTATCAATTTTTTAATTATAATAATTATTTTAAAATTTATTCAAAAATGTTTGTCACATTTTATGGGAATATTTATTAAATAAGTAAGTAAATAAACATTTTAGAATAATTTTTTAAAAATATTTATTAATCAAATATTTTTTTTATTGTATTATGTTAAAGCGCATATTTCAATGTAACAATGGCATAACATAGTGTCTATAATTGTCATTTTCTTTATAATTTACACTTATCTTAACCAATTTACTGTCAATTAACTCTAAAGGAAATGTGTATTTATTACTCATTAATCCACTTTCAACTTCCCACATTTTCAGGTGTTTCGAATCAACCGGATATTCAAACAAGGATTTTTTCTTTTCGTACTCTAGCCCTGAAATTTTGTATTCATTATTTACTTTAAAAATTTTCTCAATATTTAATACAACATCATTAGTTAAAAGAACAATATTATTTGGTGACTTGGTGGAAATCTCATACTTTTGATAATTTATTTTTAGAATTTCGTCATTTTTGGTTTCTAAAATTTCGAAATTTTTTAAAGCAATGGGCTTTTTCGATATTTGTTGCATGTCCTCTTCGTGCAATCTTCTACATACCTGAGCTAAAGGTCGAACGGAAGTGCGTAATAAACGGCGTTTAATTTTTCCCAGTAAATTTTCAAACGGAAATGCAGTTACATGATTAAGAGAACAATTCATATTATGAACATCATCTGACAAATGTATTAAATTGTGGAAGTTAAGAATTTGAGACTTAGAACCGTAAAAAATTGGTAAACTTTCAAAAAATCGAATTAAAAATTCTTTAGCATAATTTGTAAAACGTGTACATAATTTTACGCAACATAAGATTCTACACGATACATGTAATAATAAAAAGTGTTTATACATAGCCGTACTTAAAATTTTTTTTAAAACAATAGGCCCACAATATAATAAAAAAAATCTGTACTCTGTGGCCTTCCATTTTGCATAAAATTTTGTAGATCTTGGCTTACGTTTAAATTCGGACGGCACTTGATACTTTAAAAGCTCCATCCTTCTTCCTAACTCATTCCGAAAATTTCCTGACAGTTTTGTTGCCTTATTAATGAGCCACCATTCCAACATTCTTTTCATTACACCTAGACAGCATAAATGCATAAAATCTAGTAGAAATGAAAAAATCATATCTACTGGTGGTGAAATGCGAGTGATTGGAGAGGTTTTGTGATGGTGTTCTTTTTGTTCCATTTTTCTGAACGAATCGTCAGTCCTTTCAGCACATTTTGTTTCAGGATAAACTGTTCTTTGAAGGTGAACTTTTTTTATTACTCCATCTTCTTCGATCATTTTAAATCTATCTCCCTTCACAGTACATCGTTCACAGCAATAATACCCTCCGTGACCTATGGTTGCCTTGATGTAGTTCCTGGCTGGTGTGTCGCAAATAAAGCATTTAATACAAATGTTTATTTTTCTTCCTTCAGAAATTTCAATACCTTCTTTTAGAAGTTGATTAATTTCGGTGATGAAATCATCTAAAAATTCATCCAAATTTGGCTTTGCATTTCCATGAAAAATTGCGACTGGAAACGGTTCATGAACTTCATCCTTAGAAAAAATCTGAACCAAAATAGGCCAAAACTGATTTACACCAGATTTATTAAGCGGCATTCCATCCATGTTTATTACCAACTCAATCGTGTCCTTAACCAAGTCCTCATTGATTCTTGCTTTTAGACCTTTCTCTATTCCAAGGTAGACAAAATCAGCATCGTTACCCAATGAATCCTTTATATTTTTTATATCGTAACTGGAACTGGAAGTTCTTAAAAAAGTTTTGGAGCTTTTAGGCAAATCTGGTAACAGGCGTCGTCTTAGTATAGATAATAATTTATCTAAATGACTTTGACTAATACTGCAATCAATTGCCCAATCTCTCAATGCGTCAACTTCAGAGGCAAAAGTAAATTCTTCACTAGAACTTTCATCTTCATTAGTGTCACTAATATCAAAAACAGATTCGTTCTCGCTGTCATTAAAATTTGAGCTGTTGTCATTTTCGCTTTTATTTGTAGAATCGCTATTTTCATTTTTGCTTTCAACATCAATACTTGGAATGTTCTGAGTCTCAGGAATATCTGATTGGATGTTTTGAGGTGCTGTTTTTAAGTTTTTAAAATCATTTCCTGACAGAGGATGAACAGATTCGTCAGAAGATCCTTCAGATGTAATATTTTCATCTTCCTCGCGAGCTCGTTGCAATTCGGCATTTTCTCTCCACACTGAAAAAAAGTAATTCAATATTGACAACAATAGATCTCACTTTACAAATAATTATATAATTAATTATTTAATAGAATAATATTACTTTATCATAAATAAAAACAATTTTTCAAATATTTTTAATTTACTACTAAAAAATAATACCAACATTTTTGACGTGCTCGCCTTTTTCTCTGTCTGGAATTAGCTTTTTGTCGCTTCCTTTTTTGCCTCTCGTCTTCATCCATTTTTTGTTCACCTGTCATTAAAATTCAATATTTTACTAATAAAATACATACAAAATTTACTATAAAAGAAAAAAACTCATTGTAATAGAAATTATACGTGAAATAATCCAATCTAACCTATGCACAAAAATTTGTAAAAAAAAATGGAAAATGACATGTAGGTTATATTTTTCACTATTATTGTATGCTACTTTTCAATTACTTTTTTTTTAATTTTTACATTGTTAAATAATTAATAAAAAAAATAATAAATTAAAACACATAATTTTGTATAGTACTTGTATAATTAGAGAATCAAATTTATAGGTTAGGTTGTTGAACTTCCAGTTATTTTTCATATAAACAAAATTTATAAACTTTTAACCTAAAATGCACGTTATATGTATGTACATAATGCTAAATAAAGAAACATCATTAGGTGAAATTTAATCATTATTCAGAAAAAATAATAATAAATATTTGAAATAAACTTTCTTAGTGTCATAAATTTGCAAATAATTGACCGTTCGTAAAACGGATTCATAGTTTCGAAAGCTTCATAGAATCTGTGAAATTATACTTTATTTAATTATAACAAGTATTATTCATTAAATTAATTTCATACAATAAAAATTAATAATAAAAGTGCTGGTACTTACTCAATAGAAAGTGTCAATACACAACTGTTTAGTTACTGAAACTGGCGGTAGCGCTAACGCCACGACAAACTTTGGAACATAATTTCTCGGAACGCCTCGACAGTGCCATGAAAATAACTGTACAGGACTTTTATACAGTAATAATCAAGTTCAACTTTATATTTTCTTTAACAGTGTTATGCAGTAGCTGTCTAGTAATTCGACAGTTAAGCTAGAATAAACTGCCATGACTAAAACTGTACAGTAACTTGAGTAAATCTAGTCATGCCACGACAAATTTCTACTAGGGATATTTATCAAAATTCATGGATTACTCATAGTAGCGCCATCTACACCTGAATTACCGACCGAACATAGAGTGGAAACTCGAAAATTATTTTTCAAAACCAATCAGTTCGAAACTTTTTAAAAATTTTTTTATTTTAAAATTTTAAATTTTAAACTTACATTAAATGTAAATATTTACCTCAAAAGTCGATAAAGTCAAACCTCGAATATCTAATTCTTCGAGACTATCGGCAACGCCCAGAAAACTTGTATTAGTTATAATTGTAATTGGATTGTAGGCTAAATTAAATGACTTTAATTCCGGAAGTGCATGAGTTATGAGAGGAACCACCGTTAAATCATTATAACTTAAATCTAAATATCTTAAACTCGTTAAATTTGCCGCCATTTCAGCTGGCACGGAAGCCAATTCATTGTAGGCCAAATGAAGTGTTTGTAGACGATGAAAGGGAAGATCGGGAACCTGAAAGAAAAATTAACACTTTTAATTAATGAAAAAATAAACAAGTATTTTAATAAATTAAAAGACAAGCGATTTCAAAATTTGGCGCGGGTAATTTTCATTTTAAGCAACAAAGACGCCATCTCCATTACCGAATGATCAAAGATTGAAAAATCCTGTGAAAAAATATAAATATAACATTTTTTTGCTTATAGATTTTGGTGAAAATAGGGGAACATAGTCAGGGTTGGACCCCCTTTGAATTTGAATTTAAAATTTAGTTTTATAAACAAACAAATAATTTTGATTCGATTTTCAAAAATGGTCCAACCCTGACTACGTTCCCCTAATATTTTAAATATTAAAAAATTTATTAAAAAAAAAGTATTAAATATATTTTAAATTTCTTAAATTTATAAATAAACTAAACATTTTCAAAGAATATTTTTTGTTTGTTATTATAAAAACTTACACTAAGTAGCGAAATATTGCTGAGTCCCAAAAATAGAAGTGAATCCTCCAAACCATGAAAAGTTCTTCCACGTTGTTCTAAAATTAATTGCTTATTGTGACTTAGATCTAAATAATCCATATTATGCAAATCTGAAAATATTCCGTCGTCCAATCTCACTAGACGATTGTAAGAAAGATCCAACCAAGTCAATCCCTGAAAATGTTTCAAATAAAAAAAATTTTATTACAAAAATGATTTCAAAAATAAAAACTCATTTTTTGTTGTCTACTTAATCATTTTTTAAATATTTTATATTAGTTTCGATTAAAATTTATTACTTTTGAGTATTCTCAACTGAGTATTTTCATTGAGAAAAATAAGTAAAATTTGAAAATGAAAAGAAATTGAGAATAAAAGAATGAAAATAAATAATAAAAATAAAATATTCAGAGGTCAAAAAAAATTTTCTGAAAGAAAATAAAAACGGAAATTATATTTCATATAAAGCACTTAGAATTCAAAAACCTAATGGGATTAGCGAGTTGCCTACATATGAAAATCTATAAGATGAATTAGTTAATTGCCTTAAAAAAGAATCGAATCCAATCATGGAATTCGCTCATTCTTAAGGCTTAGTCTAATTAAAATCTAATTTAATTATTCCACAGTTTGCTCACTATACCGACTAGCTTGAAAAAAATATGATATTATAAAGAACTTTAAAATTCTATTTTCAAGAAGTTGAAAAACAATTTTTTTTTGAAAAAAATTATCTTAAATTATCTTAAAAAGTGAATTATTTACTTATAAAAATGAATAAAAAATTACTTTATGATATTTTTTTTCTATGTTCACTCGAGTATTGCCGAATAATACAAAAAACAGCGAAAAATATTAAGAACAAAAAGTTTTATTCACTTGTAAAATTGCGAGGTGGAGAAAAATTTTTCTCCACCTCGCAATTTTTAGTCTTTGTAAAATTTTTTCTTGTTGACGAAACTTTCTCTTATTTTCGTGCCATAATTTACAAAAGTGAAGAATTGTGAAGAATTTTCCATTTTTTAATTTTTTTAATTTTTGAAATTTTTTTTTAATAGAAATTTTTTTTTGTGGACTCACCCTTAACCTAAAAATAGCGTCCGTACTGTGAACTCCCGATAATAAATTCCAGGAGAGATCCAATGACGAGAGACTGGCGGCAGCAGTCATCGACATAACCTTAATAGGCAATCTCATAAATTGATTGTGCGAGAGATCCAAACTCTCGATGTAAGCCTCATTAAAGAGATTATCGGGCAGTGTACGCAATCGATTATGAGAGAGATCGACAATTCTTAATTTTTTCAATTGTCTAAATGTTTCAGCTGGAATGTCCATTATATTATTCCATGCTAATAATAGTACTTGAATATTTTTTGTATTTCTAAAGCAATCGAAATCAATTTCAATTAATTCATTGTAACTCAAGTCGAGCCATTGTAGATGTGGCATATTTCCAAAAACTCCTTGCGTTACATTATTTAGTTCATTGTGCGATAGATAGAGGTGCGTTAGTGAAAATTCCACGGGCCTAAAGTACATTTTCACAATGTCCGTTATATTATTGAAACTCAAATCTAGAACTTTGATATTTGAATTTAATATACTGCCCACTGGAAAAAGAAATTAATTTTTTGAAATCTTGCCATCGAGTAGAAGGTATTTGTGAAAAAAGAATTGAAAAATTGCCACGATTTTGGATTTTATTTACAATTAAAATCGTGAGGTGAGGGAAAAAAAGAGCGAGCGCAGCGCCTCTAGCGGATTACTTACTGTTTACTGTCGTCGAATACATCGAGGCATTCATTGACAAACGGAAAATTTCATTATGACTGACATTCACTTTAAATGACGAAAGCGTTCCCACTTGATCGAAATAATTGAAATCGAATTCATTCAAGTCGTTGTAGGCCAAATCCAAAAATTCCAAATCCGGAAGATTCTGAAATAGAAAAGAATTCTAGTTATTATTCTTCATTATTTTTTTTCGACTTCGTAAATATTTACCAACAGTGGGATAAATCTACATTACCGACTGTTGGTATTACTTTACCGACTGTCTATTGAATCATTATCTGTCTATTGAAAAAAAAATTCGGACAGTAATAAAAAGAATGTGTTAAAAAATGTAAGAACGTTAAGAAGTGTTTAAAAATATTAAAAACTGACCGTCGGCTAAGTAATGAACATCTTTATCGACAACCAGTAAAAAATTAATTTCTTCGATAATAAAAATTTTTTCTGAAAGAATAAATTCGTAAAACAGATTATTTACCTGAAATGCCTCGTCAGCAATGCTTCTTATTTTATTTCCCCTCAAGTTAATGTACTTAAGTCGATTCATATTCATAAATGCTCGACGCTCTATTCTCTCGATAATATTATCTTGTAAATTGATAGTCGTCAGCATTATCAAATCGACAAATGTGTGTGTTGTCAATGCCTGTATCTGATTATATTCAAAATAGACTTCTTCCAAACTCGAGTGAATGTCACCCTGAAAAAGAAAAAAAAAATTGAAAATATTTTTTTATTAATATTGAAAAAAGGAAACAAACAGGAATTATTTGTTCAGCATGAAAAAAAAGAATAAGAGAAAAAATATTAAAAAATATAAATTAGCAGTGGAGTTAAAAAGGACAAAAGTCGTGAGGTGCGGACACCACCTCAAGATTTTATTTGTGAATAACTAGTTAAATATTTGAAGAAAATTTCTCAAATTTTGGAGAATTCTTTATTTCGATGGCAAAAATTTGAAGGATGTGAAAATGAGGGGAAATTTTTATTTTAATAGAATCTACGTGGGTGGAAAGGTTTTTTTAACCTCTAAATGTGTTCATGGTGTCTTACCTGGAATGTTCCCTTGCGAATACTGTCAATCTCATTGTCCTGCATTTCGATTCGTTTAATTCTTTTCAAAAAATGAAAGGACGTATCGGGCATCGATCGAATTCGATTATTACTAAAATCGAGATGTTGCAAATTTGTCAAAAATTTGAACGGTTTACTTGGCAATTCACTCATTGATGTCGAAAGTCCATGGGCTACTTTTAATGTCAACAGCGAATGTCCAACCTTTTAATATTAATTTGAATTTTTATTTTCCTTTTTTCAAATTTTTCAATAAAAACAATTATAAAATATTTTTAAAAAATGTTTTTTTTAATATAAATCTTTTAAAATTTTTCGTCTTTTCTTTCAATTTAAATTTTGGAGTAATTTTAGAACTAAATAAAAAAAAATCTTTTTAAATATTTATTTTTTAATTAAATTTTTTTAAAATTGAAAAAAAAAAATTTTTTCATTTAAATTTTTTTTTACAATTTTCAATTTTTAATTTGAAAAAAAAAATGTCAAAGTAAATACCTCGGAAAATGCATCTTCCTCAATAGACGAAATGGAATTTTCCGAAAAATCCAAATATTTAATTCCACGAATATGCATAAATGCATGACTCTTTATTGTATTCATATTACTTTGAATAATATGCAATTCTTTAACGTCCATTCCAAATTCAGAGAAATCATCTGGCGACAATGATGTCATTGGCATCATTGATATCGATAGAAAACGTAAATTTCTCATTTGTCGTAAATTTTGTAAAGCGACCATTGAATTTTTCTTTCCACTCAAATCCAAATTGTAAAGTGAATATTGAAAGCCATTGAAAACTTCTGAAACATTATTTGTAGCTACAGAAAATAATTTAATTTATTAAAATTGTCCAAAATAACGTCTCTAAAAATAAACCCTCAAAAAATTATAATATTAATTTTTCAGAGAGAAAAAAAATTTTTTTTTTCTTTCTTATTTATATTATTACGACAAAGAAAAGAAAAAATCTTGTTGTGTTAAAATTGTCTCAAAGCAACTGTATTCTATTTTTGTTATTTTGTATTTTGTGTTGCACTTTTTTTAATAAAAAAAAATTTTAAATTAGCATAACAAAAATTATGATAATTTATTAAAAATTAAAGTTTACTTTAAAAAAATTTGAATTCACATAGAAATTATAAAATAAAAAATTAGAGTAAAACAATAAAAATAAAAAAATTGAACGAAAAATTGTAATGTAAAATTAGAATGAAAAATTAAAATATGAATTAAAAAAAAAAAAAAAAAAATTCTAAAAAATGACAATAAATAATTTATAAATTTAAAAATAAAATTTTAAATGCAACGAAAAAAATAATAAAACAAAATTTGGAAATTTATAACAAAAATATAAAGTGTGAATGCAAATTACAAATTTTACTTACTTTATTAATATTATCTTTTTAAATAATATAATAATAATTAATATATATTATAAATTAATATCAATTTATAGCAATTAAAATTAATTATAAACTTCAAATGTAAAGAAAGGAAAAATTTTCAAAGTATTTTTTTTAATTTAAATATTTTTAATTCTAAAACAGTTATTAAAAATTTGTTTTTAAATTTTAACAAATTTTTATTAAACTCTTTCTTTGTTTCAAAATTAAAACATTAATTTTTGACAAAAAGTTAAAAAAAATATTATATTATTTATTATTATAATTATAATAATAATAATTATTATAATTATTATTACTATTGTTATTATTATTATTATTATTTATTATTATTACCATTGTTGTTGTTATTATTATTATGATTAGTTTATTAGTATAAATTATTATTATTTAAATTAAAGATAAAATAATTTCTCACCTGGGGCAAAAGAATCAATGTTATTCTCTCGAAAGATGAGCGTTCGTAGAAAGTCAAATTCTTGAAAGAGATGTGGAGGCAATTCGGTAATATTATTGCCGGACAAATCCAATAGTTCTAATGATGATTCGAGTCCAGAAAAAATATCTGAATTCACTTCTAATAAATCGCAGTCTGTGAAGTAAAGTTCGTGAATTCGTGAATCACGAAATGTACCTTCCTGGAAAATAATTTTTTATTATAATTTCTAAAATACAGTAGAACTCTTAAAAGTGAGACACTAAAAATATAACTAAACCTCTATGGTTCAATAACTAAACTTATAAGTCATTTAAGTGTTTTGAAATTTAAAGAAACTTGTCGTAATTTTTAGTAATAATTGAAATTTTAGAAATACAGTGTCACCTCTCTTAGTGAGACACTTCGAAAATATTAAGACTTAAGACTTAAGACTTAAGAATATTATTCTTAAGAATTGTAATTTCAGTTGTACAGTAAAACCTCTAAAAGTGAGACATTTTGAAAATTTTAGAACCATTAGAACTAAACCTTAAAACAATTTAACTAAAATATAGAATCCATGTATTTTAAAATTTTATAAAATATCTGCAATTTTTAATACATAATTGTAATTTCTTAAATACTGTAAAACCTCTAAAAGTGAGAAACACTTTTCGCGCAATAGAACCTCTCTATAAAAATTCGTAAGAAAAATACTAAAGAAGATAAAATATTTATAAAGAAATACAGAAATACCATAAAAAATGAGTTTTAGTAAAAAAAAATACAGTAAAACCTCTAAAAGTGAGACACTAGCATTTTTAACCTAAACTTAAATTAAATTATCATTTAATAGTTTGCAAATTCACATAAAAATTACCTCAACAACAGTAATTGGATTTCCATTTAAATATGTTTTATTGACTTTAAAGAAATGTTGAAAAGATCCCATTTCAAGACGTTGCATTTGATTGTAATCCATTCTCAATACATCGAGTGACAATTGTATACCACGTATTTCCAATTCCATTTGTGGTTGAACCATTTTTGTTATTCGATTGTAACTTAAATCGAGGACTTTCATTTTTTTTAATGACGACATTTGTGAATATGGAATATTTGTCAATTGATTGTCATTTAAATATAAATGCGTTAAATGTGCCATTCCATCGCGAAATACTGATGGATCAATGTCCTTTAAATTATTTTCTCTAATATCCAATACCTCTAAATATGCAAGACCAGCAAATGCGTCGGCTGGCAATTTGTTGATTGCATTACGACCAAGACGCAATGTTTGCAATGAATTTTCAAGGCCACGCCAATTGTCAGGTGCAATGTGCGAGATCTGATTCCCTAGAATGTGTATTATAATATAAAATATCATTTTTTTTACCTTGACACACTCTCTTTTGTTTTCAATTTGAGATTTTATAATTGTAGTGCAGATTTCTCCTCTTTATTTTATACTACAATTTATTATTAAAACTTAATGTATGATTAATGTAGTTTAACAGTATTTAGTACGAGAAATACAAAAAAAAAATTTCCTACACTACTACCTCGATATAGTGGAATTTGCCAATTTATGCTATGAATAAAATTATAATCTTTTAAAAATATCAAAAACTGAGTTTATTTAAAAGTATTTAATATAAAAAATAAAAAAAACTTTTCCCTACACTACAACCTCGATTTAGTAGAATTTCCCAATTTATGCTATTGATAAAATTAGAAATTTTTTAAAATATCAAAAAGTTAGTTTCTTTACTAAATATTTTATTTTTATTAGTACTACAATAAAATTTTACTATTTGAATAAAAAAATTAAATTCCTTACAGTGTAACCTCGTTGTAACAAAATTTTACCATTTTTATTACAAATAGAAAAAGTCCTCTAGAAGTAAATGAATTTGCCTTCTATTCTGAAGTATTCCAATTTATATTTTTTATACCAATCTTCTAATTTATAATGAACAATTAATATTTATACAGTAGAACCCCTATATAATGGAACTTGACCATTTTGTGAAAAACTAAAAGAAGTTACTTCAAAAATGTATAAAAATTGTTTTATTTTTTAAAAATATTTTATTCTTAATAGTGATACAATTATTGAACATTTTGCTATTCGAGTTAAAAAAGAAACACCTTAAAGTACCTTTACAGTACAACCCCGATATAATGAAATTTGGCTTTTTTAATCAAAACTACAGACAGTACGTTAGAAATGTTTATTTTTAATATTATTACAATTTCTACAAATTAGAATTAAAAATAAAAACCCTTACAGTACTCTATTTTTTTACTAATCTTACAATTTACTATTAAAATAATCTGCTTACAGTACAACCCTTGTATCATATAATTTGGTCATTTGGTCGAAAAATAAATGAAGTTACTTCAGAAATTTATAAAAAATATTTTATTCCTAAGATTGATACAATAATGGAAAAATTTCTGTTAGAATTAAAAAATCAATACCTTACAGTACTCTTACACTACAACCCCGACCTAATGGAATTTGTACCGTTTTAACGGAAGTTCACCATTTTAATTACAAATAATAAATGGTTCTTTAGAATAGCATGAATTTTCTCCCAATTATTCGATTGTTCATTTTTTATTTTTTACTAAATTTTCAGTGTTAGAATTAAAAACTAATTTCCAAACAGTAAAACACCCATAAAGTGGAAACTATTCATTTAGGAAAATATTAATTACTTTAATTCTTTCTTTATGTAAATATTTCATCATTTTTACTATAAAAGTATTTAAAATAATTCTATTAGAATTGAGAAAAATGCACTACAGTACAACCTCGATATAACGGAACTTGCCTATTTTAATAAAAAGAACATAGTTTCTTCATAAATTTAATTAAAGAAATTTAATATGATTTTAATCTACAATATTTATGCAGGTATTAAAAATTAATACTTAAAAATTACCTACCAACTCCGTTATAATGAAATTCGACCATTTTGAATACAAAAAAAGAAAATTTAGCAAAATATTCAATAATTATTTTTATTATTTGTCAGTATGAAAATGATTTTTATTGGAAATAATAAAAAATTTTCTACAGTAAAACCTTGATAAGATGTAATTTTTGGCCATTTAGATTGAAAATATAAAAATATCCTTAAGAGGTATAATAGATGTACAATAGAACCTCGAAAAAGTGGTATTTTTGTCTAAACTGATTTTCATTATGGAGAGAAAAGTGTATAATTTTTTTTTGACATTACCTGTCAAATCAAGCAGTCGAAGTTTCTGTAGATGTCTAAACGATTTGCTTGGTACTCTTGCGAGACGGTTGTAGGGTAATTCAAGCTCCCACAACGATCTTTCAAGCCCTAGGAACGCCTCGTCCGGTACATCTGATATGGGATTATACTTGATCTGCAGCTTGTAGAGACCTACAAGACATTCTTTCTTTATTGTAAATTTTGGATATACAATTACCCCCCCACGTGTTACCAGAAAATTCATGAACAAACGAGAATTAAAACAATATTTTTCTACACAAATTATTTTAAATTACAACTTAAGACAAAAATAGTTATGTAAAATTTAAAAATATTAATTTTTTCAAATTTTTACTATTATTATAAAAAAAAAATTATCAAAAATTTTGTTATTTTTTAATTTCTTTTCGTTATTGTTGTTGTTGCTATTTTTATTGTTACTGTCGTTATCATTGTTCTAATTCTCGTTAGTTTGGTTATTTTTGTTGTTACTGTCATTCTCATTGTTTTAATTGTTACTAGTTTAGTTATTTTTGTTATTGTTATTTCTGTTACTGTAATTCATATTGTTTTTATTGTTAATTTTTGTTATTTTTGTTATTGTTATTTTTGTTATTGATATTCATATTGCTTTTATTGTTAGTTTTGTTATTTTTGTTGTTACTGTCATTCATATTGTTTTTATTGTTGTTAGTTTTGTTATTTCTGTTATTATTATTTTTGTCGTTAAATGTTGGTTGGTTGGTGTTGGTTAGTGGCCTGTTGTCCCCTTAATAGTTGTTAGTTTAGTTAATTTTGTTATTATTTTTATTGTTACTGTCATTCTTATTGTTTTAATTGTTGTGAGTTTGGTTATTTTTTATGTTGTTATTTTTGTTGTTCTATCATTCATATTTTTGTATCGTTGCTGGTTTTGTTATTTTTGTTGTTACTGTATTTCACATTGTTTTGGTTGTTGTTAGTTTGGTTATTTTTGATTTTGTTATTTTTGTCGTTACTGTTTCCCATTGTTTTAATTGTTGTTAATTTGGTTATTTTTGTTGTTACTGACATTCTTATTGTTTTAATTGTTATTAGTTTGGCTATTTTTGATATTGTTATTTTTGTTGTTACTTTCATTCATATTGTTTTTATTGTTGTTATTGTTGTTATTCTGAGTTTTGTTGTTATTATTATTCTTATTTTTATTATTTGGAATCTCTATTGTTACTCTTTTTTAATGTTGTTATTATTTAAAATTGTTGTTGAATTTTTTAAAAATTAGAAATTGTTTATTGTCTGTTTTTTTGTTTTTTTATTGTCATTGACTGATCTTTATTATTATTATTGTTGCTATGTTTGTTACAATTTTTTTTACAATTGTTTTTGACTTTATTGTTTTAATTTTTTCTTTTTTTATTGTGATATTTGTTATTATCGTCATTATTATTCGTTATTATTATTATTATTATTATTATTATTATTATTTTTCTTGTTACTGTTTTTAATTGTTGTTATTATTTTCTATTGTCAGTGTTATTCATTGTTATTTCTGTAATTTTTATTAATATTGTTAATAGTTAATGTTTATTGTTGCTGTTACTCATTGTTATTGTTTTTAGTGTTTCAGTAATTGCTATTATTTTTATTTATTTTCTTTGGCTATTTTTTATTGTTACTTTTATTTAATTAATGCTCTTCTTGATTCTATTATATTGTTCGTTCTTTGTTAATGTTATAATTTAATTTGTTTATTGTTGTTTTTGTGTTTTTATGTTTATGAAATATTTTTTTAATTATTGCTAATAATTCAATTTTTTTATTTTATTATTGTTAATTTTTCTATTGTTTGTATTTATTTTTATCAACATTTTTTTGTTTTAATTGATTATTGTCCATATTTTTATTGTTTTATTGATTATTGTCAATATTTTTATTGTTTTCATTTTCTTGTTTCAATTTTTCCACGATTTTTGTTTATTATTTTTTTTATTTAATTATTTATAAGAAACAGTAAAAAAATATCTCTCTTATTTTTATTGATTATTTACTATTAATGTTATAATATTCTTATTATTTATTATTGCATTATCATTTTTTTCATAATTTGTTATGATTTGTTATAAACTATTTTTATGTTTTTGCTTTGTAAGACGTTTAAAATTGTTAAAAATTATGACGCACATCGTCAGTCGTTTCTTTTGAATTTAAATTATTTAATTATTATTAGCATAATTTCTCATTGCTCTGTTAATGATCAATTTTTTCTAATTAATTTATTTACCCTCCGGAGACTGTTCTCCACCTACACACATATATATATATATATGTGCATCAGTAATTTGTCGACTTCATCAAGTCAAGAGAGAATTGATGAATCTTATCCAATAATGAAGTAAATCTAAATATTCAAATTTAAAGAAATTAAACGAATAAGAAAACTGAAAAAAATTATTTTTCAACAAATTAATTAAATTAAAAAAAATTATTTTTCACCAAATTAATTAAATTAGATTAAGAATTATTTTTTTTTAAAATAAAATAATTAAATAAAGTGTAAAATATAAACTTTAAGAAAAAATTAATTAAATTAAAAATAAAAGTTGTTAATAAATTAATCAAATTGAACAAGAAATAAGATTTTTATTGTTGTAAAAAATTGTACGTTGATAACATAAAAGGGGTACAAAAGGGCTTGGTCCCGTTTATTAATAAATAATAAATAATAATAATAAAAAGTAGAAGTATAATTTTTTCAAAGTACAGTTAAACCCCACTTTAAGGAAAAAATGCAATTTTTAAAAATAGAATAAAGAATTTGCTTTTTCTTTTTTTAAAGAAATTATTAATTAGTTATATGTTTTAACAAATAGGAGAAAGTAAAAAAATTAATAATTAAAAGTAATGAATTAAGTTCATTAAGAAAAAAAAAGGTTTCTCACCGGTATTGAGAAGGAATTGCGGTTGAAGGGAACGAAGCCCGTTGTTCTCCAGCTGTAGCATGAAGACCTTTGAGGCATTAATGGGGTGAGGAATTCTTCGCATCGGCACATTATAACACGACACAATTCCTAAATCTGGAATTGCTTTTGAGCACGTGCACAATGGATTAAAAAAGCATGGTGGATATTGTACCGGAAGTTCGTGCATTCTCACCATTGACGCCCAAAACATTAACAATATCACCACGATCACCATCGTGTAGCCTAATTTCACAAGAACTAGCACGTTCTGCAATTTTTTTTAACAAATTAAACGAAAAAAAATTTCACACCTTATCACTTTTTTGTTTTACTCATTTTTAAATTATTTCCAAGAAAAAAGAATTTTTAAATTTCAAAATAAAATTCTCCAAAAATCATTGACACTATTTTGAAAATTTAATTTAGAAATATTTACTAAATAGAGTATGGGAAAACTTACTAGAAAAACGGTGACAAATTTTAATAGACTAAAGTATACGAAAAACTACCAAAGCAGTATGGGAAAATTTACTAAAAAAATATTTAATTTTACTACAAAAAGTGAAGAAAGTTTCCCCAAAGTAGTATGGCAAAATTTACTATAGAAAAAGAAAAAAAAGTTACCAAAAATTATGGGGAAATTTACTAAAATATTGCGTTAAATTTTGCTTGAAAAAAATAGAGAAAAAGTCACTAAACGATTGTGAAAGAATTTACTAAACAAATGTGTAAATTTTATCCGAAAACGTAAAAAAATGACTAGAAAAAGTATGGGAAAATTTACTAGAAAACTGAGTCATATTTCAGTAAAAAAAAACTAGAGAAAAATTTATTAGAAAACTGTAGAAATTTACAACAAAATTTCGAGAAAATTTTACCAAAAGAGTATGGGAAAATTTACTAGAAAGATTAAAATAAAATTTTCCAAAGGAGTACAAGAAAATTTACCAGGAAGATTAAAATAAAATTTACTAAAAGAGTATAGGAAAATTTACTAGAATGATTAAAATAAAATTTTCTAAAAGTGTATAGGAAAATTTATTAGAAAAATATTTCAAATTTTACTAAAGGGAGTAAAAAAAAAGTAGAAAAAAAAAAAAAAAAAATTGAAAAAAAAATTGATCAAAAAGGTATGAAAATATTTTTTAGAAAAATATATGAAAATTTACCAGAAACGCTTTTAATATAAATTTCAGTTAGTAATAAAATTTTAATTATTCAAAAAATGAAAAATTATTTTAAAACATTTTATGTTTTTTGAAAAATTACTTTATTCCAATTTTTTTTACACTAATCGAATTATTAATGCGCGCAATAATATCTGTGTCTTTTTTTCAACCCCTCCACCACTTTTGACCCAATTCAAATTCAATTAAATTAATTTGAAAAGCGTTTTAAGAGAAAAAATTATACGAAGAAATAAAAGATTCTTTTTTATGAAAATAATAAAAAAATAATTACTTTATTATTAATATTAAATAACAATAACTATTGTAGTTTATTACATTTAGAATTCAAAAAAAAATTTTGAAGAATTTTTGAAATTAATAAATTAAATAAAAATATAAAAACTTTGGAGAACAATAATAGATTATTATTGACTATTAAATTTGAATTTAACAATATTATTATTATTATAATTAAAAAAGAGTAAAACGTGGAAAAAAATTAGGAATAAATATTTTATAAAGAAATAGAAAAAAAAGTATTATAAAAATTATAAAATTTGTAGAAATTTTAATTATAAAAATGTACCAGTAATTTTTCGCAAAAAAAATTTTTGTATCACAATTATTATTCTCAGGTATAGTAATAATTATTATCCATTTTTTTGGAGGCACTTTTTCACAATATATATTAAATTCACAAGATCACAAATTTAAAAAAAGCCGTTTCACTTTTATCACCACGTTTTGTTGTGTTGTGATTTACTTTTTTTTTGTCACACTGAGAAATGAAAATAGAAAAAAAAAATTTACCATTTAATACGATCATCAGCAGAAGAGACGAAATGAGTGATTAAGAGACGAGTATGGCTAAGCGACTGAGCACAAGATTCATTCTAAAGGGCCAACGTGTATTCACAAATGGGAGGGACAAGTCCTATATAATAGGGCTTCCAGAGTGCGCAGACAGTTTGGGTGCTTCTCTTTACCCGATTATACAGGTGATATTCTATTAGGTTTCAAATATAGTTGTGAAAAAAAATTTATATTTGTGCCACTGGACGGCATGGGATGTTTACCGGTTTAAGAGACTATAACTACAAGTGGCAGTATGCGGTCATTTTTTTCTATTTGTTCGCAATAATTTTTAACCCTCCCCTCACCCCCGAAAGATGAATTGGAATAACAGTTTTAATATTTATTTGATTTATAAAATTTTGAATTTGAATTATTTTCTTTGGATTTTTTTTCGAATACTGTTCTTTTGTCTACTATCAGATACCAGGAAGCTTGAATTTTACAAAAAATACTAATTCAGATATTATTTTGCAGAATTCAATTAAAAAGAAATTTCTTTAAAAATGTTAAAATTATAGTTAAGTATGTAGGTTCTTCAGAAAAAAATACGAAGGAGGAAGACAAGCAGCGTCACGGTGAGAAGAAGAAGCTGCCAGTCTCAACGTGGAACCAGAAAGGAAGACGCAGAGTGGGACCAACCATCGAATAGCCAACATCATCTGTCACTGATTCTCCTGGTAAAGTATTAATTAAAAAAAGTTTTTAAATATGGTGTTTTTCCTAAAACCATTTTCTCTTCGTGATTCTATAATTATCAACTAAATTACCAACAATTACAACAATTATTTTGTAATCAACACTGATTACAAAAATATTTATTATAGGTGATTTTTACAAATTTAGTTTCTCTCCGTGATTCTATAATTATCAACTAAATTACCAAAAACCACTTAGTCACTTATAACGCAATATAAAAATATTTATTATTGGCTTTTTGTAAAAATTAACATTTTATATAAAAACATAAAGGTATATTTATCGTAAAAGAACTAACCTAACCTATAAAAATATATAATTTATAATACTGTTCTTATTATTATTATTTTAGAATCTGAAAAGGACTGGAAAATTCAGTCGAAACGTTATGTAAATAAATATAATGTGGAATAAAAGACCAAAACAAAATGAAACTAAACAAATTTTTTATATAAAATAACAATTTTGGTCAAAACACAAAAAAATAACATCGAACTAAATTTATATTTTCTTCGTGGTTCCATAATTATCAACTAAATTACCAAGAATCTCTTAGTTATTGAATAAAATGTAAAAATATATATTTTACGATGTTTTATTTTTTATTTTTTTTCTATTATTATTTACTATTTATTTATTTTACTTTTTTATAATTTATATAATATAAAATAAATAATTAATTTTTATTATAGAAACAAAAGACAGTAACGGTTTAGAACGGTCCCTTTTGTAATAATTAAAAAAAAGTTCGTTTGCTGCTAAGAGAAAGATAGACAAGTCTGTTTTCAAATTGTTTTTTATTTGCAATCAGAATTTAATTTTCCTTTTAATAATTTAATTAAATTTATAAATGTTTTTTTTATTTTTACTGTTTTCGTTATGACAAGTAATTCTCTTCTAAAAAGGATTTTTTATTTATATAAATAGTTAACTTATTATTGTTAAATAATAATTATAAATTTGCGGTAATTAACAATATTCTATTTAAAAATAACTTAGTAATTTAAAAGTAGTAAGTAGTAATTGCAATATATTTAAATTATCATTGAGGGTAACAATATTTTCCCAACGCTGAGTACAATATTTCATAATTATCATTCAACTTTATTTTTATCGTTTTCATTCTCGCTCTCCTTGACATTATTTAATCGAGGTTCCTTTCTGATCGGAAGTAAAATTGGTGGCAAAATTATACACGAAATTGTCAAAATCAGTTGCATTAAATACAATTCTCTGAAAATTAATTTCCAATTTAGCTAAAATTTGATAAAGGGGGAAAATTAAATTAATTACTTAAGCAAAAAAAATTAACTTTTAAAGTTCAAAATTTTGATTTTTAAATATTAAATTCTAAGAAATATTAATACATTTAATAACACATTTTGAAATACCTGAGAAAATATATCCCTACAGTATTCGCCTCCGAAAGAACATAGAAGGTTCCAGTAAATGCAATTGCAAATCTCGTCGTAAATGTCGTTAGGATATCATAAAAAAATTTAAAAACACCTGAACTTACTATAAATGGTCGTACATGTTTATGAACCTAAAAGAGAAATACATTTTTATGTAAAAAGTTGAAAGAAAAAATTCTATTTTAAATAATAAAGGAAAAAATTTTAAATTACTTACAGAACGTTCGGCATAAACGTATAAAGCCGCATGAAATGCTGAAATGTAATAACCAATTTGAAAACCATGCCAAACTGTTGATGTAAGATAGGTCCATTCCCTTTTATAATTTGGCATCCTATCGTAAATGACAAAACGTAGCCATCTTATTGTTGCTGAATTCCAGTATTTCGAATATTCATACATATTAATTGCCGTCTGTTATAAAATTAAAATTAGTTTGTTTGCACTTTTTTTTAACCCTCTGCCTTTATTAACTTATCTCTAGTACTTTGAAATTTAATTTCCATAGTCCAAATAAATTTTAGATCGTTTGAGTAGGCAGAGGATTTAATAATTATTTTTATTCTGTGTTTAAAAAAAAAATTCTCAATTATAAAAATTTTTTATTACTTCAAGTTTCCAGATATTAATGTTCGTCAAGAGATCCATTCGGGGTTTATTGTTTTCATCGAGACCATTTAAACCAAAACCTGCGTTATTACATATTGCTTCGGCAATAATCCACGCGTAATAATATTGAAAACGTTTAACGCTCACCAGCATATTCATATACCAAAGCTGATATGTATACGATGATGTTTCCATAAACTTGGTATCTACAAATTTTCGTTTTAAACATCGGTGAAATTTTTGATAATTAATAAAATAGAATAATAATTTTGAATTTTAATTTAGATGATAAACATCTTAATATTTTAAAATATTATATACATTAAAAGAAATGAAATATTTCAATGTCAAAGTTTTTGATAACTGATAAGTGACTAGTTGCGCCACGGCGAACACTTGAGACATCAAGTCTCGCAGTGGATACAGAAAGGAAGTTGCATATAGTGGATACGAACTTCCAGTCAACATCATCTTGTCAATCAATGAGTATCTTGGTGACAGATTAAATATAAAGATTTCTAATTATGTTCTGATAGTTTGTTATACAAGAAGTCACACAGAGGGAAGAAGAAAAATAAAAATTTCTAAATATGGTGTTTTTCCTAAAACTATCATTTTTTCGTGATTCTATAATTATCAACTAAATTACCAAATACCTCTTTTTCACCGATTAGAAAATAAAAATATATCAAAATTATTATTCTTCAATTTTAGAAAAGAATGTTTTTTTCCTTGACTAAATATTTTTTTTCCAATACAAACCTAATAAATTTTCTATTTTGTAAACATTAAGAATTGGATAGACTGCAATAACGGGAAGATAACCGTAAATTGCCTTTTTTAATGCTACAAAAGTTATTGTAGAATTTAATTTTTTAGCACTTATTTTTTTCTACAAAAACAGATACATATGTTGTTTATAAATTAGCATTCAATATATTTATCATCTTATCTAAGTGCAATATAAACAGTTGCAATATTCTAAACTTTATTTTTAAAATAATACTAAGTTTTGTAATAATATATTATTATTTGGAAAATATATATTATCACAATACAATGTATTATTATAATTATAAGTGAAAATTGAGCAACATTATTTATACTCTATTTCAAAAAAGATATTAAAATAATAGATATTACCTGTGCCTCTTGCATTTGACGATTAGAAATAAAATCTTGATATTCATCATAAAATGTCACAGGGCCTGCTAGAAGAGTTAAAAAAGAGAGCATAAAACTATAATAATCCAGCAGTCTTGGTTTTTCTCTAAAAGAAAAAATAATAGTTTTATTAAATAACATATGAGGGACATTTTAATGAAGTGGTAAAAAATTTATTCGAATTTTTTATGTAAGAATATATACTTTTATAAAGAATTATAATATACTTTGCTATTACTATTTATTAATTTATTTATTATTATTAATTAATTATTTTTGATTTATTTTTTTTAATAGTAAATTTTAAATTTCTAGAAATTCTTTTTTAATAAATCAATTTTACTTTACGAGTCGCTTTTTTTGCATAGGCGTTAAGTCTTCATGTCGGCGTGATAATCCATCATGTAAACTACAAGCTAAAGTTGACACTTTTGCGGTCATTATCATTAGGGGACCTATTAAAAAAGTATTTAAAATTTTAAGTGTTCACACTTTTATTTTTTATATTACTTTTTTATATTTAATTGTAATTTCTTAAAACACAAAAAAAAAAAAGAAATTAATAGATCCGATAAATAAATTATTATTTGTTTATAAATGTTTATAAATTGTTTTAAAAATACGTAAGTTTAAACTTTGAGTGTTTATACTGTTATGAACCTAAAAATTTTTTTTTTAATGAAAAGTATATATTTACCAGAAATGTCAAGTGTATTTGAACCATACTTAACACCAAATTGAATGTAAAGATGAATACAAGAAAGATAAACCATAGATGCAATAAAAACCTGTCTAGAAAAAATTAATTCCTCTTAGTAAAAAATGAAGACTTTCTTATGAAAAGAATTATTGTTACATTAATGTTTTTTTTAATGCAATAATGAAAACTAAATTAATTATCAATAAATAAAATGTTAATATAAATAATACACTAAAATAAAAAATAAATGAATATTTTACATGTGTACGAATTTTGGATTTTGAGTCAATATTACAGCATACATTAATGTTGAAAATCCTGCGAGATGTAAAGCATGTCTGCAAAAAATATTCAAATAAAGATGAATTTCTCAAAAGATATAATAATTAATGAAATAATGAATTTTATTTTAAGGAATGTCTTTGGGAAGAAAAATATATTTGTAACAGAATTTATTTAGAGGACCTTACCTGCCAAAACAAAAGTAACCGACAATTACTCCAACAACAATATTAAAAATATGACGTACTGCTGTTGAAGTTTTTTCAATGCTTAATGATGATCTCAAGAAGCCAGCTAGTACGAATGCTAATGAATAACTAATCATAAAATTTATCTGAAATTGAAAAAAGAATTTATGCATTCACATTAAAAGGTGGACTTTTTGAAAATATTTCTTAGACAGTAATTATATCAAAATTATAAAATGATAATTAAAGAAATTAAAATAATAAATAATATTGAAATAAAGATTAAAAAATGATAATAATGTGAATTAATAAAAATACTAAAAATAAAAATAATAAAAGAAATATTAAAATATTGTAAAAGTAGAAAACAATTAAAACAGAATAGAAAATGTTTTAATTTAAAATCTCAAGCATTTTAAACTATTAAATTTTTTAAAGATTGCATTATAGCGCCAGGTTTTTTTTAAATAAAATTTTTAAAATTTTAAAGTTTTAAAAAAAAATTTTTTTATTTAAAATTTTAAAAATTTTTTAAAAATGATTTGAGTTTAAATACTCTTGAAATTACTCAAGTATACTCTCTAATAATGACTTGCTGTCTTGACAATTAATGACAGGACAAGCACATCTTAAATTTTGCCGACAGATGACCAATGACCTAGGGTCTGGACAATTTTTTTTTTTAATGGCTTAACCATGACAAAAGAGATTTACTTTTTTTATAACTTAAGATTTCTTTGTATTTGACAAAAAATTTCCCCCTACCCTTGTAAAAAAAGTTTACAATCCAAATACAATTTATAAATATTTATTGCAGTACTCCCATTGGGAAGAATCTATTGTTTAAAACATAATAAAACTGTAAACGAGAGAGTGTAAATTAGAATGATAAGGGTTCTTTTTAAACACAGTAGAAATACTTTATTCTAACCACTGGAGCCATCAGGAGAATTTTTGCAACAATTACCTTATCTAGATTAATTCCAGTATAATTTGATAGTCCAATAAAAAGTTTCGATCCCTCAAAATCATTTTGATTTTTTATTTCCAACAACATATTTGCAAATACAATTTAATGTTTGTCACACAACTGACTAAACTGGTTTCATAGAAAAAAAAGGTAAATTCCCTTCTTTTTTTTTGTCTACATTTACGTTATCAATTGTTGCTTACTGCAGATAACAAAAGTGGGAATTGACATGTGCGAAAAAAATTTAAACATATTATTTTTAAAAACATTTTAAACATTTAGTAATAAAAAGGAAATAATAAAAAAGTCAAAAGAATTTTTTTTTTTTAAATGAAGAATTATTAAAACGGAGATAATCGAAAATTTTTAATTTTAAAAACATTAAGGAAACTGTCATGAATTAAAGGATATTTGGAGAAGAAGAGAATTTAAGTTTGAAATAACATTTTTTTAGTATCGTTTAATAATTATTTTATATTTTGCACACAAATTTATGGGAATTAATACATGTGTTTGCTGAAGTTGATGAGTCACATTACTTGAATGTTTTTCTGAAATTATAACATAGTTTATAATTTTTCAATAAATTTCACTTTAAACTTTACAATTTGTTTTACTTCAAACTTAAGCTAAATTAAAGATAAATTAATGTCACTTTCTTCTTAGCCGTTTACATATTCTTGAAATTTTTTTTTTGCTTACAATATTACCTTTTTGTAAAAAATTTTTTTTCTTTATAATTTATGTTTTCAGTGGACTTACATAATGATAAATATGTAAAATCAAAGCGTTTGTAAAAAATTTAAATAAATAATAACTGAAATAACAAATTCCAAAAATTATGTAAATAGCACTGCATTTATTCAAAGAAAATTTATAAAAAAAATGGAATTGGAATATTATGGTTTAAAATATTTTGCTGGATTTTATCCTATTTACCTGTATGTAATCATTTCACTATACTGTTTGTAGAATGTGATATAAGGCCTGTTCTACAGACCTACCACTTAAATCAATCTTCTTAGTTTCAAAATAATTCTTTATAAAATCTAAAGACATAAATTTTTATCATTAGACATTTCACACTTAGTAATAGAAATTGTTGCTTTATTGATTTAAGTAGAGCAAAGAAGTTTATATTTTTTAAGAACTCACGAAAGATAGCTTCTCTAACATTTGCAGGAAGTTTCTTTGGATATTCTAATTTACTTGAAAACAAGTGCAATTCATTTTTACCAATTAAATTTTCCAAAACATTTCTCATTAATATTCCTGCTTTCTTATAATCAAATTTCATCATTTCATCTAGCTTATGTTTATCTATCCAAACATTAGATTCAGGCCATAACTCAACCTGCATAAACAAATGGACATACAAATTCAAACTTATTTTTTATATATTAAAAAAAATTATGTTTACATATTGTTGTCGCCGTAAGAAATAACTAATATTATTTTTTATGAGTTGTTTACTCAACTGAGAGCCAACAAATTTTTTTTATTAGTTACTTAGAAGGAATATTTTTTATAATGGTGCGTACAGTTTAGGAGAGTATCAATTATAAGATTTTATGTAAAAGAATTTGTTTGTTAAAACTTTTTCATTAAAATAAAATTGAAAATATTAATATATTTTTTTTTTAGTTTTTTAATTTAAGGGGACAAATATTTAGAATATTTTACTTATTTATTAAATTATATTGAAAGTTTGTTACCTTCCCCTCTTTTTCTTCATATGGAAACTGTTCTCCCTTAAAAAGAAAGGATCACAAAATTTTTACTCATTACAAATTTTATTTTTTAAAAATAAGTCAGAAAATATTAGGAAACTTCAAGAATGATTTAATGTAAAATATACCTGTATTGGCTTGTCGTATTTTTTTTCTAACAGAAATATAAAATTAAAATTGTAAAAATCTTTGAATACATGTAAAAAATTTTGCAAATGTTTTCGAACTCATATATAAAAAATTTAAATAAATAGGTAATAACTAAAATATCAAATTCCAAAAATTATGTAAATTGCATTGAATTTATTTTAAAAATATTTATAAAAAAATGTAATTAGAATATTATTTTTTAAAATATTTTGCTGGATTTTATTCTATCACCTATTGATAAACGATTCAATCCTCTTCGTAGAAAGTCACTTAACGTTTTTCTTAAAGAACTATCTTTTAAATCAATATTCTTAGTTTTAAAATGATTCTTCACAAATTCTAAAGACATAAATTTTTATCATTAGACATTACACACTTAGTAATAGAAATTGTTACATTATTGATTTAATCAGAGCAAATGAAGTTTATATTTTTAAAGAACTCACGAAAGATAGCTTCTCTAACATTTGCAGGAAGTTTCTTTGGATATTGTAATCTACTTGAAAACAAGTGTAATTCATTTATACCAATTAAATTTTCTAAAATATTTTTTATTAATGTTCCTGGATGCTTAAAATGCAATTTCATCATTTCATCTCGCTTATGTTTATCTATCCAAACATTAGACATTTAATTTACAATGTACCTGTGTAGATATGTTCTTTTCATCAACTGACAGAAATAAAAAATTAAAATTTTAAATCTTTGAAAAAATGTAATTGGAATAAGATTGTTTAAAATATTTTTCTTGATTTTATTCTATTACCTGTATATAAGCATTTTATTCCTCTTCGTAGAAAGTAACTTAACGTTTGGCTTAAAGAACTATCTTTTAAATCAATATTCTTAGTTTTAAAATAATTCTTTATAAATTCTAAAGACATAAATTTTTATTATTAGGCTTTACACACTGAGTAATAGAAATTGTTACTATATTGTTTTAATTAGAGCAAATGGAGTTTAAAATTCAAAAGAACTCACGAAAGGTAGCATTTTTTACATGTATAGGAAGTTTCTTTGGATCTTCTAATTTACTTGAAAACAAGTGTAATTTATTTTCACCAATTAAATTTTCCAAAACATCTTTCATTATTATTCCTGGTTTCTTATAATTGAATTCCATAATTTCATCTCGCTTATGTTTATCTATCCAAACATTAGACTCAGGCCATAACTCAACCTATAATATAATAATTAATATTTCATTAAACTAACGAGATTATTTATATCGAAAATAAAAAGTTATCTTCTTTGCAAATAATGGCGAAAATTAATATATTTTTACCAATTTCTTAATTTTTAAAACATTTTTATTACAAATATTGTTAGAATATTTTATATATTTACTAAATTGTATTCGAAGTTTCTTACCTTCCCCTCTTTTTCTTTATATGGAAAATGTTTTCCCTTAAAAAAAATGGTTATAAAAATTTTTACTCATGTCAAATATTTTATTTTTTTAAAAATAAATCAGAAACTATTTCGAAACTTCAAGAATGATTTAATGTACAATGTACCTGTGTATGCTTGTTGTCTTCATCTACTGACAGAAATAGAAAATTAAAATTGTAAATCTTTGAAAAAATGTAAAAATTCTTGTAAATGCTTTTGGACTCGTATCATATAAAAAATTTGAATAATAACTAAAATAACAAATTTATTTTTATTTTATTATTTGCAGTATAGTGAATGTATAAGATAAATAATCTACAATATTTAAAATTCTTGTATCGATATACTTAAAAAAAATTTTTTTTTAATTTTTGTAACGTACCTGGTAAACCCAACTGTGAAACTGCAAACAGAATTTAATAAAAGAAAATCAAAGTGACTCGTATAAATAAATGACTTGTTAGCCTGTACATAATACTAATTTAAGAGTTTTATATTGAAGTTAGTAACAATTAAAATAAAAATTTTCTACTTTTTATCTAAATAGGTATAAATTAACACTTTCATAATGTAAGAAAGTAAAAAAAAACTTACCTATTTGTCGGCATGGAACTTCTTCAGTTAAAAATGATTCTACAATGAAGGTTACATTTAATGAATCTCTGAATAATAACAATGTTTTTTAATTCAGGGTGTCTAACAAGGATTGATAAAAAGATTCTCTAATTTTATAATTAAACTAATTTTATTTCTGCTTTCTTTGGGACCAAAATATGGTATAACTGACATATTTAATAATAAATTAATAGTAAATGATGGAAGCAAACGGTAATAAAAGTCTTTTAAGTTTTGTTAGATTAAAAAATTAGTAAGTGACATACCTAAAATCCTCAATTTTTCTATAAATAAATAGAAGTCATAATATGCAGAGGATAATTACAAATTATTAAATATATAAAATGCTTTTTTTTAATAAAAAAATTTAATTTGCAAATAAATTAAGGTATTTGTAACTATTATTATTAATACCCAAATAGCACAGTATTTTCCAAGAAGTTTACAAAGTAAAATTTTAAAGTTTTCTTTGTTGTCGTCAACGGTGGGTTAAAGTAATTAATCCCTTACAATTTTATCATATTGACGAAATGATTTTAATAAGTTGTATCAATAATTAAGAGTAAAAAAAATTAATCCACTTTTAAATTTCAGAAATTTTGCTTTGAAAGTATCCTGAATGTAACCTAAAAAATACTCTGCTTTGTGGGTAATGTTGAATAGATAATTAAATTATGTGTTTAAACTTAAACAATATATAATTTCTATATAGTATATACCTGGAGAAAATGAACTGCATAAAAGCTCTGCAAGAAGAGTTAATAGAATGCATTAAAGAAAATATTTCTAAATTAATAGAAAGAGTGATTTAATTTAAAGACATTTTATGTACCTATACCTGACACATTCATGGTCAATATCACCATCAACGATTAAAAGTTAATCAAAATCAAAATTAAACGGACTAATCGTGAGCGGTTAAACAGGCTTTAATAATTAATTAACTTTTAATCGTGCTTGGTGAAATTGGCCCTTATTGTGTTTTCAAATTCTGTAACAAAATTAAAATCATAGTTAATGTAAATGTATCTTTGTTCTAGTAGAAATTGTTATCAAATAAAGATCTTCAAAAATAGGCAAACGTAAACCTTCGGAATTTTTACAATTATTTGACTACAATTATTATTGTACATTGGCTCTAGAAAAAGATTACATTTATAAAAAAAAAATTTAATTTAACATACCTGGGCAGTCATTTTTAATTAAATCTGTAACATGTTAATGCCAATATTAAAATTTTTTAATAAAACAGATTGTTAGGGTTTGAAAAAATATCAAGTTTAGAACGAATATAAGTATTAATTAATATGACGTTAGACTTTCAAGAATTGAATAATTTACATGACATACCAAGCAAAATTGAATCATCTATGTTTTCTGTAATAATATTTAATGGACAAATATTTAATATTATAAACATTGAATTAATAGAAAAATTGTGTACATACAATTGTTTAACAATAGTAAATAATTTTACTAAAACAGTTAAAATTTTTGTGTATAGAATGACTGACAATCTTCAGCACAGTTATTTAAATATTCTATAGCATACTTTGAATATTCGGTAACTTTGTTCATTTACAATTATAAGGAGGGAAAACAATGAACCTTTGCTAATATAAGAAAACTATATCTGTTACTATTTACAGATATGTACGAGATTTATATTCACATTTCAATCCTAGAGTTTCACTTAGGTAGCTATTTACATCAGAGTTTAAAAAGTTTCTATAAGGAACAATGATAATAATCATTAGAATTTCCAGTAAAACTTTGTAATACAGGTTTTTAAGTTCAGAGGTCAATATTTTTCATATCAATTTTTTTCTGTACTGATTAATATCAATAAAACGAATCAATAAATTTTGAAGAAAAGTTAAAATGTCGAACAGTATTAAAATGACAATATCACTTTTGTATAATGTTTACGTGACATCACACATCACGCAATACGTGGCAATCAAATGAATCATGTTAGACATGGCAAATCTACAACAAATGCGTGAAATTAATGCAACTTAAGAATAAAGTTATTGGAAATAAAATTTATTAAATTTTGAAACAAGGAATACTTTAAAAAGAAATAAATTTAAAAAATATTCCCAATATTAAAATAAATGAAATAAGATAAAAATAAGTTTTCTTACCAAAATTATGATGTGTTGCAGTCTATGTCGCTGTTAGTGGTCGATTGAAAGAAATTTTTATCGCTCTTTGTATGCTTTCAAATGTTCCTTGAAACTATCTCCTAGTTCTGTAATAAAAAAACAGATAAATTATTTTATATTTTTTCTAAGGTTATACCTAATAATTGTATTTTCTTGGTAACTAAAGTTTTTAAAAGTTAAACAAAAAAATTTTTAATTTCTGTAATGTAATACTATAAATTTAATACAATAAAGAAAATAAATTAATGAATACTTCAAGAGTCTAAATTTCATTTCCTTTAAAAAAATTTTTATTTAAAAAAAGCCTGGCGCAATAAGGCAATACATAGAATGTATTTTAAATAATATTATAAATATAAAAAATAGTACTAATAATTATTTATAATATTATTGTTATACCAACAAACAATGTGTTTTCATTTAGGAGCTTTTGTGTAAAAATTATTGTTTGAAGTTGTAATATACTACATGCAGCAAAATAAAATTTATACTACACACATTGAAAAAACACAATAAATTTTTATAGAATTCTTTCATTTATTTTACTATATTACGCAACGTTTTCGGGTACAAAAAATTGTTCTTGAATAACAGACAAAAAACTAATTTCTGACCTGTCAGAAAGATTGATTATTTTACAAATATCAGAATATTTCGCCCTCGTCTGCATTGAAAATAACGAATCGAAAAAATGGTTTACAGTTTTTTTTTACAAAATTATATAAAATCATTAAAAATGGAAAATTTCTTTCTTTACTGATTATTAATTTAACTTTAAGCAAATGTTTATTAATTATAGAACAATATTTTTCAATTCTCATGACTATTTTTTAGTGCAAAATTCTTTATAGAGAAAAAATATCTAAATTAATACTGCATGATGTTGAATTGACCTTATTTTTTAAAGACATTTCTTTTAAAATTTATTTTTCTCGAAGAATAAAAGTTTCATTGTTTAAAAAAAATTATTTAAACTTTTTTATAAAAATTTTTAAAAATTTTATTAACATAAGTTTAAAAGTTGAAGGCGAATTAAAATTTTATTAAAATCAGTAAATAGTATAAAAATTTGATTTCTTCCGGAAGATTTATAGTTGGGGTTTTAAAAAAAAGAGAGTTGAGGTACAAAAGTTGTGCGATTTAACAGACAAAATACTATTTGCCATTTTTTTTTTTTTTTTTTTTTGAAAAAATCTCACTCGTATTTTTCTTTTTGCAAAATATTTTATCCGATGAATTGGAATTATAAATAATTAGAATTTATAAGATGAAATATTTTGCGAAATAAAAAGAAAATTAATCTACACGTATGTCCTTATTTTTCTCCCACAATAATCTGTACCATTTGACGGTATAACATTCATATCGTGATTTGCATTATGAAAAAATATTTCTTAAAAAATATCTTAACTTTCGTACTTTATAATAAATAAAAAATCCTCGCAATCGAGATTGGAAAATCTCTCGGTACACACATACAAACAATTAATCTCCTAATTTCTGATTATTATTATTTTTTTTTTTTTTTTTTTGCTTTATATCAATCATTCGATTTTGTGCGCGTGTCCATTTGTCGTTACGTGTCCATTACTCAATTCAGTCTTGGAAGTTTGTGATTTTTGCTTCGTAAGAGGCAGAATTACAGGCAGAAAGAGAATTCCTGTCAATCCCAAAATATTCGGGAATAGGTACAAATGCCTGAAAGAAAGTAAAATTATTAATAATAGTATTATTTTGGGAAATATTTTTTTCTTGTAAAATAATACGTACAGGTACATTGTGATACTTGGTTTTAATTCCAGAAGAACGAAAGTAAACGTCGTGTAGGTTAAAATGACTTTCGTTGTCAAGAATGTTATTATATCGTAAAATAATTTGGTCTTCTTCGAAATTAGGAAGTGAGGTCGAACATGGCGTCTAACCTGAATTAATATAAATTGTTTATTATTTGAAAAAAAAATATTACCATTTTTAAAGTTAAATTTATAAATAAAATTTATTTATCAACAGTTATAGTGAAAGAGCCTCTCATTTAAAAATGGGAAAATAATTTTCATTCTTACGATTCGTGAAGCGTATGTGAAAAATGCTCCATTGGCGAATGTGAGGTAGTAACCAGGATGAAATCCATGCCATAAGGCAGACAAGGCATATGTGTAAGCTGTTTTATTGCGAAGCATTCTTTCATAAACTAACGATCGTAGCCATCGATTTGTCCCCTTGTTCCAAGCTTCGATACTATCCCTAAGACTAAGAGCAGTCTGAAAATAGAAAATTAAAAATTGTTTCATTTTTCTTGTATTATTGTTATCAAAAATAATTATTTAAATTTAATACAATAAAGAAAATAAATTAATAAATACTTTAAGAGTCTTAATTTCATTCCCTTTCAAAAAAAAAAATTTATTTAAAAAAAGCCTGGCGCAATAAGGCAATATAAATCTATAAATTAATAATCAAACCTCAAATTTAAAGGCATCAACATTAGAAACTTTGTCCCAACGTGACTGTTGATTTTCATCAAATCCATTAAAGCCAAGACCCGAATTATTGCAAATTGCGTCAGCCATAATCCAGGCATGATAATACTTAAAGCGAACCAACATTGTGGCTATTGTCAGGTACCAAAATTTGTAGATAATCGAAGTTTTTTCCAAGAACTCATCATCTGGAAAATTTTTTATTTTTTTATTACAATTATGATCATAGATAGCATCCAATAGATAGCAAACGAATTAAGAAACAAAAAAGGGTAGTTTACCTTTGACTTTAACGATCGAATACGAGGGAATGAATGTGACAAATACAAGGGCAAAGAAAAGACTTGTGAGAACTTTTTTAACAACAATTGTAGCTGGCGATGGTTCAAGAACAATTTCATTCGATGTTTTCTCGCTGTAACCCTAAAAGAAGAAGAGAAAAAAGTAGCATATCAATATGATTAATTATAAATTTTTTTTTTATTTTTTAATAAAGTTTAAATTTATGAAATAAAGGAAAAAGTAAATTTATTTACGTTAAGTGATTTCACTTCCAAGATCCGTTGACCGTGAATAAAATCGATGTAGTCGTGATATAAAATTATGGGTCCTGCCATTATTGATTGAAAATGAAATATGTAGCTAAAGTACTCCAGCATTGTTGGCATTTTTCTGAAATGAAAAATTTTTATTGTTTTTTTTTTTTTTTTTTTTGTTTTGCTATAAACATTAACTAATTCCCGAACTTTTGAAACATTCCCAAAAGTATTAATTTTAATTAGAAGTCTCAATAAAGAATGTTAAAATAATAATTAACAAAAATTTTTTCTATATAGAAAAAGTAATTATTTTTCTACAGAATTATTTCACATAAAAATGTTTGTTAATTTAAATTAAAAAAAAAGTTAATTATCATTTTAAAGAAAGGTAGAACATAATTATTATGATCGAGCACGTATTAAGATTAAATTTTTTATTTTTCTTTCTCGATAAAAAAAATGAAGAATAATTTGAAAAAATTCCAATTGTCATTCATTTTTCTTTTTAATTAATTAAAATTAATTTACCGAACTGCTTGATGACGTTGTGAGGGTGTCAAATCCTCATCCATTTGGCACAATCCATCGTGAATACTATAAGCCAGACTCGTCACCTTTTGAGTGATTACCATAAGAGGACCTGTGAATATCGAGGTAGATTTAATTAAAATCTCAAATGACGCGATTAATCCTCTCAAATTAGAATCCATTATTATCTAGACTTCACTTTCATTTCATTTTTTTAAAAGTATTTTTTAAAATCACTGAATTTATTTTAATAATAATTTTTAATTTCCCTAATTATATTGTTAAATTTTCTTAATATTAATTTTAAATTTTCTAATTAGGAATTTTGATAATTTTCTAAAGAGTAATTTTGATAATTTTTTTTAAATTGTTAATATAGCAAAAAAAAAAAAAAATAGTAATTTAGTTTTCTTAATAATTGTAATAATTTTTTTAATATTAATTATACAGTTAAATTAGATGAATTTCAATTTAATTGAAAATTTTTTTAAAAAACAATTAAAACGATGCGAAATTTTTACTCTTTTATTTCGATAATTGGCAATTAATGAAAATTATCAAATTACCAGTGATGTCGAGTGTATAACTTCCGCCATTATAAAATTGTCGATGTAAATGAATACATGAAAGATAACTCAATGCAATGACGAGAACGAATCTGGAAAATTGCAAAAATTATTTTTCGCTATCGATCCAAAAAAAAAAAAAATGAAAACTTTTTTTTAAATTAATTTACTTTTGATTAAAAGGCATTTCAGGTAATTATTCCTTTTGAGGTAAAAATGTACCTTTCGATGTAAAAATGTACCTTTTGAGGTATAAATGTACCTCAAAAGGAATAATTATTGTTAAATGCCAAGAACGTAAATTAAAAAATTATTTCAACCTTTGCATCACTTTTGGATCCTGAGTTCTCATCACTATGTAACATATTGTCGGTAGTCCTGCCAAATGGATCGCGTGCCTGTAAAAGGAAAATTGTTTCTAAAATTAAAGATTATATTAAAAATTCTAAAATACATTTTTTAACTAACAAATAATCAGAATTAGACAAAAAATACACTGGAACTCCCGAAGGAGTCATAGGTAAAGTTCTATGTGACTCCTTCGGGAGTTCCAATATATAGATAAAAATTTCAAAAAACTGTAGATAAATATAATTTATCAAGGTAATAATAAATAATTTATCTAATTTGTCCTCTATTTAGAATATTGTTAAAAAATATTTTTAATATCAAGAAATATAAGATTTAAAAATTTATAAAATTATAACTATTGCAATGAATTTTAGAAACATAAGAAGCTTACTTGCCGAAATTGAAGTATCCAAGGGCAAGTCCAAAAATAAGAACGAATGCATGTCTTGTGGCTGGTGATGTTACATTTGGATTTAGTGATGACCTTAAAATTCCAGCCAATCCCAATGCAGTGAATTGTGTTATCAAAAAATTCACCTGCGAAAAGCCAAGTTGAAATAAAGGGCCAATTTCTCAAGGACATTCAATTTGCAAAATTTTTTGAAAATTAGAAAAGAATTTTAAATAAATTTTTAAAAGGATATCTGACCTGTAAGTACTCTAATTATTTTAAGAATAATTCTGGTGATATTTTAATCGAAACATATGTCTATTTTTCAAGTTTTTGAAAATTAGAAAAGTATAATAAATTTTATAAAGTTAAATTTAAAAGTATGTGACATGGACATTAAAAGAGATTCTAATTATTTTAAGAATATAGTTATAATGAAAATTTTTTTTATTTCAAAATTTTAAAAAATTCAAATTTGACGTGCATTTTTAAATTTCTATTTAATTTACGATGTGAGTGTAATTATAATCATAGATAATTTAATTGCTTTGATGATTTGAATGAATCATTCATGCGTGCATTCATGTTTAGAAATCAATGAAAAAATTGCAATAAGTCGTGAACCTCTGAGAAAAAAGAAATTATAATATGAAAAGAGATTAAAGTGAGCGAAACTTGTAATTGAAAATCATTGAATATGATAGTTATTATTTTCCTCCCGCCGGGTATGTCCCGCAAGTTTATTCATATAAAGTCTGTTAAAGAGAAGAAAAAAATTTATAAATACAGATATTATAGTTCTTCCCCGATTGAAAGTGACGTGTTCCAATGAGGGGAAATTCTCAACATTTACGGCGATATATAAAAGATGCTCAGCATCCCAACAATCATCATTCAGCTCTCAATCGTCTTACAGTATTAGGTAAGTGAATAAAAATTATTAAATTATTTCATTATTTCAAAAATTTAATTATTCTATTATTTTTTTATTTTCAAAATTTTTTACCAGAATATTATCGAATAATAATACAATAGTTACTATTTTCCTTACTTTCTGTTTGGATTATTCATAAATTTAATTATATTTGTATTCATTATTTTAGACTATTAAACAAAAAATCAAAATGAAAGGACCACTCGCCATTGCTATTGCAATTTGCTTCTTTGCATTTGCATATGGATTTAGAATTCCTCAAGGTTCGACAATAGGTGGATTTCCTCCAAGCGGTGGATTTCCACCAAGAGGTGGATCATTTCCTCCAACTTCAACTGGTCCCTACAATCCCCAAATGCCACAAGGGCCAGTGGTAAGAAAATTTAATTTTAAATTACAGAAAAAGGAATGAAAATCAAAATAGAAAACAAAATTAAAATAAATATTTCAGATGCGATTCAGACGGTACGCTGATCCTCAAGGATCAATCACTCTTGAGGGAATGAAACCACTTAGTGGACCCGATCAACGTCCATCTGTTAATTTAGACTACAATCATAGATTTTTAAATAACGATCGTACCCACGGTGATGCTTATGGTAAGAGTTACTTTAAAGTTCAAAACAAAATTCAAAAACTTTGTTTTTATAAATTTTAATTTAATTTCACTAATTACGATGTTTTCATGAAAGGTCTTTTAGTAAATGATTTATTTTTAATTATGAAAAAACAGGAGGAGCCACTTGGCATCAAGGTGGTCCAGTAGTACCCCACGGAGGAGTCAGATTCGATCATCATTTCGGACGTGATGGAAATGGATTTGTCGGAGGATTCGGACAAGTTCAACCTGGACATCATGGCGGAGTACAACCTTCATTTGGAGTTCAAGGAGGTTTCAGATTCAGACGAGACCTTGAAGCCGAAGACGAGGAATCTTTAGAAGACGTTGACAGTTTAGAAGAATAAAGAATCCGCATATAATCCAAAATCATCAAATATTTATCAATCATATCATAAGGCATCGGAAAAATAGATTTTTAAATACTTCTCAAGAAGTTGCATTTAATAATTTAATTTTTATAAAATATGTAAATAATTTAGGTTTAGAAACGAAATTATAATTTTTAAATAGAAAAAGAACTGCGTCAGCAAATAATTTGTAAGCAACGAGTATTAGTTACAGGAATAAGTAGTCAAATGATAACATCAGTAACTTCGATAACATCCTTAAAATGTTTCGTATTAGGAGACAAAATATTGTATATAATCTAAATTCAGTTTTTCAATAAAGTGCCATTTATAAGATGGTAAAAAGAATTTATTTTTGTCATTCAATATTATTTTAGCCATTAGAGAGCAAAAGGAATCTTTTGATCAATCTTTTGATCATGACTGCTCTAGCAGGTGCGCTCCAGTGATTCTAATCATATTCACACTTCATCGAATTATCTCAGAAGCCTTTAAGAATATTTTGGGGGAAAAAAAGGTTTATTGAGTTCACAATTTAATTCTAAAGAATGTCCCCAAATGTGTCTTTAATCTGATACTAAAATTTTTATTATCTCCTTCTCATTTAGGTTCTTCTCCTTAATATAATTCCAAGGATAATAATAGGATAGTCGGATGCTAATAAAATTTCTAAGATAATTTTTTGGTATTTCTGAAATTAGTACCCAACCTCAATGCTAACAGTTTCTTAAAACAACGGAGGTACTTGAACCAATTTTTAACCCATAAATAAACTCGCGAGTTACGTTGCATTCCCTCGTCCATTGGGAACTAATATCTTCAAATTCTAATGGAGCATTTTGTCAACAGAAATATTTACAACACCGATTAACAGATGTATTTCTGATGACGGTATGACATCTAAAATTTTCAGGATATGCCAAATTTCAAATGATGTGCTTGCAAATTTATTTTTCTTGTCACATGTTCTATAAACTTTACAGCGTCACTGCAAAAAGCGATGCTTCCGAAAGTTTTTCTCTTCTTTGTTTATTGTCTTTTACAACATCATATTTTTTAACATCAAAATAGAAATCTAGAGAATGATATTCTTGAGTTTTTGATCCACATTCGATTCAAAAATTTCTGTTATTTGTAGCAACTCTTAAGGCTGATGTCATCATACACACCTCGCTATAAAGTACCCTTTATATGTGCATTAATTTTTAAATTGAAATACTCAATAGTTTTCTTAGAAAAAATTCCTAAAATATCGATTTTTTAAGCGGCTACATCCAGTTATAACTGGATGTAGCCGCTTAAGTTAACCCCAAATATTTTTTTATTGATTGTATGTGAAACGACAAGTTTACAAATAAATCAAATTATTTTAAATCGAGTTGATTACCTATTAAAGAGTAAATTGTAGCTTGCATTGAAACCATTAAATTGTGCAATACATGGGATTGAAGAAAGTCGTAGTTGCGACAAAAATGGAGAGCTACCCTAGAATGCAAAAGTCTTACGACATCTCCACTGGTATGGCGATCAAATTTTTTAAAAGTTAACGTACTTATACAAAAATAATGTTTAATTATTATTATCAGACATTAGACATCAAAAATTGATGTCAGAATTATAAAATTAGAAAATGTTTCAACATTTTTTAATTTTTTAATTTTGCCATCAATTTTGGATTTGGTGATCCAAAATTCTCTTTCTCCAAAATATATTCATTAAATTAAATCATAAATTTAAATTATCACAAAATATCGTTTATTCACATCGATTATATAAGATTGTATAATAACGAGAATAAAGATTACATTTGAATTAATTACTTTTGCAAATACTATAAATAAATCGATGTATGTTTAGAAATCAATAAAAGAGGTGACACTTATCAGTTATGAACTTATAAAGAGAAAATTAATATAAAAAGGCAAAGCATACAATTGCCATTCATTAATTGACCGTTACTTTTTTTTCCTCATGCGGGAATATCCCGTAATATTATTCATAACATTTTTGTTAAGAAGAATAAAAAGAAAATTAAATAAAGATAAAACTGCGAGAAATTGTAGTTCTTCCCCGTTCTCAAGAATGACGTGCTCCAAAGGGGAATATTCTCAATATTTCTGACGATATATAAAAGATGCTGAGCATCTCGAAAATATTCATTCAGTTCTGAGTCTTCTAACAAGTCGGTAAGTAAATTTAAATTATTATTTAAACAAAAATTTAAACGATTTTCAATTTGGGAAAATTAAATATGAAAATAAATAATTGTAAAGTTAGACTGAAAATTAGTAGTAATTGGAATATTTATTACCGGTCAAAATTTAATTATGTCGCAAAATTTTTTGATAAATTTAACATTTATCGGAACCCCATTTGGCTCGGTTGGTAAACTACCGGATTTCTACATAGGCGATTAGGGTTCGAGTCTTGCCGTCTCAATTTTTCGTTTATTTAATTATTTATACTAAACTATCATCCTTATTCTATATAAAATAATTTTATTTCAGACTACTAAAAAAAAAAAAAAAATGAAAGGTCAACTCGCCGTAGCTATTGCAATTTGCATCTTTGCATTTGCCTCAGGATTAAAAAGGCCACGAGACTGGACCAAAGAAGAATTCCCTCCACGATCCACAGGTCCTTATGCTCCCGAAAGGCCAAAAGAATGGGTAAGAAAATTTAAAAAATTAAAAAGAGACTTATTTATTTTTTAAATATTTGTTTGGTTAGTCAACTTAGTAATTTTAAAAAATAGAATAATTTTTGTTCGAATTGTGCTAAATTACAAAAAATATTTTAGCTTCGATTGAGAAGACACGCGGATCCTCAAGGAGGAATCACTCTCTCAGGACAGAAACCCCTAAGTGGACCCGATCGTCGACCATCTCTTAATTTAGATTATAACCATCAGATTCTTAATAATGGACGAACCAACCTCAATGCTTATGGTAAGAAATATTTTTTATTTTCAAAATTAATTTTATTATCTTTCTCTTCTTCTATTGTATTTTTTTAATTCAATATTAATATATTAACAGTCAATTATTTTAATTCTAATTTTAATTATCTAAACTTTAAATTATCTTATTTGTTAATGGGACAAACTTTTTTTACCCAAAAAAAATAGGAGGAGCCAACTGGACACCAGGTAGTCGAATTGTCCCCCACGCTGGTGCGGAATTCGGTCATAATTTCGGTCGTAATGGAAATGGATTTATTGGAGGATTCGGACAGGTTCAACCTGGTCATCATGGTGGACTAAATCCATCCGTCGGTATTGGTGGGCGTTACAGATTCAGACGCGACATTGAAGCCGAGGACGAAGAAACTTTAGAATCTCTCGACGATTTGCAAGAGTAAGAAATTTAGCAATCTCTTTAAAAAAAATTAAATTCTATTTTTATATGTTAATATCAAAAAAAAGACTCGAAGACTACCTAGAAATGCATTTACTTTAATTTATCTATGAAATACTTAAACTTAAAAAATATAAAATAAAATACTTCAACTTAAAAACGAATATTACTAACAAAATGCTATTAGAAATATTTATGAAAAACGAGTATTATTATCAAGAATAAGTAATCTAATTTCAACCTAATTAATGATAAAGAATTTTTTAAAAAATTGTTTAATATTTTAAAGATAGCGAAAAGTTTGTAATTTTTTTTTTCTACAAAGTTAAATATCACTTATTTAATTATTAAAAGTTCAGAAAAGTTTACTATCACAAAATATTTGAAATTCTACATTAAAAAAATATTAATGGAAAATAAAAATTAATCGATAAACATTGTATGTAATTTAAATTGCTAAGTATTAAAATAAAGTGCTACCTCATCATGAGAATGTTGAAAAGAATTTATTTCCTTCAAATATCATTAACCTTAAGAAAAGAAAAAATTTTTTAGCATTTAAAAATTGAATTTGTAAATTTAATTTTAAGTAAATATTTTATTGTTTACTGATAATTTGGAAAAGGTATTTTTTTAAAGAAAAGGTAAATAAAAAACCGCTATTTATCATATTTATAGATTCTGCGTTTTCTTTCGAACTATTATTATTATTATTATTAGTGAAACGAAACGAACGTTGCTAATTTTGGAAAGTTGTGCAGTAAAACTGGATTGTACAAATAAAGTAAAATGCATATTACTCAAGAGGATATTTTTAACTTTTTTTATGAAAACTAAATGAAAATAATAATATTTTTGTATATAGAATATGAAAACAAAAAAAAAAATAAACAAAAGACTATAAAAAATGGAATTTTGTCGTCTCTGCCTTATTGCGCCAGGCTTTTTTTAAATAACTTTTTGCTGTCCAATTTTGACTCTTGAAGATAACTCAAATTCGCTCTCTCAGCAAAGCGAAAAAATAGTGATACGATAAATATAAATTTTTGTTTTTCTCCGCTTTACTTTGGACACTCGCGTTGACATTTAATGATCACAGTATCGTCTGCTCCCTAGTTCGAAAAGTCCGCCCTCTAGTGTCTGAAATTCGAAACACTTTCAAAAAGGCGCGAATTATAATTTTGTAACCTGAACCATGATTTTTAACACTTACAGAATTTTAAAGAATTCTAAATTTAGAAATATATTTTTAATTTTAAAAGAATTTAAAATTTAAAAATATATTTTTAATGCAAAACATTTTTAATTTTAAAAGAATTATAAATTTAAAAGTAAAATAATTTTTGTAAATAATTTTTGAAAATAATTTTTTTTAATTCTAAGTTTTGTCGTTTAACTTTTTTTTTTCTCCCCTTAGGGCTATTAAAGATTGACTTACGCTACTGTCAATAATGTATAATCGCGTGAGTCAGAAAAGGGAAGAAGAAATAATCTGATTCTATATTACCCGCGCGCCTCTCTCTCTCTCTCTCTCTCTCTCTCTCTCTATACAGTTTCCGTTCGGTTGGGGGAATCACTATACATAGAAAAACTAGTTCAGTTGTTCCTGTCGAATTTATTTTCAATCAAAAATGAGGGAGAAATTATTTTTCTTTACAAATGCAGGAAAATGATTTTTATTTCGATAAAATAAATAACAATAAAAATAAAATCTATTAATAATAATTTTTTTTGTTTATATACACGTGGTAGAGATTATTCAGAGGAAAAATGATGATTCAATATTTAAAAGAGACAAAGTAATACTGAATCGCTTTGTTTGTCAGTATAAGTTAATCCACATTTAATGCGTATTTGCAACAAGTTTTATAGGCAGATTGCATTATCTCAGGTCTTTGATAATTTTTTGTTTTTTTGTTATTAATATTAACATTTTAACAAATTTTATTCAATAGATATAGATCACTTTACAATATTTTTTTTAATTATTAAAATCGAAGCAAAAAAATTATATTCTATATTTAAAACCATTTTTATGATACATTGTTAAAAATTGTTATTTAAAAAAAGCCTGGCGCAATAAAGGCAAAGATAACAAAATTGTATTCTTGTTTATAATTTTTTTTCTACATTTACGTTTTTTATACAATATTATTGTTTATATTTTTATAATTATTAGTGATTATTTAGCATTACTTTTCTTTTTTTTTTATTTTCAGTATATAATGTATATCATCTAGTAATAATAATAATGTTATATTTTATATAAATTTATAATTTTGAAAAGAACGTTGAAATATTTATTTAAATATAAAATGGACATAATGTTAATTCGACTTTTTTTTTACATTAATCATAACAATACTTTATATACTAATATAATTATTATAATTAAATTAATATAACTTACAAAAGAATTAAATATAAAAAAAATAAATATTTAAAAAATATAAAAAATAATTTGAAAATTATAAAAAAAATTTATATATAAACATGAGTTTATAAGAAATAAAATAAAATAATTAAAAACTTTTTTCATGGTACTATTTAAAGATATATATTTTTTTAATATTAAGTTATTCTAAATTTTGATGAGTTTTATAAATTCTAATTTTTTAAAAATTAAATAAAAATATTTCATCATAATTTTAAAATGAAAAAAAATTGAAAATTTTATGTTTCGTTTTAATGCCCCGCATAAAATAAGATCAACAACTATAAACAGACGTGTGTATACAATATCCAGATACATTCACGTGTTACAATATTAATCAGAATTAAGAAAATGAGACACACCCATTATTTTTAGTATAATTGTAAGAAAAAAAAATTTTATAAATATAATTATTACTATCTTTTTTAATATAATAATTTTTTTCACTTTTAATTTTAAATATATTTTTGAAAGTAAAATGCAATGATACAAAACATTTCGCAAGAGAAATAAATATAAAAGTGACAATAATACGTGTGTATGTAGGTGCTTATGTCAATCATATCAATGAAAGTGTAATCTCACACATATGAAAATTGATGTGTCACTAAAGACCTGCTATATTGTAACAGATATGCATTCAAGAATAAGACTAAAAGTTTTTCTTTCATAAACATACAAATTTATTTTTTTTAGAAACAAAAACAATAATAATAATAAAAATAAGAAAAAATTGAAAATAATATTAATAAAAGTACTAATTTATAAAAATAAGAAAATAATTAAAATAATTAAAAGAGCAATAAATATGATAGTAATCTTTTTATATTTTTGTGTTTAAATATTTTTCTGTTTTTTTAATTTTAAAAATTGTTTTATTTCTTACTGTTATTTTATTTATTGTTATTTTTTACTTTATGTAAAATACAATCTTATTTCTTGAATTTTATTTCAGTTAATACAGTGACTTAATTTTCTTTATTTCAATTTGTTTCCACTTATACTTATGGCTATTATACTAGAAAAAAATCGAAAGGGTTGAGTTTTTCAGAAACTAAACATAATTTTTTTTAAATTTATAATAATTAATGAAAATGTTTTTTCTTCTTCTCCTTCTTCTTAAACTGTGAAACATATTAAAAACAACCAGAGTAATCTCATTTTAAAAACATTAGGTACATCAATTTTCAACTTTAAATATTTTCAAAAATATTTTAAAATTTTCAAAATTGTCTTCACTTTATTATTTTTTACAATTATAGCTACAAGGAAAAATAGTTTTAAGAAAATTGCTAATAACATAAAAAAATCGTCGATCCACATGGCATTAATGAAATTTTTAAATTAAGTAAACAATTAATATTGTTTTATTTTTTTCCCCAATCAAAATGTTGAATTAAAAAATTTTTATAGTTTTGAAATTGTTGAAAAATTAGAAAAATTCTGCCATAAATTTTCAAAAAAAAAATTTATTTTTTTATAATTTCTGTATATATTTTTTTTTTGGGAAAATATTTTTTAACGTAATAAAGAAATAGTATTCTACCTCTCGGTTGATGAAACTTTAAATATAGAAAACCATGAATATATTTCTAAATGAAAGTATTGCGTCGATTAACAAAAACGACGCACGTGTTACATTGATATAAGATTACATAATATATTATTAAACTAAAGTCTCTCAATAATTTTACATTGCGGTGGGTCACTTTGGAACATTAAAAAAACGTGATATTATTCTTTCCAAAATAAATGAATCAACTGCGTTTATAAATTTTTGTTATGTGCAGGAAAAAAAAATTTATTTTTATATTTCTTTACTTTTTTAATTTTTATAAATTTTTATTTATTTATAATTTTTAAATTTATTTTTTAATTCTAATTTATTATTGTAAAATTATATGCGTCAGTTTTTTTTTAATTCATTGTAAAAAATTAAAATTGCGACTTTTCGATGACACGCGTTATTTATTTTCGTATTTTTACATTATTTGTGTACAAACTTTTAATAAATTTTTAAATTATTCTTTTAAAAATGAAACTATTTCAAAATAGAGTAAAATTAAATATTGTCAATGTTTATACATTTTTTAAAAACTTTTACATTTTTTTTTATTTTTCTGCTTTATTTTATTCTTTTTATTTATTTTTATATATTTATTTTTTATTTTCCTCGTTTTATAATGTATAGTATTGAGATATATAGAAATATTAAATAAATTTTTAAGTTCTAAACCCTAAAGGAATTTCGAATATAATAAAATATTCTATTAATTAAATATTATTATTTTTTTCAATTCTCCATAAATTTTTGTTTTAATAATTTCTTTCTCGCATTTATGATAAAAGTTTCTCAACGACAGGTACGACGAGTTACTGAAAGATCAATAACGCGATATATAAAAGAAAAATGAGCAAAAAAAAAAGAACGTTTAAAAATAAAATGAACTGTTCAAAATAAAACAACAATGTACATTATATCCAACAAAATGTATTTTGCAGATAAAAATAGAACAAAAGACCTTATTATTACAATATATCTTACAGGTGACAATAAAAATTGTCAATATAGAACAAAATTGCGAAACTTCAATTAAAAAAATAATAATTCTATCCTTCGAGTATACCGTTCCAAAATAATTTTTATGCAACCATTAAAAAAAGGATGTTAGGATGTTATTTTGCCTTAAATTACGATGCAAAATTATGCATAGAGTAATTTAAAATAACGGTTTGAAAAAAAATTTTTTGTTTTGAAATTTAAATTGAGTAATAAAAGATAATAAACAATAATATACAAAGTTCCATCAGTTTTTAAAATGATTTTAAATATGAGAATTAAAAAAAAAAATTTTACCATTTTTAAAGAACGAAAAATACTATTTTCCTTGGTCAAGTGTTAAAATACTTGAAAAATTATTTCAAATTAAAGTGAATTTAGTAATAATAATAATGATAATTAACAATATAATGACTTGCAATGAAAATTGAATTATTGAAGCGAAAGAAATTTTCGAGAAAATTGATGTTATCAAGATAATTATATAGATATGTAATTGTCATATAATGGAGCAAAATCATGAAACTTAAAACAAGAACAAAATTCAAAAACGTAACGGAATTTTTCAATAAAAACATCCTGCTTTTTGAAAAAAAAGTTAAATTTAAGATTTCCCCCTTCCATCATTAAAAAAAAAAAAATTGATATAATTTAAATTTTAGAAAATTATTTTAATATTTCTAATTTAAATGTTAGATAAAGTTTAATGTTTTAGGTAATTATGCATAATTACCATGTTTTAAATCTAAGTTTTCAATTCAATACTTTTAGTTAAAATCAAAAAATAATTAATTTTAAAATTAAATTAAATTTAATATAAATATATTATATAAAAAATAAATAAATATATTATATTATATATTTTATATTTAATATTTAATTTAATTTAATTTAATTAATTTAAATTTTTTTTTTTTTTTAATTTTTAATTCATTTTCAAATTAAATTTTAAATCTGCTAAATTTTTTAAATAATCAAACTGTATCGTAAATTTATCTGTTATACTTATAAAAAAGCTTTTCAATAAATGTTATTAACTATTTAAAGTTAATTCGTTTTTATATATCGTTAAAGTTATTACATGTAAAATTTGGTATTTATATAGAAATTTTTATTTATAAAATTAAAAAAAAAAAAAACTAATTTAAATTTTTAAACAATTTTAAACGATAAAAATATTTATTTTCATCATTTAAAATTTTTTGAATTAGTTTTTATTTTTTTTAAATTTTATAAATAAGAATTTCTATAAATAACAAATTTTACAAGTAATATGTATAACGATATTTAAAAACAAATTAACTTTAAAAAGTAATTTTTGTAATTATTATTATTATTATTAATAAACACAAAAATAATAATTTTTTCACTTACAATTATGATAGAATTTGAATTTTGCTTATTTTATTTATAATAAATGCAAAAAAAGTTTTTTATTTTTCTTTTATATAAATAAATAAATAAGTAAATGAAACAGAAAGGAAATTAATTTAAAAAGATTACTTTTTAATTTAATGTCTAAAACTAAAGTTTTCAAAAATAAAACTTCTTTTTTTCTAAACTACTTTTCGAGGGCTTGAATAATAATTTTAATTTACAAAGTTTTATATACACAAAAGAAAAAAGTTTAATTTCATAACAAAAGAGAATAAAAAAACTTTTTATCTCTTCCCTTAAAAAAAGAAAAATAAATAAATATTTTTGTTTAACAACAAAAAAATTAATTAACAATCGAAAATTATTTTTCCCCCCTTCCTTTGTGTCTAGTTTAGTCTAGCAGAATAAATCGTTTCCTGAGGGAGAAGTAGTGTAGATAATGTATACATATATATATATGTATATACTATATACATATATATATTGTTACCTCCGAAGGATATAATTCAATAGATTTTCAGCCAGAAAAGGAATGAGAAAAAAAATCACATACACCACAACAGAAAAAAAATTATTCCGGAAGGAATGATGCAAAAAAAAAAAAATAAATACTACAATAGTAAAATAATTATAACTTACTTGATCAATGGGAAGATTAACATAATCCGCGAGCCAAGCAAATGTTTGAAAACCAAAATAAGTTTCATCCTGAATCGCCGTCATTATAACGACCATCCAGCTTCGAGCAGACTCAACTGACAACTGACACACAAAATATTTTCCTTTCATCTGCACACCGGGCGCCGGCCGGTTCAAGGTTCAGGTTCGTCCCTGCCTTCAAATGTACCCCACTCTTTCGTTTAAAAAATTCATTCCTACCCCCCTCCACCCTCCAAAAAAAGAAGTTATAAAATTTTCAAGTACGGAAATAATTTATAACTTTTAACCAAAGTTTCATTTTTATAAAAAAAAAAAAATGAATGTCAACAAAAAATTGCATTTTTAAAAGTAAAATTATTTTTGTTTTTTTTAAAATAAATAATAAAAAGTTTAAATATTATGTTAGAAAGACTAAGACCATAAATTTTTACTTTATACTATTTATTTTAATTTTATTTATTTGTAACGTATTCAATTAATAAAAAAATATTAATTGTTTTTCGTTTTAAATATAAGTTCAAAATTTTGTTCAACTTCAGTGTCTTCAGTATCAAAGATGGCACCGTACTTGGCTATTAGAGAAAGAGAGATAGGAATTATTTCTCTCCTTCTTACTCTTGTGCGTTACCATAGTAACGGCCCTCTACCTCACCTGGGGGTTGGATTTGAAACTATTAATTTACTCAATGTTTCTCGCTCACTCGACTTATTTTTTTTAATTTACTATAATTAGATATAAAATCTGAAAGGAGCGAAAAATTAAAAAAAAAAAAAATTTTCTGCAGCTATAGCAAATAAAATTATAAAAGAAAATCTTTATAATAGAAATTAGGTAGAAAAAATATATTTGTAATTTTTTTTTTTGTAAATTTGGTATTAGTAAGCATTTTTCAGTCGAATTACTAAAAAGATAAAACTTTTTATAATTGTTGTCATATAAGGAAAAAGTTAAATTAGAAGAACGATTCTCCTTTGTTAGTTCTGCAGTAATTGAAGAACTGATAATGGAAAATTCAATAAGTAAACATTTTAAACAATGTATGAGACGTTACAACAATTTATTATAACGTTTGCAAGCTTTTTTTTTTTTTTTTTTGCTGATTTGTGACAAATTTTTTAAATTGTATTTTTCTCGTCCGCCATATTGGATCCGCCATTTTGAATTTAAAAAAAGTAACGTCGGATTTGTAATCAGTGATCCTAAGAACCCCCCGAGTTTTAAGACAATTCAATTGATTTTTAATTTTCCATCCACCATATTGGATCCGCCATTTTGAATTTTTGAAAACTAACATCGGATTTATAATCAGAGACCCCGAAACCCCGGAGTAAAAAAATTCGATTTTTATAACTATTATTAATTTATTAATAATTCACAATTTTAAATTTTTCTGTCCGCCATATTGGATCCGCCATTTTGAATTTTTAAAAACTAACATCGGATTTGTAATCAGGGACTTCGAAAATTCCCTGAGAAAGAAAATTAAATTTTAATATAATTAATTAAAATTATTAATTATCATTATTTGATTAATAATTCATAATTTAAAATTTCCCCTCCCCCATATTAGATCCGTCATTTTTAATTTTGAAAAACAGATGTGTAATCGGATGTGTAATCATTGACCCCTAAAAACCCCCGAGTTTTAAGACAATTCAATTGATTTTTAATTTCTCGTCCGCCATATTGGATCCGCCATCTTGAATTTGTAAAAAATGGTAAAGGATTTATAATCATTATAAATTATTATTAAATTATTCTTTTGAGATTTGAAATTTAAATAGAAAAGTTTTTTCTAACGTTTGCCCTCAAATAAGGAAATTTTCTTTTTCCTATTTTAAAATCAAAATAAATGAAACTTATTTTATCAAATGTCAACTTTCACTTTTCCTCAATTTAATAGTTTTATTTGCAGATCAAATATTTGCGCTCAATGACTCTAAAAGATAATAATAATTGCTACTAAGGTTAATGATACTTCTTGGCAATAATACATTCATACTAATACTATAATGAATAAAAAAATAAACAGAATAAAACACCTTGTTTCGATAGATACAAATTTGGAAATTTTATATGTCCAATAAAGAATATTTTAGATAAAAAAAAATTTACTAAAAAGTAAAAAATTGTATGAAAGTGTACCTTAATCTGGAAAAATAAAAAATTGGTAAATTTAAGATGACTGCAATGCACTTCAATAATAATTATGAGAATTATACTTATAATCATAATGTTCCATAAAAGCAACAAGTACAATGGAAGGCATTGAAATTCTTTTTACGAGAATTTAATTAACATTATCTCGACATAGTTTCTAACAATCATCATAAATATATATGTACATATATGTACATATTATTCATATATATATATATGAATAATTGAAATCATTGATATTTTTATGCCATTTATATTACCGTTCATATCTAATGAAAACTAAAGTTGATTATATATTTCAAGTTCAGTGTCATATTCGTAAAAGAAAAACAGTAAAAAAATTATATAATCTCTTACAAGTGACTAATATTTCTTTTTCATAACCGACATAATTAAACTTCTTCTCATGATCAATGGTGTGTGTGTGTGTGAATTATTTTTGTCAAATAATAACAATACTCTTAACATGCAACAATTATACATTTATTTTTTTAAAAATAACGTATTTTCTCTCTCTATATTATATAAGTGTGTATATAAAGGAAAAAATGTCTACATATTAAATATAGTCCAGAAGACAGTTCTGGAAAAAATATAATATTCTTAATAATTGAGACTCAAGTGCGGAAAGTAGTTTTGAATATTCATTAAATATATATGGTAATTGTGAATATTCTTAATTTTTTTATATCTGGTTTGTAAATTTTTCAATATAGTCTTAATATTATTCTATACAGTTCGTATATGTACATATATAGGTGAATTATTCCATTGTATTTCATCAAAGATCTTTGGGTTTTTATGATATTTATGAGTGTAGAGATTTTTATTGTTGTAATGCTGTCGAACATGGAAGAGTTGGAAAATGGTTTTTTGTTAGGTTTTTCCAATCCATAGAGTTCTTAGAACCTTTCATATCCTCCACATAACGTCTTAAGAACGTCCAATGTTCTAAAAACGTTTTCCGAACATAAAACTTTAGAACCAATGTTCTGGAAACGTTTTTAGAACATTGGACATTCTTAAGACTTTATGTGGAGGACATGAAATGTTCTAAAAACGTTGTAGGAACGTTTCTAGAACAAAAACTTTTTTGTGCCCACAGGGTACTGTTAACTGTAGGAGGATAATTATTTGATGACGTTGAAAAGCATTCTTGAACGGAGCAAGAAGTGAATTCGAAAAGAAACCGAAATTTAGATATCGTCTGATAATTTTTTGATGACACTAATGACTAAAACTTGTAAGAATGCCAAGAAGCTAGATGATGTCTTGAACGTACGATCCTGGAACCTGCTGATCTAGCTAATAGTTCAAAAATCCGTTTGGTTCCAAAAATTTAGTCTGCTCCAATTATGAAAAACTATGATGGTGACGGTAATGATACCTCTACATGACTTTGGAACAATTAGGCAAATTGGAAATCAGTTAATGATGATGCTAAATACAAAAACTCGTCAGACGTCACCTAATAAGTTCAGTAGTGCCTGGAATCCCTTTCTAATCCTCTAAATATTTACAAAAATGTTTCGTACCTGGAGATAGTGGTATTCACCACCTATGATACTGTTTATAACCTTTAGAACAATTAGGCGGAATGTGAATTACTTAAAAATACTAAATTATTATACTGCCTATCGGTATCATCCTCAACATCATCCATAAAGTTTTCTACAACTAGAATTCATTTACGTTGAGATTAAGGATGTAACAAACGTCTTCCAAAAGTAAGTCCCAAAGATTATCAATGAAATATCGTGGAATCATCCAAGTACATAAAATACAACATTTACAATCTCTATCACTGATGAGAAATATTTTCTCCTCTATTCAATTTTCTTTTGTAACCTATTTGCAAAATTTTTATTTACATTTTACGACGCAAATCGCAAAATCACAAAATCACATAGAAGCATATCTTCCTTTTTTCTTCTTGTTTCTCTTCATCATCTTTTATCTACAGACTTAGAAAACATGAGATTCGACCCAAGAGAATATTTTCTTTCCCCCAAGGTTTCAAACTCCTTTAATATCACAAAAATTGTTAAATATTTAATAAGCTCGACACTATAAAAAATGCAGGAATGGTCCTATTTTCCTTTCTTTTTTAACTAATTCTTAAATCTACTCTTCAAAATTCTTCCTAATCCTACAAGAGATTTTTTGGGTAGGGTCTTTTATTTACAAAATATTTTATATAAAAGGTAAATTTTGAAAAAAACATTTTTTTTTCTTTACTAAAATTCTTTACCTTATCTGCTGAAAAATATTCTATTTTCATAATTTGGAAAAAATTTTTTGGTAATTTCATGCAATAAAAAGCTGTTTTCGTTATTACTTGATACATATCGAAGTCTAGAGGAATATTTGCAAAAAAACCTATTTTGAGGTAGTAGGTATTTTTTTTACATAATATTGTGTATAACATTTTTTTTTTTGGAAAAATGTTACTTTATCTTGATTTTATGTAATTTTAGTTTAAAACCTAAAAGTTCTGAGAGTATTCCCGATAAGGCCGAGAGTAAAACAACTTTTGTGATTGTATACAAATAGGGATTAGCTGAAAGTCCTGAAATTTTGAAAGGACTCTCCAGTTCCTGTAAAAAAGAGATTTTTTTAAATTAATGTCTCCATGTAAGACGTAATATTAATTTTGAAAAAAAGAAATCTTTACATTAATTTTTAAATCGAGGAAGATAGACAATGGGGTTTCAGATCTAAAAGAGGAAATTTTACCTTTATTAAATCCGCCGCTAATTTTAAAACACTATTAGCAACCATGAGTTCGTCTTTTTTATGTGGTTTTTGCTCTATCTGCAGGTACAGATTTATCTGAAAATAAAATTTTTCTTTGGTAGTTGCAAAAGGTTTTGTTTAGATGAGCTTAGATTAATAGTTATTATCGTATCAAGGATGCAAAATAGGTGATTGCGACGATGGCGAGATGAAGGGACCGAGGGGACATTTTCGCGCCCGAGGCGAAGCCGAGGGTGCGAAAGTGTACCCGAGGTCCCGAAATCTCGCCAAAGTCGTAATCACCTTTGCGCCCATGTTGCGAACATAATTTTTTGTCCTAACTGCATGAAAAGTATGGCATTGAGGGCACGAGCGAAGCGGGCGCAAAAAACAGCAAGCGGGCGTAAAAGTACTTTTGCGCCCGCTCGGGCTAGATGAAGCGGGCGCAAAAGTACTTTTGCGCCCGCTTGTGTGACGTCAGCGGGCGTAAAATAACTTTTGCGCCCGCTTCCCTGGCCCCGGGCGAGAATCAGTTACTTTGCGCCCACTTTAAGTGCCCGAAATGACATACTTTTCGTGCAGGTAGGACAAAAAAATATTTACTGGAAAGTAAACTGAAAGTGGTGTAAATGATCTACTTTACCTGCTCGGTTATGAGAACAGAAAGATTTCTATATTTTTTATTAATCTTTGTGCCGAGGGTCATGAACCGTAGTACAAAAATTCCGAGAGCAAAACTCCAGAACAAAGCTTCTGCGCTATAGGGCGAATGTAAGCTTTCCAAATCCTGAAAAATTTTAACTTTTACTTAAAATCGAACTCCTGAGAATCGAACTCATTAGAAAGTAAAATTTCAAGAAGTGGAATTTTTAAAAAATCATTCAGAACATTTTTTTTGTTAGGGTAGGAAATTACCTTAATCAATTCTAAACTAATGAAGGATAGTAAAAGTAGTGTGAGGATAAAGATAGAGGAGACGATCACGTCCACTGACCGTTGGGGTCCTCTTCTCTGGAAACAAAAATATATTCATCAGAAGGGGACGATAATTTTTCTAATGAAGGATTAATTGCTATTAAGGGTATCCGCTTTCAATTACCTTTAAGTACGATCTGATGCTGAGCCAGGTTTTAATGTTGCGCACTTTATTCAGTCGAAAGTGTGGCAAATCAGATTTCCTCGCTCGCCTCGATGATGTCAGGTGGGAAAATAATTTTGCATAGAGCAAACGTTGCTTGTAAGTTCTCTCTGCCACAGCCAGTAAAAAGAATAAAAGAGATGAGAGAACGAGTCTTTCGAAGCCTGATATCAAAATCACAATTCGTTCCCTGTAATTGAAGAATAAAATTATAAGTCACTGTTGAACGTTTATTTTATTGAGGAATTCTTCCTTTGAAGCAACGGAACTAAGGGAAATATTTTGACTTTTCCTAAACTTGAGATGTTCTGTAAAAGTGATCTCCTAATGCTGAGCAAACCACCGCTATTCATTTGCTATTAAAATTCAAAGTTTTAAGAATTCCCAATTTATTTTCATTGATACGAACCAAAAAGAAGATCCGAATGCGACATCAAGCATTTTGCAAAACATGTCCACGTAAATTCCCATATTAACGAAAGATAATTCATAAGGTAATTCCAGAATTGTGGAATTATTAACAGATTCAGTGTTTATTTGATCAGTCAATCTTCTTATTGATGGCATTAATGAGATCAATAATGCGAGAATCAATCCTCCATAAAAATAATCCATACTCTCCGTCGTTGATTCTGCTCTTTCAATTATTGCCGAACTTATGTCCAATACTGAAAGTTCAGCTTTCTTTATATCGCGTCGAGTCCAAATTGTGCAGGACACTGAAATTTAGAGACATATTTAATTTTAAATATTATTAATTCTGCTAACTGAATCAAATTAATTATTAAATACTTAAGAATTAGAAAAATACCTCTATCGGATGTTGTGCAACTTGACAAAATAGACGGAGGTAATTCAAATTCCCATGAGAAGGGATGCTCCACAAATTCGTTGCAATTAAAATTTGATTCACTGTGAAGATCTGATTCTTCAAATTCCGAGCTGAAGGAATAATTACTCTGAGTGTATTTTACAATAATTAAAATATAAACTTAATTGATTTGGCAAATCTCTTTAATACCATTACTCTGGAGGGGAATAAATCTTAATCCAAAGAATTACAAACCTATAACTACACTCGTCGCTATTTGTCGTGACTCCCATCCATTCGGTAGCCGATGTTGTTGCCTCGGTGAAATGAATATTAGCCGTTTCCTCACACTCGCCCTCTTCTTCGCTCTCACACTCCAGAACATTTTTCCTCGAACCCGCAGAATCAGACATTATTTCTCTTCCCTTCTATAAAAAATTACAATGCCAAAATGATAAAATTTACCATCTCTATTAATTATGATTAAAAATTACCCTCTCGTAGTCTTTAGTTAATAAACCGTTCTCTTATGGACTTGAAAAAATTTATTTTTCTGCAGAAGCTACTAAAAATTATCCAACACATTGTAGGTTTATTAAATGTTCTAAAAAGAGTTCCAAATGCAAACTATTTTGTGTTTATAGCATTCAGCAAACAATGAGATGAGCACAGGTAAGAAAAAGCGATTATGAGATGTGATGAACGTACCAAACTATTGCAGCCATCTCCATCACTATCGGAATAATTTCCCCCCTTTTTTGAAGTATCGGGTGCTGCATGTAAAGTGGGAAATTTGTATTCTTTAGTTATTTTTGCTACTTTTGCCAGAGATTGAAAAAGCGATTCTAATTATCAGAAGGCATTGATCATGTTTTCTTATTGGGATACAAGAAACAATTCACAATTGTGATAGAAATACTTTCTCATGTAATGACAATGTAATATCCAGGATCAATGTCTTCTTTAGTTACAAATCTAAAAAGTAAAATTTTTGTTTACTTGTTCTACCGGAAAAACGTCGTGCTAGTGAATATTCCTGTTCGGTAAGTTCTACGACGTTTCCTTTCCCCTCGAGATTTTCCTTTTTATTCTCTATCACAGGTGCTATCACTTCTCTTTCATTGTCACTGGAGACGTTTCCATTTAGACTCTCGAAACCATCGTCGTCTTGATGAACAACGATTCCATTTTCCACAACTTCTTCAACAGGTTCTATTAGATAATTTTTCGAAACTGTTAGACGCAAAATTCGCTAAAGATTTTTAGGAGTCTTCCATTAGGGGGACTCCAGTTTTCTTGGTGCCAAAAGATCATGTCAGGGGAGGGTTCTAATCTTTTTGGTAGAAACTAAAATTATTGATAATTACCTGGTTGATCTTCAACTAAAGGTGACTGAGCATCGACAAGAGACGGTGAATTCGATCTTTCTACTTTCATTTCAGCTACTTCGTTTTCCACATCTTCGAGAAGTTTCTGAAATTAATAATTCCATCAAAGAATTAAAGCAGTTGCAGTGGCAATAGCAAATCATCAATTGTCTATTCAGAGGTTGATGATTTGCATAATCGAAGGTTTGCTTTCCAATAAAATCGCGATCGTAATTTAAATAAGATTAACACCTTTCACCTAATTGAAAGCTCGGATCAAAGAACCGACGCTTCTAAACGCACAGAACACATTGCGAAGCGTCGGTTCTTCGATCCGAGCCCTCAATTATATAAAACTTACTGGTTTTGGACTAGAAGTAATGGCACTCTCTATTGTAACTTTTTTAGCGAATCGAACTGACGACGACACTTCCACACTAATCGTACTTTCCTTATCGGACGTATTGTCGACTGTCGATTTAAAATCATTATTACCACCTGTATAAAAAAAATTTCCATTATCAGATAGAAACATAATTTAAAAACCGTTCTTCCTGATCTACTCCAATCAAAATACAAGAAACAAAAAGAAATTAATTCTCACGTAAATTTCTTCTAACTCGTGATTTATTAAAACGTCCCCGTCCATTCCTGGAACGTCGAGATCTATGATTATCACTTTTCGATAATGACGGTCCCGAATGGGTGGAAACAATTTGAGAGTGGACGATGCATAATGTCAACATCATCGCAAATGGAATTAACACTTCTGCAGTGGAAATAATCTATAAAAAAATTAAGAATTTTTCATACTACTTTTATTGCAATAATATACTCTTGAAAGATTAATGTAAAGTTTTCAAAAATTCAAAATGGCGGATGAAATTTTTGAAAATTTATCACATTTGCGTGAAACTAGCTACTTGGGGGTTTTTTGGGTCGCTAAATACGAATTTGATATCAGTTTCTAAAAATTCAAAATGGCGGATGAAATTTATAAAAATTTATCGGATTTGCCTGAAACTAGGAACTCTAGCGTTTTTGGGGTCGTTAAACACGAATTTGAAATCAGTTTTTAAAAATTCAAAATGGCGAATCCAATATGGCGGATGAAATTTATAGAAATTTATTGGATTTGCTTGAAACTAGCAACTCTAGGGTTTTTGGGGTCGTTAAATACGAATTTGAAATCAGTTTTCAAAAATTCACTCAGGGGTACTTTGGGTCGCTAAATACAAATTTAAAATCAGTTTTTAAAAATTCAAAATGGCGGATCCAATATGGCGGATGAATATAAAAAAAATTTATCGGATTTTTCTGAAACTAGCTACTCAGGGGTTTCTGGGGTCGCTAAATACGAATTTAAAATCAGTTTTCAAAAATTCAAAATGGTGGATCCAATATGGCGGACAAAATTTATAAAAATTTATCCGATTTTCCTGAAATTAGCTACTCGGGGGTTTTTGGGGTCGCTAAATACGAATTTGAAATCAGTTTTCAAAAATTCAAAATGGCGGATCCAATATGGCTGACGAAATTTTAAAAAATTTAACGGATTTGCCTGAAACTAGTTACTCGGGGGTTTTTGGGGTCACTAAATACGAATTTGAAATCAATTTCCAAAAATCAAAAATGGCGGATCCAATATGGCTGACGAAATTTAAAAAAATTTATCCGATTTGCCTGAAACTAGGTACTCGGGGGTTTTTGGGGTCGCTAAATACGAATTTAAAATCAGTTTCCAAAAATTCAAAATGGCGAATCCAATATGGCTGAAAATTCTCATTTTTTCCCTAGTTTACCATAAAAAACTCACGTCTGATTCGGAATCCTTGTTGAGAAGATGAAAAAATATGACAATATTGAAAAATTGAAGACTATAGAGAAGTAAAAAGAATGCAAATGTATATCGACTCGTTTGCTGTATCCACCAGCGACCATTGAGAGGAAGAAATAAAAGTCTTTTTAATGCCAACCACGTGACTGTTCGTAATCCATGCTTCGGTTTTGCTTTTGTAAACGAGGAACCTTAAAAAATTGAAAATAATCTAAATTAATCATTTAAAATTAATAATTTTAAATAATTAATTTTTAAAAAATATTTTTAAATATTAATTAATATTTTTTGATATTATTTTACCTCTCACAAGATCCACGTCAATATATTCGGTTTTCAATTTTGCCGTTCTCATCGGAACGTGAGTGAAACCACCAAAAATTCTCTGTTCCACGGTTTTCTCCCATTGTTGCTTATCGTAGGTGCCAATTTTTTTCTGATACCTTAAAAAATTGAATGGAGAGAATAAAAATTATCTTAACTTTAAATGGGAAATTTTTGCTAAGGTTTTAAAATGAAATTAACTAAAAAAACTAAAATATTTTTTATTTAATAAATAATATAAAAATGGTTCTTGATTTCCAAATCAAGTGACTAACACATTTTTATACACAAATACAAATTAAAAATAAAAAAAATAAATTCTAAACTAAAATAAAATTTTTGTTTATGTTTACATTTTTTAATTCTCTTTTCAAACAACACAATGTTATCTTGTGAGTAAAACAACAAAGGAAATAGTGAAAAATATGTCATAATATAGAAACAAAATAAGAATAACAAAAGAAAGTTAAAAAGTATTTTAAAAACAGTAGTAAAATTTACCAATGAATAAGATGATTAATTGCCATAATAATTTGCTTTTTTAAATCACAAAAGAAGAATGTACGTTATCGTTCTGGATTTCCGTAAAGATAACAAAATTTCTCTCTCCGATCCAGCCAAAAATCTGTGACCCCTTTCCTCAAGATTAACCTCACGACGAATCACCTTGACGTTAAATGTTTATCGAAAATACTTGTTCCCATAATATTCCAATAAAATTTGAATCTCTCCTCTTGAGTTTCAAAAAAAAAAAATTAATTAATTAACAATCTCTCGATAAACAACCGGAAACAACTCGATTGTTTATACTAAACAATTGTGTCGAATGACGGAGTCCGTCATTCTTTTTATTTTCTATTTTCTTTCTTATTTCTACTTGCATCACATACAATACGCACCGCCACCAGAAATTAACTATCGACCTCGAAATCCCTTTTCTGCGCACTCGCCATATCTATAACCATTTGTGTATACAAAAATGTATGCGTGCATACACTTGGAAAGTGATATTGTATGAATTAACATACTTTTTTTTTGAGAAGAATTTATTTTAATTTTTTCACGTACTGGACAAAGAAATTAAAATTTAATCATTTTAAAGACGTAGAGAAGTTACCAAACTCATTTAATTTTTTTGTATTCTCAATATTATTTTTAGTATAAATATTTTACGTCAACTTTTATTATTTCTCAATCTGTCAATTTAATACACACGTGACTTGCGACACGTGGCAATTGAATATGAATCTACTTTCTTAATTTCTACTCTTTTAATTTACATACTTTACAATTTGATTTAGAATGAAAAAGAATTCATAAAATTTTATTTTAGTATAAAAATTTTTTTTTTCTTGTTTTACATAGAATTAATAATTGTTTTTATTAATTTAATTAAGTATGGGCATAAGAAGATAATTAAATTAGTCTATATTACTATTTTTATATTTAAAAATAATTAAAATAATTTTGTACGTTTGAATAAAATATTTAATTTATAAATTTTTAAATAAGATAAGTTAAAATTATCTTATTTTTTAATGGAATAATTTTTATTGTTAAGATCATTATCAATATTTTAGAAAATTTCTTTCACTGTTCAATTTTTAATTTTGCCTCTAAACGGAAAAGTGATAACTTCGGGTCGTACTGTGGTTAGTCGATAATATAGAAGGGCAACTACATTGAAAATTATACCAAACAGTTTACCGAAAGCGAGTGCTGTTTCTTTCCTTCTTCTTTTTACGTCATGTTTTTAAGAACACTTCGCAAATAAATAGATTATGCTCATGACATGCTCATGATTAATTAAAATCTTTATAAAGTATGGTTATTTATTTGTTATAAAATATTAACTATCTTTTAATGCTTTTCTTTTTACTTGAAATTTAAATTATTATTTAATAGATTAATAATAATAATAATGATAATAGTTATAAATTAATAGATATATACTTTAAATGTTATACTTTCGCTAGAAGAAGGTTAACGCTTTTATTCTATGTTTGTCAGTCGAGAAATAGTCTTTGGAGGCAAAATAATTAAGTCACATTAAAAGTATTTTATGAATATATAAAAATGGCTGAGATTTTAATCACCAAACGAGATTAGATTACTCATTTGCGTCAGTAATTTATTGAAGACAAAGTTTCTGATTCTTTTCTTCGAAAGACAATCTTGGAAATATTTCTAATTAAGATAGAAGAGGTCAATGATTTTCAAACATTTTATTAAATTAATGGTATATAGAAATGGTATAATAAGAAATAAATCATATTATTACACATATTATTATTGAACAAAAAAACACTTTTTAACAATATATTTAGATTATTTTTTAGGAAAATAAAAACAAACTGAATATTTAATAAATGAAATATGTTAACAGAAATTAATAAAATTGATCAGAACAATATTTAATCATCTTAATCATCTTAATTAAGATTTATTAAATTATCCTATCATACCTAAAACCCCAGCAACGAGATAGGGTGCAAGATCTAATAATTTGTCCCAGCCGCTTTTTTTCTCGTGATTCTTTTCATGCAGCCCTTTAATTTTACTATTTATGTTAAGCAGTTGCTTATTATATTCATTTTGTTCTTTTCTTATTGACTCTTCACGTTCTTGATGCGTTATTTCACCTAATTTTTCGCGAATAGAAGAAATTGCTGACCTTACTTTTAAACGTGAAGACGATAGAACTTTTTCTAATTTTTTAGACAATATTTTGCCCTCTTGAAGATCTAGTAATTTATCAACAAATTCGATTAATGTTACAGTTTCTAATAAATGATTTTCATTGATGGTATTTGCAATGCTATTATCAATCATTTTAAGAATTTCTATTCGTTTAGAGAAATCATGATCTGAAGATGTAGCATTAATTAAGTCATTATCTATATTTTTTAAAGTTTTTTGCATTAATTTTAATTGATGTTTAACATGCTTATCATCGTCATAATTTAAATTATCTGCATTTATCACCTTCTTATCAACCAGAGAATCTATACCATTTTGTAAATCTTCAAATGCTGTTTTTGAATACAATCTATTACGGATACCATATAGACAAAGTTGTGATGTTTCAGAAATACTTGGACGCAATTGTTGGAGATTATTTTTTGGTATGCTTTTGGTACTGGTGATCGCTGAAAAAATATTAACATCTGCTGTACTGCTTAAAATACCTATAGTTTCCGGTCTTTTCAAGAAACCCATTTGCTCTTTATGTTTTATGAAGTGCTTTACAAATTCTTTGGAATTATCAGACAAATCCATCCCATTGTTTAATAAAAATTGACTTGCTAATTTTTCATTTATGATTTCCCTGTCGGCTGGAACGCCTTCAATGGTGTTTGGTACTTTTGTGAATATTACTGTTATACTTGAGAAGAAGTCACTCATTTTTTGTCCTAATAGATTTTCTACAGCTTTTAAGACCGAAGTAAATGGTTTAATGTTGTCATTAAGAATGTCATTGACGTCAATAACTAGAATAATTTTTAGTGAATTAACATTTTTCACCAATTGATAGAGATAATAGGCATTTGTGATATCTTGCACTGTTCCTCTATTGTCATCAAATCCAGGAGAATCCCAAATAATCATTTTTGAATGTACGTTTGACTCCCACTTTGTAGGGATTGTAGTTTTTGACGTTGCACCTTGACCTATTGCAGGGCCTTTGGATTGATTGTCAACTTTTTCTATAGTAATAGGAGCGATTCTGGAATGTCTTACAAATTTTAATTTGGTGCCAATTAAGTAATTAATCAGTGTACTTTTCCCAGCTCTTGTGGCACCAATGCAAATTGATACATCTTCATTTTTAACTTCTTTTCTCATATAATTCGTAGATTGATGAAGAGCTATTTGTAGTTGTCGTAGGTCATTTTCAGTGAATTGTTTTTGTTGGCAGTTCACTGCGACAAATATAGTAAATATTACTATTATTCCCCTCATATCAATAACCACTGGATACTACTATATATTCTGAAAAAATAAAGATCGGATGAAAATTATTTTTTTAGTTGAATAATATATGTTACGCATTATAAGTAAATGTAAAACAAGTCATAGTATATGGGCAATTCCACGCAAGATTTACCTAGGTTAAACATATTTTTTCTTAACCTGTATAGAAAAAAAAAAGAAATACGTGTTTTTTTTATTTTTGTTTAATCGCCCAAATTTTCGAGTTATGAATTTTCGAAATTTTGGATTTGTAACTGTAGACATATTTTCAGTAGCTTATAAGTCTGAAAATATTGAGTTTAGAAAAAACTTGTCGAAGAGTGAAAGTTTTAGTTTTCTTTTAACTTTTAAGAAATGTAAAAAAAAATTTTTTTTCAATTTTTTATTAAAAAAAAATTTTTTTTTTTCTAACCAAATTAATTTTTTTTAACTTTGGACCCGATTTTTTTTCAATTTATTTATACCTTATAATATACGCGTTCAACGAGACGCCTCACAATGGGATTTTTTTACAATTTACTTCTCAAAAAATGTCTACAGACTAAAATTTTTAATCGATTTGAGTGTTTTTTGTTTTAAATAAAAGGAGAATAATTTCTGAAGATAACCCTCCATGCAAACCAAAGTATATTAAATTGTTTATAATTTTTTTTTTAAACAAAAAATTAACAAATTAATTATGTACTTTCCTTTAAAAATGAAAGATTATTTTCTTATTTTGTTACTACACATGTCCTAAATCAGTTTCAATTGATGTAATATATGACCTCCAGATAATCGTAAAATAATCGTAAAATAATTTATCTAAACTGTTATAAACAATATTATAGTTAGCAAATAGTTAAATTTGGTTCCTCTCCATAAAAAACTTTGTTCTTTCATATTTATATTGTACTTTAGGTTTATTTAATGAATACATCTCCCTTTTGTTACAAAACAATTTTTAATTGTTATAAACAATAATAGTTAACAAACAATGAACTTTGGTTCCTCTGCACCAAAAAGAATTTTTTCCATAGTTTTCATTGAAGTTTATGGCAAAAAATGTTTATGTCAAAATAAAACAATAAACATTTTAATATAAATATATATTAATTGCATATATTTTATTTTAATTAATAAAGGAATTGCCCATATGTTATAAATATATATATATATATATATATATATAACTTTTGTTTATACAAGTATTTGCTTTGGACTTACGTTATGATTGTAGTCAATGGCCTATTAATCACAAAACTATTATGTTTGCTTTTAATACTATGTAATCAATTTTTTTTTGCTCTGTTAAAAATTTTTATTTACAAAATATTTTTTTAGTTAAGATATAAGAGGTTGCAGATCGATTGTTTAATATTAAAAGCACTCTTTCTTTTATATTCAAAAACTGTAAGTATGCAATTAAAACATTAAAAGGGAGATAATGTAATCTAATTGAGTACCCTCTTAATTTCTATATTGATAGTATGGAAATTAATCTGTGCTGTGTTTATTTATCTATGTATTTGTACAAAACACGCAAAATAATATTAAAACATTTTTGTGATTTTTTTCCGCATCAAGTTTTCTTTTTCGATTCTGAGCACCAACAGTTTTTTAAATAAAAACAAATAACGATAAACGTATACACGTAATAAATAACAATGTGATAATGACAAATGATTAATACTAATACTTTCCTTTGAAACATTTAACATTTAGGAAAGATTAAAATTACTTTTTTCAAAAAAGCTTTACATAATTGAAGTATAGCCCCTAAATTATTATAGTAACAAAGTTTCTGATTCTTTTATCCGAAAGACAATGTTGCACTGTAAAAAGAAAGATACTAATTTAGTTCCAAAATTGGTATTAAATCGTAAAGCTCTACTGTGTTAAAAAAATTTTATTGATTTTCTAAAATTCTAAAACTTTTATAAAAATCTGTAGTTTACAATAAAACAAAAGAACACTTTTCACTGTTTTTTAAATTTTTATTATTTTTTGCATTATAACAGAATTTTAAAATATTTTTAAAAATAATTAAAAGCGCAAAAGCCATTTACAATAAATTAATAAAACTTACAATAATTACACAAAATTGTACAGTTTTTCAAATGAAAATATTTGCATGATTGTAAATTTAAAAATTTCATATTTTTAATAACAATTTTATAGTGGCATTCCAGGAGAAATTTACTACTTTTCGGAGTACCCT